CAAATCCCTGGGAGTGTGATCTAGATGCGCGTCATCATCTGCGGCGCCGGTCAGGTCGGGTTCGGCATCGCCGAGCGGCTGGCCAGCGAGGACAATGACGTCTCGGTCATCGACACCTCCCAGGACCTGATCCAGCGGGTGCGCGACACGCTCGATGTGCGCGGCATCGTCGGCCATGGCAGCCACCCGGACGTGCTGGCTGCCGCCGGCGCCGACCAGGCCGAAATGATCATCGCGGTCACGCTCTATGACGAGGTCAACATGACCGCCTGCCAGGTGGCGCACTCGCTTTTCGACGTGCCGACCAAGATCGCGCGCGTGCGTGCGCAATCCTATCTGGGCGCCCATTTCGGCGATCTGTTCTCGCGCGACCATCTGCCGATCGACGTCATCATCTCGCCGGAAAAGGAAGTCGGCGAGGTTGTGCTCAAGCGCATCGCGCTGCCCGGTGCCACCGATGTCGTCCAGTTCGCCGACGACAATGTGACGATGATGGCGATCGAGTGCCGCGAGGATTGCCCGGTCATCAACACGCCGCTGAGCCAGCTGACCGATTTGTTCCCCGATCTCAGCGCGACGGTCGTGGGCGTCTGGCGCAATGAGAAACTGTTCGTGCCCCATTCGGCGGACCAGCTTCTCGTCGACGATCTGGTCTATGTGATCTCAAATCGCGACCAGGTGCGGCGGACCCTGTCGCTGTTCGGGCATGAGGAAACCGAGGCGCGGCGGATCGTCATCGCCGGCGGCGGCAATATCGGCCATTTCGTCGCCACCGAACTGGAACGCAGCGGCGCGCGCACCAATGTCAAGATCATCGAGCACAATCGCGAACGCGCGATCAGCGTCGCCGACACGCTGCGCCGCACGATCGTGCTGCATGGCAGCGCGCTCGACCAGCAGATCCTGCACGAAGCCGACATTCAGGACGCCGAACTGATGGTCACGCTGACCAATGACGACCAGGTCAACGTTCTGTCGGCGGTCATGGCCAAGAAGCTGGGGTGCGATGCGACGATGAGCCTGATCAATGATCTTGGCTATCAGAGCTTCACCTCGACGCTCGGCATCGACGCGCACATCAACCCGCGTGCGGTGACGATCTCGCGCGTGCTGCAGCATATGCGCCGCGGCCGCATCCGCCAGGTCCACTCGGTGCAGAAGGGTCAGGCGGAGGTGCTGGAGGCCGAGGCGCTTGAGACTTCGCCGCTTGTCGGCGTGCCGCTGCGCGAACTCGATCTGCCCGAGGACATCCGGATCGGAGCGCTCTACCGGGACGGCGAAGTGGTCAAGCCGGACGGCGAAACCCGCATCAAGGCACATGACCGCGTGGTGATCTTCGCCAAGACATCGGCGGTCAAGAAGGTCGAGCAGCTGTTCCGCGTCAGCCTGCAGTTCTTCTGAGAGCGCCGCCGCGCACGAAAGGGAAGGGGACGGATGTCACGCATTGCCTATGTCAACGGCCGCTATGTGCCGCATGCGCAAGCCCAGGTGCATGTGGAGGATCGCGGCTACCAGTTTTCCGACGGCGTCTATGAGGTGTGCGAGGTTTCCGGCGGCTTCATCATCGATCGGACGCGACATCTGGACCGGCTGGACCGCTCGTTGAGCGAACTGGCGATGGCCTGGCCCGTGGGCCGCGACGCGCTCGGCCGGATCATGATCGAAGTGACAAGCCGGAACCGAGTGCGCGACGGGCTGGTCTACCTGCAGGTGACGCGCGGTGTGGCACGCCGCGACCATCCGTTCCCGCCTCCCGGCACGCCGACGGCGCTCGTCGTGACAGCCAAATCGACCGACCGCCGGGCGTTCGCCGAAAAGGCCGAAAAGGGTGTCGCCGTAATCACCGTGCCCGACAATCGCTGGGACCGGGTGGACATCAAGACGATCGGCCTGCTGCCCAACGTTCTGGCGCGGCAGCAGGCGCGCGACAGCGGCGCGGCCGAAGCCTGGATGGTCGACGAGGACGGCATGGTCACCGAGGGCGCGGCCACCAATGCCTGGATCGTGACGATGGACAATGTGCTGGTCACCCGTCCCGCCGAAAACGGCATCCTGCGCGGTGTGACACGTGCGACCGCGCTCGATGCGGCGGCGAAACTGGGCCTGGCCGTCGAGGAACGTGGTTTTACCGTTGCCGAAGCCAAGGCTGCGCGGGAGGCGTTCATGACGTCTGCGACCTCGCAGATCATGCCGGTGACGAGCATTGACGGTGCGCCGGTCGCCAATGGTCATCCGGGAGAAACGGCACGCCAGCTGGGGCGGGCTTTCTTCGGTGCGGCCGAAAAAATCGCTGTTGCCGGCTCGCTTTCCCTTGAAAAGCGGTGATCTTTTCGCAAATCTCATCATGAGACAGTCGAAACTGTCACAGATGGCCAGCCATTGTCGCAAAATCGGGCCGTTGAGCGGCGGTCGCAGGATTGTGATACGATAAACAAAAAGCACCGAAGTGGGGCATCAGGAATGGCCGAAAGGTCGCAGAACCTTCAAGACCAGTTTCTCAACGCAGTCAGAAAACAGAAAATCCCGCTGACCATCTTCCTGGTCAACGGCGTTAAGCTGACCGGTGTCGTGACGTCGTTCGACAATTTCTGTGTGTTGCTGCGCCGGGATGGAAGCGCGCAGCTCGTCTACAAGCACGCCATATCGACGATCATGCCGAGCCAGCCCGTGCAGCTGTTCGACAGCGAAAGCGCGAGCCAGAAGCCCGAGTGACGCAGCGCGTTTCCCGGCCAGAGACGATGAAGCAGGGGCGCGGCGGCGGCGTGGACCGCCGCGGCGAGCCGACGCGTGCCGTCGTGCTGGCGCCCGACATCGCCAAACGGGACAATGATGCCGATCGGGCCGGGTTGCCGGTGCGGACGGCGGGCGAGCGGCTGGCCGAGGCCGCCGGTCTCGCGCGCGCCATCGACCTGGTGATCGCCGACCAGATGGTGGTGCCGGTCGCCAAGCCCGTTCCGGCGACGCTGATCGGCTCGGGCAAGGTCGCTGAACTGGCGGGCGTGATCGCGGCGCACGAAGCCGGACTGGTGGTTGTCGACCACGCGCTGACGCCGGTTCAGCAGCGCAATCTCGAAAAGGCGTGGAACGCCAAGGTGCTCGACCGCACCGGACTGATCCTCGAAATTTTCGGGCGCCGGGCGCGCACCAGGGAAGGCACGCTGCAGGTCGAACTGGCGCATCTGAACTATCAGCGCGGGCGGCTCGTGCGGTCCTGGACGCACCTTGAGCGCCAGCGCGGCGGGGCAGGGTTCCTGGGCGGTCCCGGCGAAACGCAGATCGAGGCCGACCGGCGCATCCTGCGCGACAAGATCAAGCGGCTGGAGACCGAACTCGAACAGGTGCGCCGCACCCGCACGCTGCACCGCGCCAAGCGCAGGAAGGTGCCGCTGCCGGTGGTGGCGCTGGTCGGCTACACCAATGCCGGCAAGTCGACCCTGTTCAACCGGCTGACGGGCGCCGCCGTCATGGCCGAGGACATGCTGTTCGCCACGCTTGATCCGACCTTGCGCCGCGTGCGCCTGCCGGGCGGGACCGAGATCATTCTGTCAGACACGGTCGGCTTCATCTCCGACCTGCCGACGCATCTGGTGGCCGCGTTCCGCGCGACGCTCGAAGAGGTCGAGGAAGCCGACCTGATCGTCCATGTTCATGACGCGTCCGATCCGCAGGCGGCGGCGCAGAGTTCAGACGTGCGCGCCGTTCTTGCCGAGCTCGACGTGACGCCGGACGACGAGCATGTGATCGAGGTGCACAACAAGACCGATGCGCTCGACGCCGATGCCCGCGCCGCGCTCTCGGCCAGGGTGTCCGGGCAGGGCGAGGTGGCCGTGTCGGCGCTGACCGGCGAGGGGATGGATGCGCTTCTGGCGCTGATCGAGGAACGCATTGCCGGAGCGCTGGTGACCCGGCAATTCACGGTACCCGCCGCCCGGTTCGCCGATGTCGCCTGGCTGTACGAGAACGCGGTTGTCCGCGACCGGCAGGACGGCGACGATGGCAGCGTCTCGGTCAGCGTGCAGATGACGCGAGACACCGCCGATGCCTATGACCGACGGACGGCGCGGGTTACCGAGAAGACCGGGTAACAGCCGTCGTCAGGCCGGTTTTTCCACCTTTTTGACCGCGTTCCAGATCGCATCCATCTCGGCGAGATCGGCGGCTTCGACCGACGAGCCGCGCGCAGACAGCTCTTCCTCGATCCGTTTGAAACGGCGCGCGAATTTGGCGTTGGCTTCGGTCAGCGCGGCCTCGGGTTCGAGATCGAGATGCCGGCCAAGATTGACCATCGCGAAAAGCAGGTCGCCATACTCCTCGCGAATGCGGTCGGGATCGGCCTCGTCCATCACCTCGGCCAGTTCCTCGGTTTCCTCGCGAATCTTGGCAAGGATCGGCGGCGCGGTGTCCCAGTCGAAGCCGACATTGGCGGCACGCTTTTGCAGCTTCAGGGCGCGCATCAGGGCGGGCAGGGCGCGCGGCACATCGTCCAGCAGAGACGGGGTTTCGTCCGACCCGTCGGCGGTGCCGGCCGCCTTGTGTGCCGCCACGCGCTCGGCCTTTTCGCCGGCCTTGATCTTCTCCCACATGCCCTTGGCGAGCTTTTTGCCGCGCACCGTCTCGTCGCCGAAGACATGGGGATGCCGGCGGATCATCTTGCGGGTGATCGCCTCGACCACCGAGCCGAAATCGAAGGTGCCGGCTTCCTCGGCCATCCGCGCGTGGAACACCACTTGGAGAAGCAGATCGCCCAGTTCGTCGACCAGATCGATCATGTCGTCGCGTTCGATCGCGTCGGCCACCTCATAGGCTTCCTCGATCGTATAGGGCGCGATCGTCGCAAATGTCTGCTCGACATCCCACGGGCAACCCGTTTCGGGGTCGCGCAGGCGGGCCATGATCTCGATCAGCCGGTCGATGTCGCGGGGGGGTTCCATGGCCGCAAACTGCGGCGGGTCGCCCGTACTGTCATGCCGCCTTTTGGCGGCGCGCGTCCTTATGCACAGCTATTCGGCCAGCACGTCGCGCAGCGATCCGAACGAGGCCTCCCAGCCGCCGCCAATGCCGCGCCGCGCATCCTCGGTCCGGACGGCGGAATGGACGAGCCGCACCATCGTGCCCGAACCCTTGGGCGTGAACGTCACCTCGATCCGCGATTCCGGCGTCGCCTCGCGGGCGCCATCGGCCCGGGTGATCACATGCGACCAGGAAAAGACCAGCCGCTCGTCCGGCTCGATTTCCGCATAGGCGCCTTCAAACCCGATGGTCTGTTCGGCGGTTCTGGAATGCAGAAAGCGCCATGCGCCGCCGGGCCGCAGATCGATATCGGCCGAATGCAGCGAGTTCGGCTCGAGACCGAACCATTTCATGACGATGTCCGGATCGGTCCAGGCGTTGAAGACGCGGGCCGGCGAGGCGGCGAAGAAGCCTTCGACCACGATCGGGTCGTCGCCCGGAGGCGATTGAACGAACTGCATCTCAGTCTCCGTTTTCGGCCAGATAGCGGGCCAGATTGTCGAACTGCTGGCCCCAGAACGCCTCATAGTCCGACAGCCACTCGGCCGCCTGCTTCATCGGCGCCGCGTTGAGCCGGCAATAGCGGCTGCGTCCGCGCTGTTCGACGGTGACGAGGCCCGCATCGCTGAGAACCCGCACATGCTTGGAGACGGCGGTCTGGGACATGGCAAACGGGCCGGCGAGATCGGACAGGCGGGTTTCTCCATCGGCAAGCCTGGCCAGGATGGCGCGCCGCGCCTCGTGGCTGAGCGCGGCAAAGGTGGTGTCGAGTGCATTCATGCGGCCGGCATATCACTCAACCATATGGTTGACAATACGGCGCAGCCCTATTAATCAACCACATGGTTCAGTATTGATGAACCCGCCGCTCGGCACCCGGCTGGGCGGGCGAAATCATCCGACATTCAAGGAGATCGATCATGTCACATTTCATCTTCGCCTATCATGGCGGCAACAGGCCCGACACGCCCGAGGAAGGCGCCAAGGTCATGGCGCAGTGGGAAGCCTGGTTCAAGGAGATGGGTGACGCCGTCGTCAATCCGGGCAATCCGGTGGGCATGTCGAAGACCGTCAGCGGCTCAGGCGTCACAGATGATGGCGGCGCCAACCCTCTGTCGGGCTTCACCATCGTCAGCGCCGGCGGCATCGATGCCGCAGTCGCCATGGCCAAGGGCTGCCCGATGGTCGCTGATGGCAGCGGCACGGTCGAGGTCGCCGAGATCATGGAAATGTGACGGCGCGCGCAGGGCAGGCCGGCGTCAGCATAGAGGCGATGCCGGTCCGCCCGTCACCAGACCAACGCACACATTTGTCGCATAAGATGGATTATGGAACTGAAAGGTGTGCCCGGATGGCGTTTCAGGGCTTGGGCACAACGTCGATCTTCTCGGCGTCAATGGCCTTGGCCAACGCATTCGGATCGACGCTGAAGACGCTGTCGGGCCTTCCGGCCGCCGCCCAGACCGTCTCATAGTCCAGAAGCGTCGTGTCCATATAGATCGGGATCGGCGCCAGATGGCCGATCGGTGCCACGCCGCCGATGGCAAAGCCGGTCTCGTCGCGCACACGCCGGCCGTCACATCGCTTCAAAGTCAAGCCGTAACAATCTGAAATAAATTCCAAATCCGCATTGTGACCGCCCGAGACCAGCAACAGGGCCAGTGCCCCGTTCGCCGCGTCCTCGAAAACCAGCGACTTGACGATCTGGCCGACGTGGCAGCCGCAGGCGCGCGCCGCATCCTCTGCGGTGCGCGTGGATTGCTCCATCACCTTGAGCTCGATTGAAAGCCCGAGTGCCGCCGCAGCGTCCGCGACACGCGCCATGGACGATCCTGGTTTGGGCGTCACGGCGTGTCGTCCTGATCCACGAAGATGCCGGCAATCTCGGAGGCTTGCAGCCGGTACGGCGCACCGCCGCCATACATCAGGTTGCCAACCAGATTGACGCCCGCCTGATCCCATTCGCTGTAGAACGCACCGATGAGCGTGTCGGCCTGGACCGGCTCGGCGGCAAGGCGAACCACGGCGCCGGATTTGAAGACGACCACGATTTGGGTCATGGCATTGTTCCTCCCGTTTCGATCACCAGCCCGTCATAGCACGGCTCGACGTGATCGGGCGTTTCGGCCAGCACCACGTCATAGTCCAGCGGAATGTGCATGTGCGTGAGGAATGCGCGCTTCGGCCTGATCCGGTCGATGACGTCCAGCGTCTGTGCCAGCGACAGATGGCTTGGGTGTTCGCGGTATTGCAGCGCGTCGACGATCAGCACGTCGAGATCGCGCATCTTGTCGAGCGTCGCGTCGGGAAAGGCCGACACGTCCGGGCAATAGGCCAGATCGCCGATGCGGAACCCCAGTGAGTGGATGGAACCGTGATGCTGGTACAGCGGCACGAAGGTGAGGGGCCCGCCCTGCCCTTCGACCGTGAACGGCGTTTCGTGGTCGATCCGGTGATCGATCAGGATCGGCGGATAGGCGCTGCCGTCCGGCGTTGCAAAGCAATAGCCGAACGCCTCGTGCAGCCGATGGGCCGTTGCCGCGTCGGCATGGATCGGCATCATCTGGCCCTGGGCGAACACGAAGGTGCGCACATCGTCGACGCCGTGAATGTGGTCCGCATGGGCGTGCGTATAGACGATGGCGTCGATCTGCCGGACATCGGCCATCAGCATCTGCGCATGGAAATCGGGGCCGGTATCGATGACCACGCTGGTCGTTCCCGATCGCCCGGCCCGCTCGACGAGGATCGACGCGCGCATGCGGCGGTTCTTCGGATTGTGCGGGTTGCATTTGCCCCAATCGCCGTTCGGGCGGGGCACGCCGGGCGACGAACCGCAGCCCAATATGGTCACGCGCACGGTGCTGCTCGCGTTACCCGTCATGGCGCGGCACCTTGGCAAACAGGCGATAGAAATTTTCGGTCGTCTGCGCGGCGAAAGTGTCGGCATCGTCGCCCAGATGATCGGCAAGGATCGCTGCCGTGTGCGCTACATAGGCCGGTTCGTTGCGCTGGCCGCGATGCGGCGGCGGTGCGAGATAAGGCGCGTCGGTTTCAACGAGGATCCGGTCGCGCGGCAGGTCGCGGGCGATGTCGCGCAGTTCGACCGAGCGCTTGAACGCCGCAATGCCGGAAAAGGACACATAACCGCCCAGCGCGACACCGGTTTCCGCCAGCGCGCGGCCCGACGAAAAGCAGTGCAGAACGAAGGGAAAGGCCCCCTTCCCTTCGGTCTCTTCGGTCAGAATCTGTGCCATGTCGTCATCGGCGTCGCGCGAATGGATCACCAGCGGCAGTCCGGTCTCCCGCGCCGCGGCGATATGGCGGCGGAAGCCTTCGGCCTGCGCCTCACGCGGGCTGTTGTCGTAGAAATAGTCGAGCCCCGCCTCGCCGATCGCCATGACCTTCTCGTGGTCCGACAGCCGCACCAGATCGTCGGCGGTGACGTCCAGTTCCTTGTCGGCATGGTGCGGATGGGTGCCGACCGAGCAGAACACATCGTCATAGCGCTCGGCGATCGGCAGGATGCGCTCGGCAAACAGGTGCACTTTTGTCGAGATCGTCACCATGCGCACGAGTCCCGCCGCCCGCGCACGGTCGACGACGGCGTCCAGCTCCGGCGCGAACGTGTCGAAATCAAGATGGCAGTGGCTGTCGACGAGGGTCGGCATCAGGCGTCCTGCGCCTCGTCCTCCACATAGCGCGGAAACACGCCCTGCGGCTTGGGCAGTTCGGTGCCCGGCACCAGCCGCGCCTCGAAATCGGCAAATGTGCGCTTGCCGACGGGCACCGCGACGAGATCGAGCAGCCTGGCCGACGCATCGGGCATGAACGGCTGCGTCATCAGAGCGATGCGCCGCACGGTTTCGGCCATCGTGTAGAGCACCGCCTTCATGCGTTCGGGATCGGTCTTGCGCAGCGTCCAGGGCGCCTGGGCGTCGATATAGCGGTCGGCCTCGGCAACGACGGCGAAGATCGCTTCGAGCGCCTTGTGGATCGCCTGTTCGGCCATCGCTTTGCGCGCGGTCTCCAGCGCCGGGCCGGTCGCCGCGATCAGCGCCTCATCGTCGTCCGTCAGTCCGCCATTGTCGGGCACCCTGCCCTCGCAGTTCTTGGCGATCATCGACAGCGAGCGCTGCGCCAGGTTGCCAATCCCGTTGGCGAGATCGGCATTGGTGCGCGCGACGATAGCCTCGTGGCTGTAGCTGCCGTCATTGCCGAACGGCACCTCGCGCATGAAGAAGTAGCGCACCTGGTCGAGCCCGTACCGGTCGCGCAGCTCGAACGGGTCGACCACATTGCCGACCGACTTGGACATCTTCTCACCGCGATTGTTCAGAAAGCCGTGCGCGAACACTCGTTCCGGCAGTTCCACGCCAGCCGACATCAGGAAAGCCGGCCAGTAGACGGCGTGGAAGCGGATGATGTCCTTGCCGATGATGTGCGTGGCGGGCCAATAGCGCCATTTGTCGGCACCGGTGTCGGGAAAGCCGGCCGCCGTGATGTAGTTGGTCAACGCGTCGACCCATACATACATGACATGGGCATCGTTGCCGGGCACCGGAATGCCCCAATCGAAGGTGGTGCGCGAGATCGACAGATCCTTGAGGCCGGACTTGACGAAGGAGATCACCTCGTTGCGCCGCTCGTTTGGCGCGATGAAGCCGGGATTGTCCTCATAATGCTTGAGCAGCCGGTCGCCATAGGCCGACAGGCGGAAATAATAGCTCTCCTCCTCGACCCATTCCACTTCCGAGCCCAGCGGCTCGCGCCGCACGCCATCGTCGCCGATCTCGGTCTCGCTTTCGTCGAAATAGGCTTCCTGGCGCACCGAGTACCAGCCGCCATAGGTATCGAGGTAGATGTCGCCATTGGCTTCCATGCGGCGCCACAGTTCCTGGCAGGCGGCGGCATGACGCGGCTCGGTGGTGCGGATGAAATCGTCGTTGGAGCAGCCGAACTCCTCCACCATCGACCGGAACACCGCCGAGTTCTCGTCTGCCAGGGCGATCGGCGTGATGCCGCGCTCCTCGGCCGTGCGCTGCATCTTCTGGCCGTGTTCGTCCGTGCCGGTCAGGAAGAACACATCCTTGCCGTCGATCCGCTGGAAGCGCGCGAGCACATCGGTGGCGATCGCCGTATAGGCATGGCCGATATGCGGCACGCCGTTGGGATAGAAGATCGGCGTGGTGATGTAGAAAGTGTCGCTCATGGGCGCCGGCAACCACTTGTTCGCAAATCGGGAAAGCGTGGCGTGCATGTATCCGATTTCCGGCGCATTTCAAACCGCCGGAGCAACGGTTTTTCAGCGTCCGGCGCCGCCCAGCACGTCGTGCATGCGCGCGCTGGCGACCAGCAGTTCCTGCTTGCGGTCGAGGCCGAACGCATCGGCCTCGGCGAAGCGCTGGGCCAGTTCGCGTTCGAAGGCAGCGAGCCGGTCGGCGCCGCGCAGATCGCCCGACAGCGCGGCGCTGCGCGCGCGGCTGCGGACGATGTCGACAGCCATTTCGCGCAGCAGCGTGTTGTGGGTGTCGTTGCCTTTGGCGCCGGCCACTTCGGCCAGCCTGTGCGCCAGCATCGTGTCGAAGCGCGGCGCGGCCAGCAGTTTTTCGAGGCTGTCGCGCAGTTCTGCTCCGCCGAAAAGCGCCAAAGTCAGTGCCAGGCGCGGACGACCGCCCGACAAAGCCGCCAGCCGGCCGGTATCCGATTCCGGGACGGCCCCCTGCCCGGCGAGCGTGATCACCTCTTCGACCTGGCTGTCCGGCAAGGGCGCAAACCGCACGATCTGGCAGCGCGAGCGAATGGTGGCAAGCAATCCGCCGCTGCCGTGTGATACAAGCAAAAACAAAGTGTTAAACGGTGGTTCCTCAAGTGTTTTGAGAAGGGCATTGGCCGCCCCGCGCGGCATGTCGCCGACCGGATCGACGATGACGATGCGCGCCCGGTCGACGCTCGCCGTCATCGACAGGAAATGCTGGACGCGCCGCACCTCGTCGATGGTGATGGCGGTCTTGAAGCCGGTGCCGGTCGCAGCGCGCGGCCGGGTCAAATGAATGAGATTGGGATGGGCGCCCTGCGCCACCTGCCGGACGCCCGGCGACGACGGGTTTGGCGCCGGCAGACGCTCGTCCTTGAGCGAAGCGCCATCCAGAAGCGCGTTCGCCAGATGAAATGCCGCCGTCGCCTTGCCGATCCCCTGTTCGCCGTCCAAGAGGATGGCATGGTGCCCCGAGCGCACGATGGACAGCATCTGCGCCACGGCCGTTTCATGACCCACAAGGCGTGTCGACGCGCTGGGCGGCGCGATCCCTTCCAGCGTGTCGTGATACTCCGGCGTCTGTTGATCGGTCATGAAACGCTTGCCCCACCGCTGTTGGCGGCGACGAGCGGCGCCACATGCGCCCAGATTGCCTCGCCGACGGTTTCCGGATCGCCAGCGGCATCGACGATGCGGCACCGGTCCGGTTCTGCCTCGGCGATGGCGCGAAACGCCTTGCGGCGTGCCTCGTGTACCGCGACCGTTTCCTTTTCGAACCGGTCCTGCGCAGTGTTCTCCGCACGCCGCGCATCGGCGCGCGCCAGCCCGGCTTCCGGGTCGAGGTCGAGAATGATGGTCAGGTCCGGCACCGTACCGTGGATCGCCACGCGCTCGAGGGCGGCGACGAAGCCCGGATCGAGATCGCCGCTGACACCCTGATAGACTCGGGTCGAGTCCATGAAACGATCGACAAGCACCGTTTCCCCGCGTGCAAGCGCCGGCCGGATCACCTGCTCCACATGGTCGCTGCGCGCGGCGGCAAACAGCAGCGCCTCGAGCGCCGGGCCGAAGCCTTCAAGCGCCGCCTCGTCCAGAAGCACATGCCGCACCGCCTCGGCGCCCGGTGTACCGCCGGGCTCGCGCGAGACCCGCACGGCATGGCCGCGCTCTGCAAGGCGGTCGGCGAGCAGACGGATCTGGGTGGACTTGCCGACCCCCTCACCGCCTTCAAATGTGATGAAAAGGCCGTCATGGCCGTGCGCGCGGGCCTTGCGGCCGGTCTCCGGCACGGCGTTTAGAAGCGTATCCATCCGATCGCCATTTCGAGAAGCGCATCGAGCGCCTGCCGGTGGATGGGCCCTTTGCCGACGGCCTGCGCCGCTTCGAGTTCGGCCTCATGGGCCAGTTCGTCACCGAAATAGATGTGCAGCCTGGCGATCGGATCGCCCGCTTCGACCGGCGCCGGCACCGGGCCGTCGAAGACGATCTGCGCGCGCATCGTGTCCCGCCCCGTCAGCGGCATCAATATGGTCAGAGGTTCGGCGAGCCTGACCGGTGCTGTCGCCGCCTCGCCGCCATAAAGCCGGACATTTCCGATCTCCTCGCCAGCATCGAACAGGCTGTGCGGCTCGAACGCCCTTATGCCCCAGTCGAGCATCTTGCGCGCTTCCTCGGCGCGCTGGCGCTCGGAGTCCAGCCCGCTCATCGCAACGATCATGCGTCGTCCCGAGCGCGCGACCGAACCGACGATCGCGTAGCCCGATGCCTCGGTGAAGCCGGTCTTCATCCCGTCGGCGCCGATGTCCATCCGCAGCAAGGGGTTGCGGTTGCGCTGGCGGATGCCGTTCCAGGTGAACTCGGTCTCGCTGTAGTAGCGGTAGAACTCGGGATAGGTGCGCTGCATGTGCTGTGTCAGCGTGACCAGATCCCGGATCGTCACGGTCTGTCCGTCGGCCGGCAGACCGGTCGAGTTGACGAAATTCGAGCCGGTCATGCCGATCGCCCGGGCCCGGTCGTTCATCAGTTGGGCGAACGCCTCTTCCGAACCGGCAATGCCCTCGGCGATGATGATGCAGCCATCGTTGGCCGACTGGACGATGACGCCGCGGATCAGATCCTCGAGCGCGATCTCCGAATTGAGTTCGGCGAACATGGTCGATGTGCCGGACACCGCCCCGCCGGTGCGCCAGGCGTTCTCGCTGACCAGAAACCGGTCTTCCAGCGTCAGCCGGTCGGATTTGAGGGCGTGGAAGACCACTTCCATCGTCATCAGCTTGGCAAGCGAGGCGGGCGGGATGGGCGTATCGGTGTCCTTGGAGAACAGGATGGTGCCGGTGCCCACATCAAGGAGCATGGCGTGCCGGGCGGGCGTTTCGTAGAGCTGGGCGCGCGCGGGTCCGGCCGAAAGCAATACGGCTGCCATCAGCAAGAGGACAATCGTGATCGCCGGCCTTCCGAAGGTGCCGCGCGGCAAAGAGCGCATAAAAATCAAACTCATCGGCAACGGGATGGTGTCGCGACGAACCTAGAGCGTCCAGCGTCTCATGGGAAGCGGCAAGCCGGCATGATCGCCGGAAAAACTCAGCGGGCCTTCCAGCCTTCGGTTGCCATTGGTGCCCAAGGCGCCGCGAATGCGGCCGCCACGCGCGCATCGGCATAGGCCGATGCATCGAGCCCGATCACCGGGCGTGCTGAGCGGCGCAGCAGCGATCCCGGCGCTTCCAGCGCGGGGGCAGCGGGACCGCCAAAGCGTTCGGCTGCGGGCTGCTGCCCGCTCGAGGCCAGCATCACGCCCGGCTGGCGCACGCCGGGCAGGTTGCGATCGCCGCCGCCGCGCGGCGTGCCCAGCGTCGGCGCACCGCGGAACGATGCGATCAGGAACTCATCGTCCTGTCCGTGCAACGGTGCCGGGCCGAGATACTCCACCTGGACGTTGGCGGTGCCCGCGGAGATGTAGTCGAGCATGTAGGCGGCACGCTTGGACAGGTCGATCACGCGGTTGTTGGAAAAAGGGCCGCGATCGTTGACCCGCACGACGACCGAGCGGCCGTTGGCGCGGTTCGTCACCCGCGCATAGGAAGGCAGCGGCATCGTCTTGTGCGCCGCCGTCAGGTGGTTCATGTCGTAGACTTCGCCGTTGGCGGTCTTGCGGCCGTGGAAGGCCTCGCCATACCACGACGCGCGGCCATGCTGGACGGCGGGCTGATTGGCGGTCGGAAAATAGCGCTGGCCGCGCACCGTGTAGGGTCGGCCGACCATCTGCCGGCCGCCGCCGCGCTGGATGCGCGTGCCCGACGCGACGCGCGGGCTGGCCGCCACGCCATAGGCGGCGACGGAAAAGCTCTCTTCGCCGGAGGTCGCCGCATTTTGGGTGAAGACGGGCAGATTGGAAAGATTGACCACATCGCTGCTGGTGGCGACCACGCTCTCGGTGCCGCTGGTCAGCGCGACTTTCGGCGTCAGGTTCGAACCGCAGCCCGAAAGCGCAACGCCGACGGCGCCGAGTGCGCACAGACGCGCGAAACGTGTCAATGTGGATGTATTCCCCATAGGCAAAGGCGCTTACACCAAGCTGCTGCGCCTTGCCAGAGGGCGGCGGCGCGTAAAACGCCACCTTAGGTCATCTCGCTTATCGTTGTGTTAAATTGCGTGATGAACGGATCGTTGGCCGCGCTCAGCCCTCGATGCGTGCCCGGCCCGAATAGCCGTCGTCGCGGCGCCAGCGCAGCGTGGTCTCACCGGTCTTGCGCAAGGTAAAGCAACTCAGCTTGCCGCGATACCAGGTCGGGAACTGCTGGCAGAGCTGGTCGCCTTCCACAAACCAGCGCCCGGTCTCGCGCGGCGCGAAGTACTGGCCGAGACCGAGCGCGGTGCCGTCGCCGGTCACCTGGCCGTTACTCTTGTAATGCAAGGGAAATTCGCCGCCGAAAGGCGTGGCGAGATAGACGCGCTTGCCGTTGATCGTCTCCTTCAGAGCCTGACCGGAGAGCTGCTCGGCGGCAGCGGTTGCCGGCATTGCGGCAAAAACCGCCAGTGCGCCTGCGGCGATGGCGCGGGCGGCGGACATGCGGTTGAAGCGAGTACGGTTCATGGGCCAGTTCCCTCCTTTGAGCCTTTGCCGACAGATACGCTCCGGATCGGATTCCGGATCAGCTTTGCACACGGATAATTGCCGAGGCCGGACAAGGTTCCAACGACAAATGCCCGTTCGTCGCCCCGGTCCCGCCGCCCTGCCCGCGCCCTTGCGGGGCAGTTGGCGCTGTGCCATCTAACGGACGCCGGAGGGGTGGCAGAGTGGTCGATTGCGGCGGTCTTGAAAACCGTTGAGCGTGCGAGCGTTCCGTGGGTTCGAATCCCACCCCCTCCGCCATACTTTCTACATAAATTATTGAAATATAGTCGATTTCGTTTTTCGATCGACAATCAGACCCACATTCAGCCCCACATTTACGGCGCCGTTAGGTACTCATTACGGCGTAAAGCCGAATGAGACACCATTCGACGGGTAGTTGTCAGGGGCGCCAATTCACGCCATAAGCTCAGCACATTCGAATCAACTTCTCGCGCATGACGTGCTCCACCCCGACGACAGGGTCGACACCGTCATGGCAGCCGCCAAAAAACCTTCCACCTCCGAACGCGACACCGCAAAGCACCGGTGTTCGCAAGCTCCGTCAAACGGCGATCTGTTCCCGCCGCCCAATGGCCAAGACGGTTTGGGCTGCCAGAACGGCGCACCGGATCCATGCCAATCTGAGCCACCGAGTCGCAACGCTTATGCCGATGCCAGCCAGCCAGCTTCGCCACGGTTGCTTCAGCAAGGCGCATGTCCAGGCAAACGGACCCCGACAACGAACTCGGACCCTGTATCAGCCCACGAAAACCCCAGCGCTGGTGGTGGCCACGCATCCAAGCCTGGAGACGATCCGGCAGAGGCTGAACGGCTTGCCGCTGGCGGCGATGGGTCGTCACAGGCGATTGTTCCGCACTTCCATCCTGTGATGACGGATCGGCAGGTCGCCGACTATTTCCAGGTCAGCAGGGCGACGATCTGGCGATGGCAAAAGGAAGCCCCAGGCTTTCCTCGATCATTCACTGTTGGAGGCAACACAACCCGTTGGTACCGCCGGGACATTGAGGAATATCTCCGACGAAGGATGGCGGGCACACCGGAATAGGTGCTGCCATGCCGCGTCGACACGATCCGAGCAAGGCCCGCCGCCACTGGTACTACACGCGTCAGCAGCTGTGTGAGCTGTTTGGCGTGTGCGACACCACCATCACCAACTGGAAGAGGCAGGGTCTGGAGACGATCGATGAGCGTCGCCCTGATGTCTTCCACGGGTTCGATGTGCGGTGCTTTCTTTCGCAGATCCGTTGGGGAGCCTGGCGAGAGCCGAAGAACGGCAAGCTCTTCTGCCCCTCGTGCCAGCGTTATGTGCCCCTGGTGTGCGATAGCATTCAATTGAGACGAATTGAGCTCGAACGCCACAAAGTGAGCGGGATTTGCACTCATTGTGACACGTCGATGTGGGCCTTTGTTCCAGCGTCCCGGATCGGGGACGTCTACCGGGCCGCCACAAACAACACCCGAGACTCGTCCGCCAGTATGAGCGGAACGGTCTCCGGGCAAACTGCGGATTGTGACCGCGTAATCCCGCCCGCAACCAACAAGATCAACAAGCGATGGCTGGCCCGCTACCAGGACTTTCTTCTGGAGAACCAGGGCTACAGTGAGAAGACGGTGGATGAGCACCTGCGTTCTCTGGCACATGCCAGCGTCATAGCCGAACACACGACATTCACGCACTACTCAATCAAGCTGGTCGTCCGCGTTAAGAAAACCCTCAGTGCACACCTGGACGGTGATGGTGCCGTGCTCAGTCGGTCAACCATTCATCGTGTTCTGAACCATTGCAGGATGTTCTTCGAATGGCTGGAGCGGCACGATGATGTACGGTGGGAGCCCGACCTGCCCGGCTACTTTCGTCCCAGCAAGCAAGAGCGTCGCCTCGCGGCGCAGGCCGTCAAGGAAACCGAACTGACGTTTGTGCAGGCTGCAAACATGTTCCGGGTGATACCCGCATCCACGGCCATCGAGATGCGCAACCGGGCAATCATTGCCTTGCCGCTCATGACCGGTATCCGGGTCGGTGCTCTTGCCAGCCTGCGCGGCAAACATGTCGATGTCCAATCCTGGTGGATCAATCAACTGCCACCAGAAGTGAAGACCAAGGGCGGCAAGCACATTCGCAGCTACTGTCTCGATCTCGGATATGGCCTGCGCGACGCGCTCAAAGCCTGGGCACGCTGGCGCGATGAGAACGGGTTTGGCGACCAGGACGCGTTCTTCCTGCCCGATCGCTTTATCCAGCGCAATTCGATCGGGCTGACCTACCGACCAGCAGATCCTGCAAACCCCGCGGAGCCATGGCAAACCACTGATTCGGTGGTCGCAATCATCAGGGCTGCGGCGGAGTGCGCGGGGATGACTGATCTAGAAGTCGGTGCCCACGACTTCAGGAAGGTCCTCAAGCCCTATCTGTCATCACAGGCCGACATGAGCGAACGCCACAAACAGGCGCTTCAGCTCAACCTCGGACATCAACCCCGCGAGACGATTGACAAGCACTACAGCAAGATGTCCGATGCCGATCGGGTTGAGGCTCTCGACGAACTCTGTCGTATGGTCCAGGGCCGAACCAACGAAAGCCTCGTTTTGGCCTATGAAAGGGGAAAGATCGCGCAAGAGGACCCAGACTACGAACGCGCAAGACAGGCTCACGCCAAGGCCGAAGCAGCGATCCGCAACATCGGCCTGTCGCGATGATTCAAAATTCGCGTCTCTGGCAGGCATGGCGTAGCGGAAACGGGCTCGTTAAAGCGACGTCGGCCATGCAGCGATGACATCAAGACCAGCCAAATGGCCGGATCGAAAATGGAGGCGCGGATGAGCCAACGAATTGCGATCATCGGATCACGTGACTATCCCAATCCGGACTGCGTGATCGATTTTGTACAATCCCTGCCAACTGATTCCGTCATCATCTCTGGGGGTGCACGCGGCGTTGACAGTGTGGCTGAAGGTGCCGCGCTTGCCGCTGGCCTGGCAGTCGATGTGGTCCATGCCGACTGGGATGCCCATGGCCGTCGCGCCGGCCCCATCCGCAATGCTGAGATCGTGGCACGCAGCGACCAGTTGGTTGCTTTCTGGAATGGTCAAAGCCGCGGCACATTGAATACGGTCGTGCAAGCGGTTGAGGTTCAGATACCTACAACTGTCTTCGGACCGGACGGAGGCGAAATCGCGCTGAAGGCTGCCATCCAGGCAGCACAGACGCTCGGCGTTGTGGACGGACTTCGACGTGCGAAAGCCAGATCGAGCTGAACGCTTTCGACTGGGTCTGCAATGCAAACGCTGTACAATGGCGTTGGTCCGCAGTCCGAGGAACGCACGGGTGGCGCAATGCAAGGACAGGCAACGGCCCACAACCGCCGTTCGGATTGCAAGCGCCAAACGCCGCTGTTGGCCCAAAACGGCCTCTCGCCATCTGAATTCGAGATGCCTTCGCTTGCCGGCGAAGCCACGGTAACGGCCCCAAAAGAAAGCCTAACGTCAAGATTTTTAGATGCGCGGCCGCAAGAGCACGCCCGCTAGAGCGTTTGCAATTCGGGCGAACGGCATCGATCACGAGTTAAGTCAAACTCCCACAATTATCCAACACGAAGTCGAGCACGTCATCAGACCGGCCATCATGCATAAACATATGGCTGAAACCGGGGGTCAGCTGGTTGAGATCAACAAGGCAAGATGGCGTTCCTTTTGAAGCCAAGTTATCGACCAAAGCTTTCCACCGTTGCGACGCCGAGCGCCACATTTCGTTGATATGCAGGTGACCTCCCTGAACCAAAACAAGCGGGATCTGTGCGGCTGCGCTGTCCATGTCTGGGAAGTCGGATGGCTCCAGGGCAATCATCATCTCGATGCTGTTGGATTCGCGAGCAGCAGCGGCGAAAGCGGTCTCGGCGCCTTGACTGTGAAACATTACAATTGACCGACCAAGCTTTCGCAGCACGGCGGCCAACGCCTCGATCTGTGCATTGGCCTGCGAGACCCAGCGCGGGACGAAGAACTGACCCAATCGCTCCAGATGATCGACTGGAAACCGTTGATTAGCAAAGGGCGTGCGCGTGGCGAACCCGTCGGCATCGCCAAATCGGAAAAGAGTCCAAGCATCCTGGAGCGTGCGGGTGAGCGGGGGGTCGGATACAAGATGCGGTGACCAGCCGGCGCGGCCACGCTCGACACTGTCAACGATATGAACCTCATAGCCATGATGAAGCAACCGATGCAGCCAGCCCTTGCGGCCATCTGGGGTCTGTTCCCATACCGATCCGCACATGCCGCCGCCATGGAGCAGTACAATTGGCGGATGTGCGTTGCGCTTTTGAGGCACGAAGAACTGCACATAGGCATGCCCGACCGCATGCGCGCCATTTTCATCAATCGTCAGATGCAGGAAATCGGTGACTTGAACGTGACGCACATCGCGGCCGGTGACATTGAGTGTCATGCCACCTGCGTAGTACGATCCAAAATCAGCGATCATAGCGTCCGACCAACAGGGCGCCGGACCACACATATGATCCGACGCGCGTTGAAGGTTCAATCAAGCGCACTTAGCGATTGATACTCGTCATATTTGTCCGAGAAGGCCTGATAGCTCTCCAGCGCTCTTTTGAACATCGGGTCGGCTGCTGACTGCTCGGTGAACACCTCTTCGGTCGCATCCCGCAACGCCGCAAGGACCTCATCTGGGAAACGTTGAACGTTTACGCCTTCTCCACGAAGGAATGCGAGCGCATCGGCTTGCGCCGCAGACGCAATGCCGATTGCCCAAATGTTGATTTCGGCACACGCGGTTTCGACCGCTGCCTGCTCCTGCGTTGACATTGCGTCCCAGACATCCTTGTTGATGATCAGTTCGGTGAACCCCGCCGGCTGATGCCAGCCCGGGAAATAGTAGTTGTTGGCAACCGTGTTGAAGCCAAGGTTTCTATCGACCCAAGGCGCAGAGATCTCCACGCCGTCAAGACGCCCGGTCTGCAGCGCCGTCGTGACCTCGCCCACCGGCAACAGCACGGGGTTTGCTCCCAGCTTGCCAAGGATTCGCCCACCCAGACCGCCAATGCGGAAGTTCACGCCGGCAAAGTCTTCGGCCGTGTTGATTTCCTTGGTGTACCAACCGCCCGCTTCGGCGATGATGGCACCACATGGGAACGGGACGACGTTGAAAGGCTCGTAAACCTCACGCCAGATTTCCAACCCGCCGCCTTCCATCGTCCAGGCCAAGTACTTCATGGCATCAGGTCCAAACGGGATTGAACCAAAAAGGCCGGCCGCGGGCGCCTTTCCCTCCCAGAAACCCGCATAGGCCCAGCCGGCTTCGATCGCACCGGAGCCAACATTTTCCAGGATTTCCGGAAGTGGTGATAAAGCGCCCGGCCCGTGCACCGTCACCGAGAGTTCGCCGCCCGTCAGCGTCTCGACCAGATCGGCAAACCGATCTGCTCCAGTGCCCACGATGGGCAGTCCGGCTGGGAACGCATTTTGCATGTTAAGCTCGGTCGCCGAAGCGGGGATTGCGGCGCTGAGCGCCAGTGCGGTTACTAGAGACTTCAGTTTCATGGTTGTTCCTCCCGGTTGAATGGTTTTGTACTTACTGAAAGGCGAAAACGAGCGCTGGAAACGCCGCTACGACGCCCAGGCATAGCAATTGCAGCAAGATGAACGGCGCGACGCCGCGATAGATATCCACCGTATCGAGCTGAGATTCTGCAACACCGCGGATGTAGAACAGCGTGACGCCGAACGGCGGCGTCATGAACGATATCTGCAGGTTCATGGCGACCAGAATGCCGAACCAGATCAGAAGCTGACCACCTTCCAATCCATTGCCAAAATCCAGAACGGCCACGATGGGTGCAAAGATCGGCACCAAGATGAGCGTGATCTCCAGCCAGTCCAAAAAGAAGCCGAGCAGAAACATCACGACCATCATGATGAACAGCACCATCCATGGCCCCCCACCGATCAGGCCGAGGCCGGCCTGAATCATTTCATCGCCTCCGATGCGGCGAAAGACGGCAGCAAAACAGGTTGCGCCGATGACGATCGCGATGACCATCGAGGTGGCTACAACCGCATCGCGTGCCGCCGCCCAGATTATCGAGGGCTGCGCCTGGCCGTTGAGTGCGGCGATCAGGATGGCCCCCAACGCCCCCACGCCGCTGGCTTCGGTGGGCGTGGCAAAACCTGCCAGGATGGAGCCGAGGACGGCTATGATGAGCAGCAGCAGTGGTCCGATATCGATCAGCAGACGCAAGACATTAGAGGCTGAAAGCGATGGTTCCGCTGTTGCAGTGCGGGGAGCGCGGGCCGCCGTGTAAAGGGCATACATCAGAACCAGCAAAAGGCCGGGTACGATCGCGCCGGCAAACAACCCTGGAATCGAGGCCTGCATCTGGTCACCCAAGATGATGAGCATCAGCGAGGGCGGGATCAGGATAGCGATGGTGCCCGATGAGGCCACCACGCCCGCGGCAAGCGGCTTGTTGTAGCCAGCCTCCAAGAGACGCGGCAGACCGAGCATTGTCAGCAAGATGACTGAGGCGCCGACGATCCCCGAGGACGCGGCAAGCAAGGTGCCGATCAAGAGCACCGACAGAGCCATGCTGAAGGGAGAACCGCCGAGCGCCTGTTGTGCGCTACGCAGAGCCTTCTCGGCGATCTTGGATTTTTCCAGGATCAGCCCCATGAAGATGAACATCGGCACGGCGACAAACAGCCAGTTGGACAATGCGTTGGCGAAAATGCGCGACACGAGCAACTGGAAGAAGGCGGGGGGGAGATCGGCCACCAACAGGAACGCACCGGCCGAGCCGGCCAGAGCAAGTGCGACCGGATACCCCAACAAGATGACTGCCAACGTCCCAACCGCCATCAATGCTGGAAGTGCGTACTCCATCAGTCGTTGCCCCTGCCGAACAAGCCGACGATCTTTCGTCCAACATCCAGGACGACGAAAACGGCAAGCAGACACAGCCCGATGAACAGCACCGATTTGATGAGATAGAGGTCTTGGAGGCCACCGAGCGGAGAGCCTTCATCGTTGCGCCAAGCGCTGGCGGCAAATCGCCAGGCGGCCGGTATTGACAACCAGAGAAAAGGTGCCGCGAGAAGGATATGACCAACAATGTCAACGAGAGCGCGGGCACGCGGCGGCATCGCTTCGTAAAAGAAATCAACGCGAATGTGGATGTTGCGCATCAGCAACAAACCCATTGGCAGCAAAGACACAATCAATAGCAGATGCCATTGGGCGTCGATCAGACTGTTGATCGTGATCCTGTTGCCAATCAGCGCCACATCGCCGCCCAGCGGGATCGACACGCCCCGGCCCATCGCGCTTAGCGCGACCTGGATGTTGATCAAGACCATCAAGGCCACGACGAGCGTTGCACCGATGCCGCCGATCACAAGTTTGTCGGTTCCCTCCAACCATTTTGGTGGCCGTTCGCCTTTCATGCCGCCCCGGCCCGCCAGTCCAGATTGAGCGGCGGCCCCGATCGAGCCAATGCGCCAAAAAAGGGTTCGTCCGGCAAGGCGCACTTGGCGATGCCTCGCGCCTCCGAGAGGCGGTCCAAATCGATCCCCGTCTCAAAGCCCATGCGTTCACAGAGATAAACCAGATCCTCGAAGACCACATTGCCGGTTGCGCCGGGAGCAAATGGACAGCCGCCCAAACCGCCCAGCGCACCATCGAGGACGCGCGCGCCATGATCGAGCGCCGCTGCGGCGTTTGCGATTCCGGTGCCACGCGTATCGTGCAGGTGGACGCAGAACGGGCGATCGTCACAAAGCTTGACCATCTCATCGCACAGAGAGGCGACTTGTCGGGGTCCTGCGTAACCCACCGTGTCGGCAATGCTGACCATATCAGCGCCGGCGGCCATACAGGTTTCTGCGAGCCGCAGAACATCGCTTTGATCAACTTGTCCTGCAATCGAACAGCCGAACGCCATGGCGATGCCGGCATTCGTAATCGGCCGATGCTCACTAGAACGGGCCGCTTCCGCGGCCTTTCTGACGAGCGCTACCGCCTGTTGCCGCGTGCGGCGGCTGTTGGCCAGGCTGTGCTCGTCGGTCGCCGATACCACGCATGTAATCTCATCGGTGTCCGACGCGATGGCGTCATCAATGCCTCTCTCGTTCAGTGCCAGAACGATCTTGTGCATTGCTTTCATCGACGCGGCTGCGTCGAGCAGATCCCGGAGATCGGCAAACTGCGGGAACCGATCGGCCGGCAGGAAAGAACCCAGCTCAAAATGCCGAACGCCGGCTGCATGCTCGGCCCTCATCCAAGCGACCTTGTCTTGCGTCGATGGAAACTGTTCGACCAATTGCAGGCCGTCGCGCAGACCGACTTCCCGCAGGGTTGTGCGGTCTTTGGGATAAATGGCTCCGACCCGGCTCATGCGACCGGCTCCGATTTCTTCCCGCAAGCTTCGGCGATTTCGATTGGAGAAAGTCCAAGTGCGCTCAATATGTCCTGTGTGTCGCAGCCGATCGATGCGATATCGGCGTTGTCTGGCTCGACCGGCTTGCCGTCAACATCGAAAGGGATGCCAGGCGCACGGAAGGTGCTGCCGTCCGGCATTTTCGAGACAACAAGCCCGCCGGGCCGATTGACGTGTGGATCATCATACATCTGAGCCGGGCGATGAACCGGTGCAAAAGGAATGCCCGCGGGCTCAAACGCGGCAACAAGCGCGTCAAAGTTGGATCGCGCGACCGCATTGGTAATGATCGGCAGGGTCCAGTGGCGAGCGTCGATCTGGTCCATGCGCGTCTGAAGGCGCGGATCGTTTTGCAGCTCCGCAAGGTTCAGTATGTCGCACAGAATTTGCCATTGGCCTTCCGTGACCGCGCCGATGAAGAGTTGGCGCGCATCTGCGGTTTCAAAAATGTCATAGACAGGCCAAGAGAATGCGCGCTCGGGCATTGGTGGTGCTTCAACACCTTCGATGTCGAACTGGACCATGTGCTGGGCGACCAGCAGAAGGCAGTTCTCAAACAGTCCGACCCGAAACTGTTTGGCTGGACCGCCTTTGTCTCTTTGCAGGAGTGCCGCCACGACCCCGAACGCGCCGAACAATCCGCCCATGATATCGTTCGCCGACGAACCGATCCGTAATGGCTGGCCGGTTGGCCCGGTCATGTAGGCCATACCCGTCATCATTTGGACGACTTCGTCCATCGCCGTGCGGCCTTGATAGGGGCCGTGCAAAAACCCTTTGCACGATGCGATAACCAAAGATGGATGGTTCGACCGTAGCGACTCCGGAGACATGCCCATCGTCTCAAGGGTTTCATCACGGAAATTCTCGACGAACACATCGGCAGTCGCGAGCAGTTTATGCAGAGCATTGCGCCCTGCTTCAGACTTCAAATCGAGCGTGATCGACCTTTTGCCGCGATTGAAGGTCGGATAGAACCCCCTGCCCATACCCGACAGATGACGTGTCTTGTCGCCGTTGGGCGGCTCGACCTTGATGACTTCGGCGCCCAAAAAGCCAAGGAAAAGGCCGCAGGATGGCCCCATGATCATGTGGCTCATCTCAACAACGCGGATCCCGTCAAGCGGAGCGAAGTCAGCGGCTGCCAATGCATCCTCCCGTGGTTCGACAGGATAAAATTGCCTGCGCTTGTTGAAAATTATAAGTTAGTGAAATCACCGTTCTAAAAAAGCGAATCCATGGAATCGCGTCAGCTTCGATATTTCACGGCGATTTTTGAGCATGGCTCTCTCTCTGCTGCCTCCGCGAATCTCAATGTTGCCACATCGGCGCTGAGCCACCATCTCTCCAATCTTGAGCAGCAGCTCGGAACTCAGCTTTTCGTGCGACGACCTCGAGGCCTCGCGGCCACTGCAGCGGGCGCGCGGCTCTATGATCATGCGCGCGCCATTGTCCGCGCCATCGACACCGCCGAACAGGATGTCCGATCGGAATCCCGGGAAATCAGCGGAGAGGTTTCCCTTGGCATGGCCCATTCGGGGTTCCGGGCCATCGGCTTGCCGCTGATTGAGACGATGTTGCGCCAATATCCGAAACTGAAACTATCGCTTTCAGAGGGCCTTTCGTCAGCAACCTTGTCGCATCTGCTCGCCTCCCAGATCGATTTAGCGGTGGTGTACAATCCGCCCACCGACCGGTCATTGCAGCTTCAGCCCATACTGGAAGAGACGATGGTGTGCGTCGGCCGCAAGGAACTGATTGGTGACGATGACGTGCCCATCACTTTCGCCGAGCTTCTGGAACTGCCAATGATCCTCTTGCGTCAAGGGCTGTCGGCGCGGGCATTGATGGACGATCTCAATCTCCTCAAAAAACTCGAGACGCGCGCCCTGCTGAACATGGACTCGGTGCAGGCCATTGAAAGCTCGTTGCGCGCCGGCCTTGGTTGCACGATCGGCACCCGCTTGGTCATGCGCGATGATCTTGAAAGCGGTGTGCTGCAAGCACGCCCGATCGTCAATCCAAAACTGACGCGTACGCTTTTCCTTTGCGAGACCGCTGATCGGCAGGCGTCGTTTGCACTCGAGGCGGTAAGAACTCTCATTCTGAAGCTCATCCGCGAAGCTGTGGAAGGCGGCCGCTGGCCAGCAACCCTCCTTGATTGAGCATACTCGTTCGGACGATCCCGAGCGGTCGCTGCAGCAAACGCTCGGTATCAGTTGCCTTCGGCTGCATCTGGCGGCAAAGCCGACTTGCATAGTGCGACCACGCGCGGAACGTGAACTCAACTGACTTGAGCGACGACCCGGCGGTTACGGAGAGGGCGCATCATTGTCGATGTGTTCGGCTCCCCACCGGGCCATCGATCTAAGGAGCGGTGTCAGCGTTTGGCCACATGGCGTCAGCGCGTATTCGACCCGCGGTGGGACTTGACGATAGTCGGTGCGGGCGACGATGCCGTCCGCCACCAGTTCCTTAAGCTGCCGGATCAGAACGCGCTCCGAGATCCACGGCATTTCGCGTTTCAGTTCGCTGAACCGATAAGTTCGCTCGGCGAGCCGGAACAGAATGCCAGGCTTCCATTTGCCGCCAAACACGCGATTGGCGGCCTCCATCGGGCATGCGGGCACATCGGCCATTCATTCAAACCTCATACTGACAAAAATGTCGGTACTTTACTTTCGGTCAATGTAAGCGCGAGTGTTCCCGGACCGCAAGCCGATGAGGAGCAAGGCCATGCGATTGACGATCGTCCTACCCGTTCTGGTTACCCTTTCGACGTCTACCATATCCATTGCTCAGGAGGCCCTTGCCGTGGACCGTTTCACCATCGACGTGCCGCAAACCGCCATCGACGACCTGCATGCACGCCTCGAGGAGACACGATTGCCTGATGCTTTACCCGGTTCGGGCTGGGATTACGGCACCGATATCGGAGCACTTGAAGACCTCATCCTCTACTGGCGAACCGAGTATGACTGGCGTGCTGAAGAGACGCGGCTCAATCGGTTCGATCACTTCACCGCCGACATCGATGGGTTGTCGATTCACTTCATCCACACCCGCTCCTCGCGCGAGGATGCGATACCGTTGATCATGCTGCATGGCTGGCCGTCTTCCTTCGTGCAGATGATCGATATCATTCCCCTGTTGACCGAACCGGAGCAAGGCCCGGCCTTTCACGTCGTCGTACCTTCTTTGCCCGGCTATGGATTCTCAGACATACCCAGCGAACCGGGCATGAACCCTGTCGCCATGGCACCGATCATGCACCGGCTGATGACCCAGGGGCTCGGCTATCGGCGATATGGCATCCGGTCAAGCGATCTGGGCGCGGGTGTCGCCGGAGGCATGGCGCTTACGTTTCCCGATGCGATCATCGGCTCGCATACCGGCGGGACGAACCCTTATCTGCAGCAGCCCTTGCCGGATGACTTGTCAGAAGAAGAGCGCGCTTTCGTTCACGCGGCGCAGAGCTGGAACATGACTGAGATGGCCTATGCTTTCCTGCATTCGTCAAAGCCCCAGACGCTTGCCTATGCGCTGAACGACTCGCCGGCAGGGCTGGCATCATGGCAGTTGGAGAAGTTTCATCGCTGGGTGGATCACGACGGCGACCTCTACGAGGTGATCCCGCGCGACGAGTTGCTCACCAATCTGACGATCTACTGGGTCACCGAAACGATCAATTCCTCGATGCGGCTCTATTATGAGGCTGCCCGCGCGCAAACCGGCTGGGGCGTGCCGGACGTGCCTGTCGGCTATCTGATGCCGGCCAATGATTTCTTTCCGACGCCGCGAAGCTGGATCGAGCGCCAGGGGCCTGTGGCGCACTGGACCGAAGTGGATGAGGGCGGTCATTTCATGGAATGGGAGCAACCGGAGATCGTTGCGGCTGATCTACGCGACTTCTTCAGCGGTCTCGACCTTTGACGCGCAGCCAAAAACGCTGCCGGGCGGGCCGCATTGGCTTTCGATTTCTCAGCATGGGCTAGCTGCTCATGGCGGCATTCCGGACATGACCAAATGACCGCAAACCGGTCGTGCCACCCGCAATGTTTTCAGGACCGCGGGTCGATCGCCGACTAGCCCTTTGCCCCATAAATGGCGAGGAACTTGTCGACCCCACGAACGACGCGGTGCGCAATTTCGTCTTCTGAAAGCTTCAGGTCTGGAAAGATCTGCAGTTCGATCGGCAGCAGGCCCTGACACAGAACCGCCAGGTCCTCGGCGGCTTCTTTCGTGTCGGTAACGTCCAGATGCCCGCGGTCGACCCACGCCTTGATGATCTCTTCCAGGGCGCTGCGCATACGGCCGGGTCCCATCTCGAAGAAACGGCGACCCAGTTCCGGATTGCGCTTGGCTTCGAGCAGAAACAGGGGCTCCGGACCCATCAATTCGCGGTTGGCGAGCGCCGTCATGAGCTGGGTGCACAGGCGCAAAAGCGTATCGCGCGGCGGCGCATTAAGGTCCACATCGCCGGGGAAACCGGCAACGGCATTTTCACCAAGCTGATCGAAGACGGCGACAAACACATCCTCCTTGCGCCCGAACTTGTAATAGATCGTCGTCTTCGCGACGCCGGCCGCCTCGGCAATCTCCTCCAACGTCACCGCTTCAACGCCGCGCCTGAAGAACAGGTCGCGGGCCGCAACGAGAATGTCGCGGCTCTTGCGCTCGGCGTAGGGCAGTGCGTCGTCGCCCTTGCGGGATTTTTTTTTGCGCGCGGCCATTGATCCACCCTTCAAATTACTACGTAGTCGTAGTATGAAACGATCTCGTAGTAATCTGATCGTATCATAAACGCCAACGCGAGACATGCTCAGTGCCCAGATTGCACCCGGACAATGCGGATTTGAAGCCGCTTCGCACATCCAAAGCGCCAGTGGATCGCGAGCAAGGCACCCGCACGGCCGAACCGCCGGCGCGGCCGTCGGCAAAGAGGATCGCCGGCGGCTTCTTCAGCGCGGCGCTGATCGGCGCTATGGTCGCCGGCACCGCCTATGCCTATCAGCGCATCCAAGAGGAATCGGCTCTGGCCATCGAACAGGCAGCCGCCGAACGGATGCCGGTTGAGGTGCGGGTGCAGACGGAAGCCGCCATCAGCCAGGACGCCTATCTGGTGCCGCGCCACCATGTCGGGCTGGTGGTCCCCGAGCGGACCGTTTCTCTGGGGTTTGAAGTCAATGGCCGGGTTGCCAGCGTCGATGTCTCCGTTGGCGATCAGGTCCGCCGCGGCGATGTGCTGGCAACGCTCGATCAGCGCCGGATCGAGGCCAACATGGCCAACGCGACGGCATCGCTGGAGCGGATCAAGGCCGTCCTGACGCTGCGCGAAGCGGAAGTGGAGCGCGTGGCATCGCTGCAGCAAAGCGGGATCGCCACGCAGCAGGCGCTCGATCAGGCGCGATCGAACCTGCAATCGGTGCAGGCGGACTTCGAAGGCGCCCAGGCACAGATCCGCACCCTGGCCATCGACCTTGAAGACGCATCTCTGCGCGCGCCGTTCGACGGCCAGGTGACATCGGTCGATTTCGATCTGGGCGACATCGTGTCCCCGGAGCGGGCCGTTCTGACCCTGTCCGCCATGGGTCGGACCGAAGCGCGCATCGGCGTGCCGGTCGCTGTGGCCGATGGCTTCGAGACGGGCGACACCGCATCGGTCCTGCATCGCGGCCGCATCATAAAGGCGGAAATCGCTGCGGTTGTCCCGCGCGTGAATTCGGCGTCCCAGACGGTGGAACTGGTGGTCGCCCTGCCCGCGCAAACCGGTGCGATCGACGGTGAGCGCATCGCGCTGATGACCGAGCAGCGGATAAGCCAGACCGGCTTCTGGGTTCCCCTCGGCGCGCTTGTCTCCGATCTGAAGGGGCTGTTCGCCGTCCAGATTGCCGCCGAGACGGATGGCGACACGTTGGAGGTCGCCCGCGCGCCGGTGGTGGTCCACTTTACCGACGCCGAACGGGCCTTCGTGTCGGGCTCGCTGCGCGACGGCGACCGGGTCATAACCCACGGAACCAACCGCGTGTCTCCCGGCCAGGCCGTCGGCATCGCGTCCCTCGGGACAATGGACTGATGCTGGTCGCGACCCTGTTCAATCGGCGTATTCTGGTCCTGTCGGTTCTGTTCCTGCTGGCGCTGGGGCTTGGCGCGATCCAGACGGTGGCGCGGTCCGAAGACCCGACCATCAAGGCCCGGATTGCCGGGATCACGACCATCTTTCCCGGCGCCAGCGCCACGCGGGTGGAAGCCCTGGTGACGCAGATCATCGAGGAGGAGCTGCGGACGCTACCCGAGATCGATGAATTGTCGAGCACCTCGCGTGCCGGCGTCTCCATCGTGCAGGTGACACTCGCCGACCGCATATCCGACGTCGCCCCGGTCTGGTCCCGCGTCCGCGACAAGCTGGCCGATATCGAACCGTTGCTGCCCGCCCAGGCATCCACGCCCGACCTGAACGATGAAGGCGGCTATGCCTATACGGTCGCCTATGCGGTTTCGTCGGCAGACGGCCGGGACGTGGATCGCCTCATCCTTCAACGCTACGCCGATGCTCTGTCCGAGCGGCTCAGAAGTGTTCCCGGCACCGAATATGTCGCCGTCCACGGCGACAGCCCGGAGGTCGTCGAGGTCGTCATCGACGACGAGGCGCTCAGGGTCGCCGGATTGAACGTGACGGCGGTGGCCGCAAGCCTTGCCGCCGCCGATGCCCGGAACACGGCCGGCACGCTCACCAACAGTGACACGTCGCTGACCATCGAACTGGACAACACGTTCGACAGTCTCACCCGCCTTCGGCAATTGCCGATCGCCCGCGACGGCGCAGGATCTCTGGTGCTCGGCGACATCGCCACGATCCGCCGCACCGTGGCCGAACCGCCGCGCGAAACGACGCTTCATAATGGCGACATCGCGGTGCTGGTGGGCACGCGCATGCAGCCCGGGCAGCGCGTCGACCTGTGGGTGCCCACTGTCTTTGAAGCCGTCAGCGATTTCACCTCACGTTCCGTTGAAGGCATCGACATCGATCTGGTGTTCGAGCAGCAAAGCTACACCGAAGATCGGCTGATCTCCGTTGTGACATCGCTGATCCAGGGGCTTGCGATCGTCGTCTCCGTGCTCTTCTTCACCATGGGTGTGCGATCTGCGCTGGCGGTGGGCCTCGCCATCCCGATGACGGCGCTGCTGACAGCAGGCCTTTTCCCGCTTGTCGGCATCTCTTTCCACCAGATGAGCATCATCGGCATTGTCGTGGCGCTTGGACTGATGGTCGACAACGCCATCATCATGACCAACGACATCCGCGAAGAGCTGGCCCATGGCGATGATCACGCAACATCGGTCGCCAAGGCCTACAGGAAACTGTTCTTCCCTTTGATGGCGAGCACGGTCACGACGATGCTGGCATTCTCGCCGATCGCCCTTCTGCCCGGCCCAGCGGGCGAGTTTGTTGGGCCCTTGTCGATCGCCGTCCTGTGCGCCCTGTTCAGTTCGTTTGTCGTGTCGATGTATATCGTTCCGGCGATCTCGCCACTCCTGTTCAAATCCGGCACCCATGGGCAGGGATTTTTCGCCAACGGCATTTCATCGCGGCTCCTGTCCGTCCCGTTCCGCGCCTTTGTCGGGTTTTTCGTGCGCCGGCCGCTCGTCGGGCTCGTGTTCTGCGCCGCGCCGGCGGCCCTCGGCATCGTTTCGCTGTCGACTGTTCCGGCAGAGTTTTTCCCGGCCATGGATCGCGACCAGTTCCGGATCGAGGTCAAGCTGCCGCAATCGACCGTCATCGACCGAACCCAACAGGTGGCGCAGAGCATAGAGGCCGAGTTGCTGGCGACGGAAGGCGTCACCCAGACGTTGGTGGCTGTCGGCGCAGCCGCGCCGCAACTCTACTTCAACACCATCAGTTCGGAGAGTTCGAACCCGGCCTTTGCGGATTTCATCGTCAACACCGACAGCGACGAGCGCACCGGCGCGCTGATCCCCTATCTTCAGGATCATCTGTCGACGATGTTTCCGCAAGCCGAGATCATCGTGGTCAGCTATGGCTTTGGTCCCCCCGGCGCCACGCCGATCGAGCTGCAGCTCTTCGGACCCGAACTGCCGGTCCTGGAGGAGTATGGCCGGATCGCCGCCGGCATTCTCGCCAATGTTCCCGAGGTTGTCGGCGCCGATGTCTCCCTGCACCGCGACAGCGTGCAGTTGCAGGTCGATGTCGATGACGAGGCGGCGCGGCTGGTCGGTCTGGATGCCTCGACGATCGCCACGCAACTGAACGGTGCGCTGTCAGGCCAAACAGGCGGCTTCGTCATCGAGGGTACCGAACAATTGCCGATCTCCGTGCGCTTCGACAGCGAAGCGCGCGCGACCACCGATGATCTGGCCTCAACGCCCCTTGTCGTTCCCGGAAACCGCACACCGGCGGGCGTGCCGCTGGCGGCGATTGCCGAAATCCGCGCGGTTCCGGCCTGGGTGGACATTGACCGTCTTGACGGCGAGCGCATCCAGACGGTGTCGAGCAATGTCAGCTACAAGACCATCGCCGCCGGCGTGCAGACCGACTTCGAGCAGGCGCTGGACGATGCCGGCTTTGAAATGCCGCCGGGCTATCGCTACGCCTTCGGCGGGGCCCAGGAACAGCGCGCCGATGCCGTTGGACGGCTTCTGTCCCAGATCGTCAACCTGGTGCTGTTGGCGTTCACGATTCTTGTCCTGGCGTTCAACTCCTTCCGCCGCATGGCCGTCGTTCTTCTGACCGGCTTGTTGACCGCGGGCTTTGCGTTTCTCGTTCTCAAGATGACCGGCTTTGCCTTTGGCTTCATCATCATCATCGGCGTGATGGGACTCGTTGGCGTCGGGCTGAACATGTCGATCGTCATGGTGGCGGCCTTGGACGAGGACGAAGCGGCACGCAACGGCAGCGTCGAGAGCATCATCGATGTGGTGTGCGGATCGACCGCGCGACACATCTGGTCGACGACAATCACCACCGCCGGCGGATTTGTTCCCCTCATGCTGATCGGCGGGGACTTCTGGCCGCCATTCGCCGTGGTTTTTGCAGGCGGCCTGCTGCTTCTGACGATCGTGGCCTATGTCTACACGCCTTGCATGTATCGCCTGGTGCTTGCGCAGCGGCGACAGATGCCGCGCCTTCCGGCCTCGACCGCGGTGGAGGCCTGAACGATGATTGCCCGGCCCGATCGACGCACGGGAAAGATATTGATCGTCGGCCTCAAGCTGATGTCGGTGACCGCCGCGCTGGTCGCATGCTCGACGGTTCCCAATGCCGAGCCCATCGAAAGCGCCATCAAGCCGGTGGCGACCGAGAACATTTATTTCGTGACGACCAGACAGGCGTCGACGGACGGGCAATTGTTCTCCGATGCGCATGCGAACGATCCGGCCTATGGCGTCATTCGCGTCGGCATACCGCGCACCCACCAACCCGGTGAACTCAACCTGGCATCGGGTGAACCCGATCCCACACGCCACCTGCACACGCGCGCCGTATCAGTGATCCCTTCCCTGACAGCGTTTGTCGATCAAAGCACCCGGGACCAGCCGGGCGCCATGATCTTCGTGCATGGATACAACACCAGCTTCATCGAAAGCATCTATCGCTTCGCACAGATCGCCCACGACACCGACCTTCCGGCGGCAGCCATCCAGTTCTCATGGGCCTCGGCCGGAGAGCCGTCGGCTTACATCGCCGACCGGGATCGCGCCCTTCTGTCACGCTATGCACTCTCCGACTTGGTCAAGGCGATGGCTGCCAAGGTGCCCGAGCGCCTGGTTCTCGTCGGGCATTCGATGGGATCGCTGGCGTTGATGGAGGCGCTGGCGCTTCTCGACGAGGCCGACCAGCGCCGCGTCCGGCAAAGCGTCTCGGAAATCGTCCTTGTCGCACCCGACCTCGACACGGATCTTTTCGCCGCACAGTTGGCCCGGACATCGATCCCGCCAGACAGGTTCGCCATTGCGATCAATCAGAACGACCGCGCGCTCAGCATGTCGTCCTTTCTTGCCGGCGGAAACGAACGGCTGGGCAACAAGTCGGAAGCAAGCGTCCTCGCCGCGCTTGGCGTACGCATACTCGATGTGACCGGCGTTCGCGACGGCGACGGCTCGGGTCATTTCCTGCCGGCAACGTCGCCTACGCTTCTCGAAGTCTTCCGCACCCGGACCCCGCAGTGAGGAGCAAACCGATGGCCTTGAACCTTCCCAAACGCATCGGCCCCCGACCCAAGACAGGCGCGGTGCCCCCGCAACTGCAATACAGCGACACCAGTCCGCCGGAGATCGTTGCGGCACTCAAAAGCTGGGCCTTTTCCGCCTTCAAGCATGCGCGTGAGGAACCGACGCGCATCTCTGTGCCGACCTCACGCGCGCTGTGGCTCGACGAGAGCGTCACCACCGCGCCGGACGCCTTCATGCCACCGCCCGGCAGCCGTGAGTTCACCCACTTTCACGAAGACGGGTCATTGCATGTCGTGCTGTCCGATGAGGACGAGTACGCCGTTCTCAAAGCCGATTGGGGCATTCCGCACATCTATCACCACAAGGGCGTCAAGGAGATATCGGTCTTTGCGCCCCGCACTGTCGAAGAGATGGAAACCGTCAAGGCGATTGTCCGCGCGTCCTACGACCACGCCATGTCGGGCAGGCGGTGACGATGGCCCATGTGATCGGAGAGCCCTGCATCGGCGTCAAGGACGCGTCCTGCGCGTCCGTTTGCCCCGTCTCGTGCATTCACGATGCCGGCGACCGCTACGGGATCGATCCGGACCGTTGCATCGATTGCGGTGCCTGCGTCGTCGTGTGCCCGGTCAGCGCGATCGCGCCCGAAGGCCTTTTGCCGACCGAATGGGGCCTGCAGCCTCCGCCGGCCGCCCAGTGGCCAGCTCAGGAGCCATGATGATGCCGGAAGGCTTCTTGTCGATGAGGAGAGTCGGTGATGATGGGTCCCATTGAGATCGTGATGCGGCTGGCCGGTCGGTTCGGCCTTGCGTTCGATGGCGTCGATGTCGAAGCGAGCACCGATCAGATGATCGCCAAGCTGGAAGATCACCGCGGCATCGGATCAGACCCCCTGCCCGCCCATGAAACCGCAAGCGGGCGGACACCCTTCACAAGCGATGTTCCGTTTCGCCAGAAAGCGATGTCCCATATGGGCTGGCGCGACTTTCTCGAGTTGATGCCGCAAGGCCCGCGCTTCATTGCCCACACCAACCGGGGGCAGAAATTCTGGAAGGAAACGTTCGAGCCGGCCCGCCGCGAATTGCCGGCAGAAGAACGTGCCGAACTGGTTGCGTTCATCAAAAACAAGGGCGCGCTGGACGTGGGTTTTGTTCCCGATGTCGACCCAAAGCTGGTCTTTGCCGGACAGGTCTTGCCGGAGCGCCACGCCATCGTCTTCAGCGTGGAGATGGACAAGGCGGCCATGGAAACATCGCCCTCCGCCAAGTCGAGCACCGAGGTCATGCGCCGTTATGCCGATTTGGGTGCCATTGCGGCCGCCACCTGCGAATGGCTTCGCGACCGCGGTTTTGCCGCCTATCCCGGCACCAATCTGGGCGGTCAGTCCGATTATCCCGCCCTCGCGGAAGCCGCGGGCCTCGGCGCTATCGGTTATCATGGCCTGTTGATCTCGCCGGTGGCCGGCGCGCGGATGCGCCTGTGCACGATCTATGTGGGCATTGACAATCTCCCCAAAGCGGAAAACCCGCACCTTTGGGTGCGCGATGTCTGCGCCAACTGCCGCCGCTGCGTGCGGTCCTGTCCGCCGGGCGCCATCGAGCCAGAGCCAAAGCCCAAGGCGAACGGATACAAGCGGGCGATCCGCGCAACCGCCTGTCGCGACTATTTCGCCCGCAATCTGGGATGTGCCATCTGTCTGAAGGTCTGCCCCTTCAGCCATGTGGGTTATGAGACCGTTCGTAAGAGCCATGAAGCGGCGAAACGGGTGGAGCATGATCCGGCTCCGATCTCGACCATCGCCGACAATTCAGCCGAAGGTGACGGTCCGCGCGTCGCTGTGGTGGGCGCCGGCGCCGCCGGCTTCTATCTGACAAAGGCACTTCTGGAACGCGATCCTTCGGTCCGGATCGATCTCATAGAGCGCCTGCCGTTTCCCCATGGCCTGGTGCGTTACGGCGTGGCGCCAGATCATCCCGAGGTGCGCAACAAGGGCTGGCTGTTTGATCGGATGCTGGAACATCCGCGCGTACGGCTGCACGCCGGCCTGGAACTGGGCAAAACCCTTGACGTCGAAACACTGCGCGCCCGCTACGACGCCGTGGCGCTGTGCGTCGGCGCCCGCTCCAGCCGGCGCATGGGCATCCCCGGTGAGGACCTTCCGGGCAGCCTGTCGGCCGCCGACTTCGTGCGCTGGTACAATGCGCACCCCGATTACAGCGCCCTTGACCCTCGGCTTGGAAAGCGCGTTGCGATCGTAGGCCACGGCAATGTGGCCCTCGATACGGCCCGCATGCTGCTGAGCGATCCAGAAATGCTGGTCACCACCGACATGATGCCGGAAGCAGCGGTGCGCCTTGCCTCAGCGGATGTGCAGGAGGTGGACATTATCGGCCGCACGGGGCCGTCACAGACCAGCTTCACGCCCAAGGAAATCGTGGAACTGTCTGAGGTTCCGGGCGTACAGATCATCATCGATCCGGACGATTTGGAAAGGGACCACCGAGCGTCCCATGCCGATCAACAGGCCGAGCGCCGCCGGCTGCGCAACCTCGAACTCTTCGAATATTGGGCCGATGCGCCGCGCGATCCGAACAAGCGGCCAGTCCGTATCCGCTTCTTCCTCGATCCGCGCGCGGTGGAAGGCGACAACCATGTGACCGGTCTGAGACTGGAGCGCACCCGCGTGACCGACGTGAACGGCCGACCAGAGCATGTCGGCCTTGAAGAACAGACCGTGATGAAGGTGGAAACGGTCATCCGCGCCATCGGGTTCAAGGCCGTCCCAATTCCGGGCCTTCCCTTCGATGCCGCGCGGTCGCGACTGCCCGTTGGTCCAAAGGGGCGCCTTGTCGGCACCGACAACCGGCCACTGCCCTTCCTTTACGCCTCCGGTTGGGCGCGCCGGGGCCCCACGGGCGTGATCGGCGCCAACAAGACCGATGCCGAAGAGGTCGCCCAGACCATCCTTGCCGATCTGGCGCAAACACCGAACCGCTGCGGCGCACCCGGCCTGCCCGATGACACGGCGCCCGTTGACGCCGCCGCTTGGGCCGAGATCGCGCGCGAGGAAAAAAGACGCGGCGCGGTGCGCGGTCATGGACCCTTGCGCTTCATCGATCCCCAGGAAGCCATCGACTGGCTCGGCAGTTACGGACACAAACGGCTCAACGATCCGACGCTTCCCATGAAGGACATCGAATCGGGGCGGCCGGATTTTGCACGCATCAACAAGACCTACACCTCGGAGATCGCCCGATGAAAAGATATCCGCCGACCCTCGTGGTGCTGCACTGGATCATGGCCGTGATGATTGCCGTATCGCTCGTCATGGGCGGCTTTGTGTTCTCGAACATTGCGTGGAGCCATCCGGACAAGGCGCAGGCGCTCGCCGGACACATGATTGCGGGCGCAGTGATCGGGGTGCTGCTGGTGATCCGGTTGATCGTACGCCGCGTCACCCTGGCACCGCCGCCCGCAAGTTCCGGCACGCCGACTCTCGGTATTGTGGCACGCACGGTCCATGTGGCGCTTTATCTGCTGGTGGGCCTGATGGTGCTTTCCGGCCTGACCATGGCGCTCCGGTTCGACCTTTTTGCCTTCGCTTTCAACGAGACGGGTTTGCCGGTGACCAACGGGCTGCGCGGGTCCGGCCTGCACATGGTTCACAAAATCGCTGGCTTTGCCCTGCTCGGATTGATCGTCCTGCATGTCGCGGCGGCGATCTACCACACCTTTGTGTTGAAGGACGGCTTGCTGTCCAGAATGTGGTTTGGCCCGCGCTGATGCGGGCCGTGAACTGTGCAACAAAGACCGCGCCGCCGGGTAAACGCCGAGCTCGATGAACGACCCGTATTCTCAGGTCATTGGCGGCGGTTGGGCATAAGCGCTGACGTGCTCCCCTGAATGTACCCATTCATAGGTTAGCCCTGTTCACGTTGTGGTCCATTGCGGACCGGGTTGCAAACTCGTTCGGTGTGAGCCCGTCGAGGCTCGTGTGTGGCCGGTTGAGATTGTAGTCGATCCTCCATTTTTCGATGATCTGCCGGGCATGGCGGTAGCTGCGGAACAGATGCTCGTTCAAGCACTCGTCCCTCAGCCTGCCGTTGAAGCTTTCCACGAGGCCGTTCTGCATCGGTTTTCCGGGCGCAATGTAATGCCATTCGACGCTGCGGTTCTGCTGCCAGGCGAGCATGGCATTTGCGGTCAGCTCCGTGCCGTTGTCGCTGACAACCATGCAGGGATAGCCGCGCCTTTCGGCGATCGCATCCAGTTCGCGAGCGGCACGTTCGCCCGAGATCGAGTTGTCCACGACGGTCGCCAGGCATTCCCGGCTGAAGTCGTCGATGACACACAGGATGCGGAAGCGGCGTCCATCGACCAGCGTGTCCGACATGAAGTCGAGTGACCATCTCTGGTTTGGATCCTGTGGAATGGCCATTGGCGCTCGCGTACCCAAGGCTCGTTTGCGGCCGCCGCGTTTTCGAACCGTCAGACGCTCTTCCCTGTAAATCCGGTAGAGCTTCTTCCAGTTCACCGCCACGCCTTCGCGCTTCAACAGCAGGTGCAGGCGGCGATAGCCGAACCGTCGCCGTTCCGATGACAGGTCCCGCAAGCGCTGTCGCAGACCGGCATCGTCCGGCCTGCTCGACTGGTAACGGAAGACGCGCGGCGCAATGCCGACCAGGGCACAGGCCCGCCGCTGCGAATAGTCCTTCATCTCGATTGCCCAACTCACGGCTTTTCTCCTGGAGCCGGGCGTCAGAAGTTTTTTGTCAGCATCTCACGAAGCGTCGATACATCCATCATCTGCTCCGCCAGAAGCCTCTTCAGCTTCGCGTTCTCTTCTTCAAGCGCCTTCAGCCGCTTGGCGTCCGATACGTCCATGCCACCATACTTCTTGCGCCACGTGTAGAACGTCGCGTCACTGATGCCGTGCTTGCGACACAGCTCAGCCGGTGTCATGCCCGCCTGATGCTCCTTCAAAATGCCGATGATCTGCTCTTCCGAAAACCGTGATCGCTTCATTGCCTGTCTCCTTCGTTGAGGAACAGGCTAACCCAAAAACGGGGACATCTAAGGGGAGCACGTCAATGTCTACGAAGCGGTCGAACACCGCGTTGCGAATGCTCTCGTTGACTAGCGAGGTGGTTTTTCCACCCGCTTCCGCAAGCGGGACGGCGCGGAGCACTCGTTCGACCAGGACCTTGTAGAGCAGCTCGAACCACGCCTCGGAGTTGTCCAGTCGGCTTGCCCGGACAAAGTGGAGGAGGCATTCGCTCGGAACGTAGTCCGGATGCTTGCGGTCGCGAATGCGGGCGCGCTCCAAAAGCGAGTCGCGCGGAAGATTCGCCAGCGCGGGCAGGAGCGCCTCGATATTGTCGGGGCGCAGATACGGCGTGCCGTCCTTCCTGTGCTTGGTGAGCGGATCGATCAACTTATCCTCCCTGTTCGGAGTTTTAGCACAAGTGTGTTTTCCGAATAATCGCCACGGAAAGTAAAACCGGAACGGCGCGCTCAATTTTTTTTGCAGCCTGTTCCTTCAGCACCAAGATTCTGTTCACAGGCGATGACATGAGACGCAGCAGGTCAGTTACCGCCTCAACCCAATTACGGAGCCATGCGTGAGCTATTGTCGGTTGAGATTTCGGCGTGACTTACGGGGACTACCAACGACTGCTTTTGAATTGGGCCATCTTCGATGCAGAATGTCCGCTGTCGGCCCAGGGACGACTGTTCGGTACCTTTCGAACATCGCTCAAACGGGGAACTGTGGCGGTCAGCAGCATTGTTGGTAAGAGATCGAACGTGATAGCACCGAGATTTTTGTTCGTGTCGAGCGATCGAATTGACGGCCGCCTGCCCCCAAGCGATCTGGATAGGAAATGGGATGGAAATGGCTTTCGGCTTTTCTGGAAAGACGATGAGGCGCTCATGGTCGAGCAGACACGCTCGTGGCTGTCGATCTCACTCAAGGACGAGAAGGCGGCGACTGCAGCGGAGGTTCTCTTCTGGGAATTTGGACATAGTGAGGTCCAGCTTTCTCGACCATGGCCGGGAGCGATCACGATTTATGTTGGTGCCGCTGGATCGTTTTTCGTTTCGACCCACCTTCGCTTCGCCGCCCCGGCGGGCTTAAGCCTGAAACCGATGCCTTATTCCCTAGATCCTGGCAGTAAGATCTCGATCGATCTCGCGACGCGCCGTATCGCAGATGGCGGCCGAGTGCCGCAATTCGATGATCCGCCGCCATCCACGATCGAGGACGCGGCTGGCTCCCTTAAGGCCGCGCTCTACAATGTCGTCAGCAACATGCACGTTTCTTCGGCATTGCTGCTGAGCGGCGGCATTGACAGCGCGGCCTTGGCGGCCTGCGCCGCGCCAAGGCAATTCCCGACGCTGACATGGACGTTGACGCCTCGAAAAGGCGGTCGACGGTTCGAGGACGATGTTGCGGCCGCCCGTCTCGTTGCCGATCATTGCAAGCTTCATCATGTGATCATACAGCTTGATGAATCCCAATTCGAGCGGGATATCGATACCGCCATCCTGCTCAGTGAGATGAGACGCGGAACCTTTATCGATGATGCGGTGGTCTATGTTCAGATCGCCCGCGCACTGAGCCGCCAGAACATCAGGAGCGTCATTATCGGAGAAGCGGCAGATGATGCCTTCGGCTGCCTGCCCATGAACCTGCGCTACTATCAGGATCGGGAGCTCTCGCAAAAGCTTCTCCATGATCTCACGGTCGGCGCCCCCGCTGACTACGCGGCGATCCGGAAGATCTTTGCCCATTTCGGAATCGATATCATCGATCCCTATCTGGCTTGTGAAGTGGCGAGGCTTGGCGCCAGCCTTCCGCTCGACATGCGGATTGACGCCGGCCGGTTGATGAAGCCTGTCTTGCGTATGGCGTTCGAGCACGACCTGCCGCCGGAAGTCGTTTCGAGACGGAAACATGTGTCGCGCGACGTCTCCGGCGTCAAGGAGTCGATGGCACGGCTTTTCGGGAACGATCGGGAGAGGTTTCTCAAACGCTTCAATAGCCTCTTCAAGCGGGGAGATGCCGCTGAGAAGCAGCAGTCCGTGCTTGCGGAACTCCATAAAGACGTCTCCCGGGCGCTGGCCTAGGTGCCAGGATTCCGCAGATCCTCCACCTCACGGCGCAATTCCTCATCCGCCGGAAATTCATTCTCCAATTCGCTGAAAAGGCTAAGCGCAGCGTCGCGCTGCTGCCATCTCTTCAGCTCCTTGGCCATGAATCGCCGCGCGCCAACCCAATCCGGTGTCATTTTCTCGGGCCGTATGAGATCCGGCGCTTTCAGAAAGTGCTCGAGAGCCAAGATCGGCTGACGCTTCACGGTGTAGAGCTGACCCAGACAAAAATGGGCGTAGGACATGTCTTCCACGCCGACCGCAATAATCTTTTGGAATATCTCGATCGCACCATCCACCTCACCGAGGATCTCGAACTTCATGCGTCCGAGATTCGGCAAAGATGAAACGAAGCTTGGATCCGCGTCGGCGGCCCTGCGGTATGCGTCCTCGGCCAGCTTCGCTTCGCTGAGCGCTGCAGATCGAGTGCCCTTTCGTTTAGCGAGCGCGGCGAGCACCTCGTGGACCGAACCTTCATTGTTCCAGTGCCAAGCCCATATTTCGGAGCGTTGCCGGCCGAGAAACCGCTCGTGCTTCTTGATGCGACCGCGCCGCTCAGCCAGCTTCTTCAATGCATGGTCAGCGGCCGTCTCAATCTGCACGACCCTATCTTCCCAGCGCGGCCGCCAGACATGCAGATGGATGTGCAAATAGTCTCGCGTTTCCTCGGACTGGTAGTAGAGCTGTTCCACTCGAATGCGGCGATCGCCAGCGAACCGTTCGCGCAGACCTTTCACGCGTTCACCCTGGCCGAGCGGTACCCCTTTTTCCCGAAGCTCCTTCAACAGGTCATCAAGAAGCTGGATTCCCTCGCGGAAGAGTTCCGGGTCATAGGTCTCGACATAGGCTGCCGCAAGATTATAGGTCGCCGCCGCGCGGAGAGCAAATTCCTTACTCCTACTGAACTCCTTGAAAACCGGAATGGCGAACTCCTGATTGAGATCGCCCAGCGCCGACTGGGTAATGCCGAAGTAGAAGCGCGGAAGCGCGTCCTGCGGACTTGCCGCCATGCACTTCTTCAGCACCGCCGCGGCGTTCTCAAGCAGGTCGCGGGAAGAGGTTTCCTCGTATCGACGGATGAGCTGCATCGCCTCCACGAACAAGCCGGCGGAGCGGCTGTTCGAGAGCTTCAGTTCGGCCGAGGCCGAAAGCTGTGGCGAGAGTGTGAGTGTGCTCATGTGCGTACCAAGCTGTCTCCATAGACGACAAAGGCGAGATGTCGACCGATTTCACGATACCCGAATTTCGTATCGTCGGCGAGTACCGGCACCTGCCAGACTTTCTCGGTCCGGCCACCCCATCGCAACAGGGCGTAGACGTAGGCATGCTCGTCGATAGTCTCAACGCGTAGCTCGAACTGGTAGCTGTAGTAGTCGCGGATCGTTTGCGTGATCGCGGCGACTCGCGTGATGTCGATACCCTGCACATTGAGATCCGGCCCGACAAGATCCTTGAGCGAAAGCGGCGTAAAAAACCTCGCGCTGCTACCTCCGATGGCCGATAGTCCGCTTTCGCTGCTTTGGTAGCGCCGAAGCTCACGCATCGTAACGACGAATTCGTCGAAGACGGTGTTGCGAAGCTCCTCCTTGGCGCTGCCGGCAACGGACACCTTCCAGTCGTTCGCCCGCTTGAAGAAATATGCGGACACATTCTCTATTAGCGGGCCGGCCAATCCGCGCCAGATCAGACCGAGAACGACAAGTAGGAGACCGAAGCCGGCAATGTAGACCAGATAGTCGATCGGCCACCATCGATTGAACGGCGGCGAGAAGTATGCTCTCACGCCAAGAGGTGCGGCCTCCTTCTCGCGAATGGCCTCCTGCAAATCGTCGCGAGCGAGTTTTGCGATAGCGGTGTCTTCGGCGGCCGCAGCGTCCTCTAGCGCTTCGACCGCCTTGTCCCACTCTCCCGCCTTCAGGAACGCGCGTCCCAGTTCCAGTTTGCGGGTCGCGGCGTCGATGGCGTCTTGGTCATCGGCAGCTTTTTTTGCCGCAAGAGCTTGCAAAAGTCCGCTGCGTGCGGCCCCGGCAATATCGAAGTTTGTCGCCGCCGCCGCTGCGATGAACGCATCAATCGCCTTGTCCCACTCCTCTGCTTTCAGAAAGGCCTGCGCTAGGGCAAGCTGACGCTCCTCAGCGGCGCGTTTGTCAGCGGGAGATACGTCCGCCGCAGGCATGGTGACAGGACTGGTTTGCGCATAGAGGGGCGCCATTTGAAACGGGAGCAAATGCAGTGCGAGTAAAAAGACAAAGAAGAGCCCGTTTATCCTTGCCATCCCGCTCGACATATCCCTAAATGCAGCCTTGGGTAGTTTTCCGTTAGCGCAATCGTGTCAACCAGACTTTCCTATCAATATCATAAACACGCCAAAGCTGCGCTCAAGGCCGTACAGGATGCTGATGTCGAAAAAAGAGGCCCAGCTTCCTTTCCACTGTCCCTCTTCGCCCAATATTGTTTCGATGCGTTGGCGGGAACGACCAACCGGCTGACCGAGAACTTCTCGGTTCGGCTGAGCGACCTCGTCGCCGCAGCCGAACGACTGCGACCCGACAAGCCTCGCTGGCTTGTGCAGGCAGAAACCATTTTGCATCTCAGCGAACGGCTCCTCGGCATGGCTGTGCCAGCGGACCTGGAAGCAGCACACGATTGCATCGAGGTTCATCGTCTGCGCCGGAAGGACTGCGGAACCTATTCGACACCGAACCAGATCGTCGACAATGTCGTGTCCCGTACGCTCCTTGCGCTCGACGCCGGCAAGAAAAGCGACGGGGCAACGATGAATGTGGTCGACCTGTCGGCCGAGGCCGGCCATTTCGCTCTTGCCACGCTGGCGCTTACGGAACGACGCAGTGTCCATTTCCACGCGTTCGATCGGGACCTAGAAGCGGTCGACTTGAATAGAACGTTGCTTGAGAATGCCGAACGGCTTGCAGGTCCAACCGGCTTCCGTTTTCATTCTTCGCTCCAGGAAAGCGTCGTGAGTCGTGCGGGCGATCTTCTTGCAAAGGAAGTCGACGCGGTGATCGGGAATCCGCCGTGGAAGATACTCCACCCGACCGATGCGAAAGCCCTGATGAATTCCTACAAACCAATGCTTCGCGCCCGGTTCGACGTCTACTTGGCATTCATCCTGAGGGCCGACCAGTTGCTGCGCAAAGGAGGGGTCCTTGGCATGGTATTGCCAAGCGCCTTTCTTTACAATGACAGTGCCTCCGACGTTCGGAAATATCTTCTTGATCGGTATGATCCAATTTATCTCGCAACCTATCCCAGGCAGGCGTTCATCGAATACCGGGGGGTCGCCCCAGTCGCTGTTCTCATGCGTAAGAAGACACCTGCTGCGGAAAAAGCTGTCACTCGAATCGACATCCATCATTCTCTTTCCGAAACCGCGCCTCCGGTAGCAAGCTACGACATAGATGGAGCACAGGATTGGATCAACAGTCCGCGCTCAGCATTCACGCCGGTTCCGGCACCACAATCACTTGTCAGCAGCCTTGGTGGAAACGGACGCGTTTCGCTTGCGGAGATGGGCTCGTTTTCTTCGGGCGCAAAATTCAGTCCCCGCAAGGCACGCGTACCGCAGTACTCTTTCGTTGGCATCGGCGCAAGAAACGTAAGCCCGTTCCGAGTCGATGCTGCCAGCGCAACCTCGTTCACCGATAGTTCCACCGTGTTCGACCGCTCTCCGCCAGTTCAATTTCTTGCGGATCGGAAGGTGTTTTTTCAGACAGTCCGCTGTGTATCGCTGACGCGGAGACTTGTCGCGGCCGTCGGAGGAAGCGGGGAATTAGCCTGCAGCAGCGCCGCGATGTTTGTCCCTTCGGATGACGCACATGCGGACGTCACCGCGGGGCTGTTGAATTCCGCCTTCGCCAACGCCTGGTATAAGAGCCGCGATTACAATCACTCCATCAAGATTTCGGTCTTGAAGGAGTTGGAGATTCCGCTCGACGAACCGTTGTGGCAGGAGATCGCCCAGCGTTCGCGAGAGCTCGCCCTCGCGCATGGAACCAGGCCGGATCAAGGCCGCAATCCAAGAAGAGTGCCGGAGGCGGATGATATCGATCGCGTCAGATTGCGCAGGGAACTCGATGAACTGGTCTTCGACCTTTATGCGATTGGAGCGATAGAGCGGGCCCGACTGAAATCTCTTTCTGTAATGCGGTTGTTTTAGTGTCGTGTTACTATCGCACAGTCCGCAATTATCAATCGTGTGCCATGTCTCTTGATCCCAACACCAAGCTCGCTCAGGTCCGAAATGCCATGGCTGAGGACGACTGGGAACGCGCCATTATACTTGCGGCCAAGCTCAGGTCCCTCGGAAAGTACCAAAAGCCAATAGATCGCGCGGCTGATTTTCTCAACCATCCTGCGATTTATGAGCAGATGGGATATGATCGCAGCAAAACAATAGAAGAAGCAATCGCAGCGCTGAAAGAGAAGTTCAGTCGATCGTGGGAGGCTGTTGCCGGCGAGGACAGCAGCAGAAAGGAGCCGCGGCAAGCCTCAAGAGGTAGCAGGAAGGCTCCACGATCGGGCGAATAGCAGGTTGGGTGTTGGATCCCTGGGCCAGCCGGATTGGGTTTCGGCGCAATTTTTTGAAACGGAAACAGATGTGGCTATCGCTGGACGCAGTTATCCTGCAAGTGCAGCAAATTGCTTAAAGGCTTGACCTGAGACTCGAAATTCCGATTTTGAATGCGCTGATCGCGACTGAGGCCCAAGGTCTCAAAATCGCCGATACCGTTGAAAAAGTCGCCTTTCTCGATTTCTGATCGTGTCGGTGAGTTCGGGTGTTCTTGCTCTCACGCTGGGTTTGGGACCAGCTTTGCGAGCTTGCGGAGATTTTGGACTGTTGCCGCCAGGATGAACTCATCTCTGGCGCCGTTTGGTCCTCTGAGGCGTAGGCGGTCGAGGCCGATGATGCGTTTGAGGTGGGCGAACAGCATCTCGACCTTCTTTCGGGCATAGCTGGCGGTCACATAGGCGTCGGTCTTGGTGATGTCGCGAGCCATGTTGCGTGCGCCCTCGTGGATGGAACGCAAGATCTTGCGCGCTGGCTCCTTGGGGCAGCATCGCTGTTTCAGCGAGCAGACATCGCAGTCCTTTTTGCTGGCGCGGTAGCGCATCAAACCTTCCTTATCGACGCCAGAACGCGGTGTTTTGTAGGGGCGCCGGAACTGCACGAGCTGTTTGCCGCCGGGACAAGTGTAGCTGTCATTCTCGTGGTCATAGGCAAAGTCGTCGCGCGAGAAGGTGCCGTCCTTGCGTTCGGACTTGTCGATCACCGGGATGTACGGCTCGATCCCTTCCTCCTCGACAAGCCAGCCCAGCATCGGCGCTGAGCCATAGGCCGTGTCGGCCACCAGCTTCTCAGGATAGAGACCGAACCGATCTCTGGTTCGCAAGATCATATCCTTGGTGATCTCGACCTCGGCCTGCCGGATCGGAGCGGTCGCATCGACATCGACGATGACGGCATTGTCCAGATCGACCAGATAGTTGGTGGAGTAGGCAAAGAACGGCCTGTCACCATTGGCGCCGGTGTAACGCGCTGCCGGGTCAGCCGGAGAGATGGCCTTGGGCTGCACGGGCGTCGAACCGCCAAAGGCAGCATCATCCAGCGTGTCGAGATACTCCTGCGTGGCCCGTGAGACCTGTTCAGGCACGGACCAGTCCGCCATCTCCACCTTGGTATAGCGGCTCGCGTCGGCCTTGATGAGCGACGCATCGACACCGAAGTCTTCGCCGCCGACCAACCCTTCGGCGATACAGCGTGTCAGCACGGTGTTGAACAGATGCCGGAACAGATCGCTCTCACGAAAGCGGCCATGCCGGTTCTTGGAAAAGGTCGAGTGATCGGGGACCGCATCGTTCAAATCCATCCGACAGAACCAACGATAGGCGAGGTTCAAATGGACCTCTTCGCACAGGCGCCGCTCGGACCGGATGCCCATGCAGTAGCCAACCAGCAACATGCGGATCATCAGTTCGGGATCAATCGAAGGGCGGCCGGTGGAACTGTAGTAGGGTGCTAGAACTGAGCGGATGTCGGAGAGGTCCACAAATCGGTCAATCCGGCGCAGCACATGATCTGCCGGAACATGCCGATCCAGGCTGAACTCATAAAACAGCGCTGCTTGTGGTTCCTTCCGCGGGCCCATCATCGTCGGCAATCTCCCAAATCACTTGGGAAACTGAATCAGCCACCGAAGTGGTGATCAAGCGGCCTTTGTCAACACCATCCGCCCAAAACGCCATTTCGATCGCGCTTCTTTCGGCAGCTTTGGGGATTAACCGGACAAACCATTGCGGCCCACCGGGTCAAACCAAGCTGCTCGTGACGAACTCAGCCCATCTGTCCATCATGCTCCTGCGCTGATCGAGCAGATCCGTCCGGTGGTAAGCCGCCTCGACCTGGTTGCGCACTGTGTGGGCCAGTGCCCGCTCGGCAACATCGCGCGGAAAACCCTGCTCCGATGCCCAATCGCGGAATGACGATCTGAAGCCGTGCACGGTCGCTGTTCGCCCGGGAACATCGCTGGTGATGTTCGCATCACGCAGGATCTTTGTCAGTGTCATGTCACTGAGCTGACCGCCCGAGCGTGACTCAAAAGCCAGCCCGGTTCCGTCCGACCCTGTCGCCCGATCCTTGAGGATCGCCACGGCGTGAGATGACAAAGGCACGCGGTGCGGCTGACCTGTCTTCGCCCGTTCGGCGGGAACGGTCCAGAGTGATAGGGACCAATCGACCTCGGACCAGGTCAGACCACGCACCTCGCCCGAACGCGCAGCTGTCAGGACGAGAAACAACAGCGCCTGCTTGCTAACGCGCAGCGGAGTGTTCTCGAACAGTTGCGCAATGACCGCCGGACAGTCGCGCCATGGGACCGCAGGGAAATGGACAACGCGTTGTGCTTTGCCCGGCTGCCTGGGAAGCAGATCGTCAATGGCTGGAAGTGGACTTGCCGATACATGCCCGTGCGCCGCACACCAATTCATGACCCGGTGCATACGCTGGCGCAGCCGTGAAGCCGTCTCGGGCTTGGAGAGCCAAATCGGTTTCAGGACCTCCGCAAAATCGCGAGCAGTCAGTTGATCGACGGGCATTCCGCCAATCGTTGGAAAGGCATAAGTCTCTAGAGTGCTGATCCACTGGGCCGCATGTTTGCGGTTCCTGAACCCAAGAGCTATGTCGGCATGCACTTCGCAGGCGGCTGTACCGAAGGTTGGAGCGCCGACCTGATGCTCGCTCTGTTCAGCAGTCCGCCGACGTTCTTCGATCGGGTCATTCCCCGAGGCGATACGCTCGCGAGCCTTGCGTGCATTGTGCCGCGCAGACGCGATCGATGTGTCGGGGTAGGCTCCCATCCCCATGTCCCGTCTTTTATGCGTCTCCGGAGAAACAAACCGAAAGGTCCATTTTCCGCGTCCGGGCTTGGTCGACGGTGACAGATACAGTCCGGGCACGCTGCCATCCGCCACGGCCTTGTCGCCCGGTTTGATCCTTCTTGCCTTGGCATCTGTGAGCATCGAGACAGCGATACCTGATTGAGTGGCTTGTCGGTTCGAATGCGATCCTTGGTGATCGCAGCCCCATATTCAGCCCCACATAATGGCTGAGATAGGATGAGACAGAATGAGATTGTTCGCAACAGAATTTGCCACAAATATCTGCCAAACAGAGAGAATTCAAACCAGATGCGATTGCATGCGATCAAGCAAGAATCAGGAATGGCAGACACCCCCTCCGCCATTGTTTCGCTCACGCCAAGCTCACTGCGTTCGCTGGCTCCGCGGGGGCGGCCTGACCGGCCGGCGCACGGTCGTGCGCTTGCGGAGACCGGTTCGAAGTTTCTCCCCGATTCTCCGCTATTGTTTCGCTCACCCCAAGCTCACTGCGTTCGCTGGCTCCGCGGGGGCGGCCTGACCGGCCGGCGCACGGTCGTGCGCTTGCGGAGACCGGTTCGAAGTTTCTCTCCGATTCTCCGCCATTATCCGCTGGCTGATTCACGTCCCCGGCTTCGCCTCGAACGATCAGGCCAGTATGGCTCCGGGTTCGAACTTCGTCCCTACCCTTCCGCCGTTTTTGCGGCGTATGCGCTGGCGGAGCCCGAACAGGCCGCCCTATTTCTGCGATCCGGCCACCCGAGTAACCGTCTTGGAACCCAAACGGGTCAGGAACGGCGGCGGCTGACAGCTGGCGCGGCCGCCCCTTTCGTCTGTGCGCAGCCCATGCGCGGACGTTGGGCCGGCTTCACCGTCCGGTCAAGCGCGCTGCTGCCCGGGCCTGCCGCGATCCAGTCAGCGGCGAGATCGTGCGCGTCGTGCCCCGCCGGACGCGATAGCCGTTATCGCAACCGCCCCCGGCCATCCGGTTCTGCTTGACGCACCGGCATCGGCGGTCGATACGGATGCCGAATATCCGACTTTTGGCCAATAAGAGGACGGCGATGGAACTGCTGGTTGATTTTCTGACGCGTTTCGTCACCCAGTTCCAAACGCCCGCTCTGGCCTTTCTCGTCGGCGGCATGGCGCTGGCCGCGTTTGGCAGCAAGCTCGAAATTCCCGATGCGATCTACAAGTTCGCCGTATTCATGCTGCTGATGCGGATCGGCATCAATGGCGGCATGGAGATCCGTGAGGCGAATTTGATGGAGATGCTGCTGCCGGCTGTCTTTTCGGCCGTGCTCGGCTGCGGCATCGTGTTTCTGGGCCGCATCACGCTGGCCAATCTGCCCGGCGTCAAGGTCGAGGACGGCATCGCCACGGCCGGCCTTTTCGGCGCGGTCAGCGCATCGACGCTGGCTGCCGCGATGGTGATCCTCGAAGAGGAAGGTGTCGTCTACGAGGCTTGGGTGCCGGCGCTCTATCCGTTCATGGACATCCCGGCGCTTGTGCTGGCCATCGTTCTGGCGAACATCTATCTGAACCGGAAGAAGGACGGCGCCAACGCCAGGGTGAAGATCTGGCCGATCATCACGGAAAGCCTGCGCGGTTCGGCCCTTTCGGCGCTGCTGCTCGGTCTGGCGCTCGGCCTTCTCACCCGGCCCGACCGGGTCTTCGAGGGGTTTTACGATCCGCTGTTCCGCGGGCTGTTGTCGGTCTTGATGCTGATCATGGGGATGGAGGCCTATACGCGGCTCAACGAGTTGCGCAAGGTTGCCCACTGGTATGTCGTCTATGGCGTGGCCGCACCGCTCGTCCACGGGCTGATGGCGTTCGGCCTGGGCTACATCGCCCATCTCGTCACGGGGTTCAGCCCGGGCGGCGTGATCCTGCTGGCGGTGCTGGCCGGCTCCAGTTCGGATATTTCGGGTCCGCCCACGCTGCGTGCCGCGATCCCGACCGCCAATCCGTCATCCTATATCGGATCGTCGACCAGCATCGGCACGCCGGTCGCGATCGCCGTGGGCATTCCGCTCTATATCGCGCTGGGACAGGCTGTCTTCGGGTTCTGAGGCGTCGGCCGGCCGCTCAGAATTTGTGCGGCCGCAGGATCTCGACCTCTTCGAGATAGGTGATGCCCGAATAGTTCTCGAAGTAGCGCGCGGCGACCTTGTCGGCGATCTGTTCGGCCATGTCGCGGGTTGCCGTGATCACCTCGACCTTGACATTGGCGAAGGCATCGACGACCGCCGGGCGGCCGGACGAGCGCACCCCGCGACTGCCCTTGCCGGCGGCCTGCACCATCGTGTAGCCGCTCGCGCCGGCCTCCTCGATGATCTTCGTCACGCCCTCGACGATGAGCTTTTCGGTGATGATGACGATCTTGGTCGCCTTGTGCGTCATGACGCGCCGTCTCCTCGCTGATCCCCGACTGGTAGCAGCCCCGCCGCGCAGGTCAAGCGGCGCCGGATCGGATGGAGCGCTTAACGCAATGTTCAACGCCGGCGCGCTATCTGGAGCCAACACCGGGCGGCGTCTGCCGCCACCGACCGAACGAGCGCATCATGGCCAACCTTTTCGCCGGCCTTTCGCAAGGCACATGGATCAGCCGGGACCGCATGGTCGCCTATCCGGCGATGATGCTGGTGCTGACGGTCGCGGCGACGGTGTTCGTTCTTTGGAGCAATGGCGGCGTCATGCCCAATGGCGCCCCGTTCGGCACGGATTTCGTCTCCTACTGGGTCGCCGCCCGCGAGGCCCTGGCGGGCAACCCGCTCGTTCCCTATGACAGGGCTCTGTTCGAGCCCGCCCAGCGCGCGCTGTTCCCGGATGCGGGCTATTTCGCCTTCTTCTATCCGCCGCATTTTCTCGCCTACATGCTGCCGATTGGCGCGCTGCCCTTCTACGCCGCACTTGGCGCATGGATGGCCGTCAGCTTCGGGGCCTGCCTCTGGGTCCTGAGCCGCATTTCCGGCAATGCGGTTCAGACGCTGGTTCTGGCACTGGCTTTTCCGGCGGCGTTCCTGACCATCGCGCATGGCCAGAACGCGTTCCTGAGCGCGGCCCTGTTCGGCGGCGGGCTGGCCCTTTTGCCAAAACGGCCGGTTCTGGCCGGCATCCTGTTCGGTCTGTTGACGTACAAGCCGCAGCTGGGCCTCCTCATCCCGCTTGCGCTGCTCGCCGCTGGCCAGTGGCGGGCGATCGCGGCCGCCGGCGCCACGCTCGGCTTGCTCGTTGCCGGTTCCGCGCTCTTGCTGGGTCCGCAGGTGTGGATTGCGTTTCTCGCCCAAAGCGATCAGGCGATGGAAGCGCTGACGCTCGGGCTGGTGGGATGGCAGAAGATGATCTCCGCCTATGCCGGATTGCGGCTGTCCGGCGTGCCCGACGGCGCGGCCATGGCCGCCCACGCCGCGCTGGCGATTGCGGTCGCTGCCTCCATCGTCTGGGCGTGGCTGCCGCAAAACGGCATCGCGCATGAGACCAAAGCCGCGCTGCTTCTGACGGGCGCACTGATCGCCACGCCGTTCGGGCTCAACTACGATCTTTATCTGCTGGCGCCGGCACTGGCGTTTGTTGCCGCACGCGGTCTCGCCGCCGGCTTTCTGCCGTATGAAAAGACGGTGATGGCAATCGCCTTCGCCGCGCCGTTCCTGCTGCTCGTTGCGATGAGTGCGCGGTTCCCGATGGCGCCCGTGCTCGTGCTGGCCGTCTTTGCGCTCGCACTGCGGCGCGCTTGGTGCGAACACGCCGATCACGCGCCGGAAAGCGCCATTCAGCCCGCCGAATGAAAAGGCGCCCGGGGCGGAAACCCCGGGCGCCCTGATCGAAGGTGTCGGCGCCTGCGCGCTTATTCGGGCAGCTGGTCGTCGACGCCCTGAACGTAGAAATTCATGCCCAGAAGCGCGCCGATGTCGGCCGTCTCGCCCTCGGCCAGCCATTCGGTGCCGTCCTGCTTGGTGATCGGACCGGTGAACGGCTCGAGCACGCCGACCGTGATCGCCGTTGCGGTCTTCTTGGCCATGGCGGCGACCTCATAGGGCATGTTCCAGTAGGGCGCCATCGCCACATGGCCCTCGGCCATGCCGTCCCACACATCGTGGCTCTCCCAGGTGCCGTCCAGCACCGCCTGCACGCGCTCGACATAATACGGGCCCCAATCGTCGATGATCGAGGTGAGCTGGGTCTGCTCGCCGAAGGCGTACATGTCGGACGCCTGGCCGAACGCCTTGATGCCGCGCTCCTCGGCCACCTGCATGGGCGCGGTGGAATCGGTGTGCTGGGTGAGAATGTCGACGCCCTGGTCGATCAGCGCCTTGGCGGCGTCGGCTTCCTTGCCGGGATCGAACCAGGTGTTCACCCAGACCACCTTCAGCGAAAAGTCCGGATTGACCGACTGCGCGCCCAGGATGAACGAGTTGATGCCGCGCACCACTTCGGGGATCGGGAACGAGGCGATGTAGCCGGCGACGCCGGTCTCCGACACGCTGGCCGCGATCTGGCCCTGCACGTAGCGGCCCTGATAGAACTTCGAATTGTAGGTCGCAACGTTCGGCGACTCGCGTTTGTAGCCGGTCGCGTGTTCGAACTTCACGTCCGGGAACCTGGCCGCCACCTTGTTGGTCGCGTCCATATAGCCGAACGACGTCGTGAAGATGATGTCGCAGCCCGACCGTGCGAAACGCTCGATCGCGCGTTCGGCGTCGGCGCCTTCCGCCACGCTTTCGAGATAGGCGGTCTCGACCCGGTCGCCGAACGCCTTTTCCACGTCGAGCAGACCCTGGTGGTGCTGATAGGACCAGCCATAGTCGCCGATCGGCCCGACATAGATGAAGCACGCCTTGGCGTCGGCAGCCTGCGCCGCGCCGGTGATGGCCACGGCCGCTGCCGCCGCCAGAAGTGATGTTGCAAGTTTCTTCATGATCGCCTTTCCCCGAAACTCTCGATTGCCCAAACTCTTATGCGCGCTGTCGCGCAATCCCGCCCGTGATCGGCTTGTTGTTGTTGCTAGCGGTCCGGAACAAAGGGCTTGCCCAGCGACGCTGGCGTATTTCGCATCGTCATCCGTCTGTTGGATGAAATCAAGACAAGAACGACAATCGTCGCCAGATAGGGCAGCGCCGACAGCAATTGTGAGGGTATGGCGACGCCCTGCGCCTGCGCGTGGAACTGGGCGATGGTGACCGCGCCGAACAGATAGGCGCCGATGACGACCCGCAGCGGCAGCCATGAGGCGAAGACGACGAGCGCCAGCGCGATCCAGCCGCGGCCCGCCGTCATGTTCTCCACCCATTGCGGAATGTAGACCAGCGACAGGTGCGCGCCGGCCAGCCCGGCGCAGGCGCCGCCGAACATCACCGCCAGATAACGCACGCGCAGCACATTGATGCCCAGCGCATGGGCGGACCCATGGCTGTCGCCGACCGCGCGCAGGGTCAGGCCGGCGCGGGTGCGGAAGATGAACCACCAGACGCCGACCGCCAGACCGATGGACAGATAGAAGATCGGGTCCTGTCCGAACAGGAGCCGTCCGATCAGCGGAATATCGACGAGGAAAGGCACGTTGACGGCCTCGAGACGGACGCCCGGCAGGCCGACGAACTGTTCGCCGATCATGCCGGCAACGCCCAGCCCCAGAAGGGTCAGGGACAATCCGGTCGCCACCTGGTTGGTGGCCAGCGACAAAGTCAGGACGGCAAAGGGCAGCGAGAACAGCGCGCCGCAGATAATTGCCGCCAGAACGCCGGCCCAGGGCGAGCCGGTGATCTGCGCGGCGCCGAAGCCGGTGACCGCGCCGATGATCATCATGCCCTCGACGCCGAGATTGAGAACGCCGGAGCGTTCGACCACCAGTTCACCCATCGCCGCGATCAGAAGCGGCGTTGCGGCCGTGACGACCGTCAGGAGTATCGCCTGGATCACGTCGGGGCTCATCGGGCCGGCTCCGGTGCGGCTGCGGGGTGCGGGCGGACGATCCGGATCTGGTAGCGGATCAGCGTGTCGCAGGCGAGAACCGAGAACAGCAGCACGCCCTGGAAGACGTTGGCCACCTTGTCGGAGACGCCGAGCGATATCTGGGCCGCCTCGCCGCCCAGATATGAGAGCGCCAGGATCAGCCCGGCGGCGACGATGCCGAGCGGGTTGAGACGTCCCAGGAACGCCACGATGATCGCGGTGAAGCCATAGCCGGGCGAGATGGCGGGACGAAGCTGGCCAATCGCGCCGGACACTTCGATGATGCCCGCCAGCCCGGCAAGCGCGCCGGAAACGATGAAGGCAAAAAAGACCATGCGCCGGGCCGAAAAGCCGGCAAACCGCCCTGCCCTCGGGCTTTCGCCAAGCACCCGGATCTCATAGCCCTTGAGCGTGCGCGAAAGCATGAACCAGACGATCAGCGCGGCGAGGATCGCGAAAACGAAGCCGTAATGTGCGCGCCCCGAGGCGGAGAGCATTTCCGGCAGGATGGCATCGGCATGGAAGGAGCGGGTTTCGGGGAAGTTGAAGCCTTCGGGATTTCGCCAAGGCCCGCGCACCAGCCAGTCGAGGAACAGTTCGGCGACATAGACCAGCATCAGCGAGGACAGGATCTCGTTGGTGCCGAACCGCGCCTTGAGGAATGCCGGGACCGTCGCCCAGGCCGCGCCGCCCGCCATCCCCATGACCAGCATCAGCGGCAGCACCATCGGCCCGGTGATGCCCGGATAGAGCACCGGCATGACCGATCCGGCGATCGCGCCCATGATGAACTGGCCTTCGGCGCCGATGTTCCAGTTGTTGGACAAGAAACACACCGACAGACCCACCGCGATCAGGATCAAGGGCGTTGCCTTGATGATCAGTTCGTGGATCGACCAGACTTCGGTCAGCGGCTCGATGAAATAGGCGTAAAGGCCGCCGACCGGCGACTTGCCGAGCATGGCGAACATGATGCCGCCGATGATCGCGGTGATCAGAACGGCGATGAAGGGCGACAGGACGCTGAACAGCGCCGAATGCTGCGGCCGGCGGACGAGTTCGATCCGCGTCATGCAGCGACCCCGTGATGCTTTTCGGGTTCGGCGCCGCCCATCAAAAGGCCGAGTTGCTCGCGGGTCACCGTGCGCGCATCGAGCGGCTCGGACATTTCGCCGTCGTGGATGACCGCGATCCGGTCGCACATTTCCAGCAGTTCATCGAGGTCCTGGCTGATGACCAGCGCGCCGGCGCCGGCGGTCGCCGCATCCATCAGTGCCTGGCGGATGCGTGCCGCGGCGCCCGCATCGACGCCCCAAGTGGGCTGGTTGACGATGAAAAGCCGCGGCCGCCGGTCGAATTCGCGGCCCAGGATCAGCTTTTGCAGATTGCCGCCCGACAGCGTTCCCGCGTCGGGGTTCTCGCCGGACTTGCGCACATCCATCGCATCGACCACGCGGGCGAGCGTCCGCCCCAGCGCCGAGCGGCGCAACATACCCAGCCGCCCGCCGGACTGGTAGGCGCTGGCGTCCGATGCGTGCCGGCTCAAAAGGATATTCTCGGTCAGCGGCATGGTGGCGACGGCGGCATGGCCGAACCGCTCTTCGGGCGCGAACGCCGCGCCCAGCCGCCGGCGTCCGTTCGGACCGAGCCGCCCGGCCGGCGCGCCGCCGATGGTGACGGCGTTGGGATTGTCCTGGAGCTGTTCGCCCGACAAGGCCTCGAACAGTTCCGACTGGCCGTTGCCGGCAACGCCCGCAATGCCGAAAACCTCGCCCGCATGGACGTTCATGTGGATTGCGCGCAGCGGCGTTGAGAACGGCCCGAGCGGCGGCTGATCGAGATTGCGCACACCGAGCACGACATCGCGCCCGGCTTCGCCGTCGGCCGGCGCGTCATGGGTCCGGCGAACCGCCTGCACCTCCTCGCCGACCATCATGGCCGCAAGGCTCTTGGCGGTTTCGGCGCGCGGATCGCAATGGGCGACCACCTTGCCGTGGCGCAGCACGGTCGCCCGATCACAAAGCCGTTTCACCTCGTCGAGCTTGTGCGAAATGTAGAGGATCGACTTTCCCTCGGCCTTGAGCTTGTCGAGCGTCTCGAACAGCCGTTCCGCCTCCTGCGGCGTCAGCACCGATGTCGGCTCGTCGAGGATGATCAGGCTGGGCTCCTGCAACAGGCAGCGGATGATCTCCACCCGCTGGCGCTCGCCAACGGACAGATCGCCGGCCAGCGCCTCGGGGTTGAGCGTCAGGCCGTACACCTCGCCGAGGCGGCGCGCCTCATCCGCCACCGTCGAAAGCGGCACATCGTCCTCCAGCGACAGGGCGATGTTCTCGGCGACGGTCAGCGAGTCAAACAGCGAAAAATGCTGGAAGACCATGCCGATGCCAAGATGTCTTGCAGCGGAAGGATTGGCGATCGAAACCGGTTCGCCGTTCCAGACAATCCGTCCGCCGTCGGGCATCAGCGACCCGAACAGCATCTTCACCAGCGTCGACTTGCCGGCGCCGTTCTCGCCCAGAAGCGCGTGGATTTCGCCCGCGAGAATGTCGAAATCGACCGCATCGTTGGCGACGAGATCGCCAAACCGCTTGGTGATGCCCTCGACCGCCAGAAGCGGCGTCGGATCGAGTTTTTCGGACGCGCTGGCGGTCATCGGCACCGGTCAATCTGTTGCGCAACGGTTTGAGCGTATGCGCCGACCGCGCCGCTGTGCAACGCAAAACGTCTCGCTTGCCGGCTTTTCTCCCCACAATGTCGCGGCCCGTGCGGCAATTGGCGGCTGGACAGCACCGTTCGCGCGCGCCAAATGGATGGCAATGAAATAGAGGCGTTCGCCATGACCAAACCCGCCGACATCGTCATTTCCGGCGCCGGGCCGACCGGCATGGCCGCCGCGCTCGAGGCCGCCGCCTGCGGCTACCGCACCGTGCTCGCCGCGCCGTCGGGTACATTTCTCGACGATGATTCCCGCACCACGGCGCTGATGCAGCCGGCAATACACATGCTGCGCGACTATGGCATCTTCAGCGACTGCGAAGAGGCGGCTGCGCCGCTCAAGGTGCTGCGCATGGTCGATGCGACCGGACGCCTGTTTCGCGCGCCGACGGTCAGCTTCCGCGCGGCCGAGGCCGGCTATGAGGAGTTCGGCTTCAACATTCCCAACCAGGCGCTGAACACGGCGCTCGAAAAGGCCGTCAAGGCGCATGATCTGATCGAAACGGTCGACGCGATGGTGTCGGCGGTCGCCTTCAACGATGATGCGGCGTTCGTCACGCTCTCCAATGGCGATACCTACGAAACCCGGCTTGTGGTCGGAGCCGACGGCGTTCATTCGCTGGTCCGGCAGGCCGCCGATATCGGCCAGCGCTCTTGGAGCTATCCGCAGACCGCGCTCGTTGCCGCCTTCGACCATGAGCGCCACCACGAGTTCATCTCGACCGAGTTCCACACGCAGGAAGGCCCGTTCACGCAGGTTCCCCTGCCCGGAAACCGGTCGAGCCTTGTCTGGGTGATGCGGCCCGAGCGGGTCGAGACAGTCATGGCGATGGAGCCCGATGCGCTGGCGCGCGCGATCGAGGACAATCTGCAATCGACGCTGGGCAAGGTCTCCAACGTGACGAAACCTCAAGGCTGGCCGCTGTCGAGCCTCGTCGCCCACACGTTCGGCAAGGCGCGCGTCATGCTGATCGGGCAGGCCGCGCATGCCTTCCCGCCGATCGGGGCGCAGGGCCTCAATCTGGGCTTTCGCGATGTCGCCGATCTGGCCGCCGTTCTGGCCAAGGCGGGCGAAGACCCCGGCGCGGCGGCGGTGGCGCGGCGCTACGACATGCGCCGCCGCGCCGATGTCTACATGCGTACCGGCGGCGTCGACGTTCTCAACCGGTCGCTTCTGACCGACTTCCTGCCGGTGCAGATGGGCCGTGCGGCCTTCCTGTCCGTGCTGCGCAACATCAGCCCTTTGCGCGGCCTGGTGATGCGCGAGGGGATCGAGCCGGGCGGCGGGCTGAAAGCCATGGCAGGCCCGTTCCGGCGCAAAGACGCCGATGTCAGAACAGATCGGGCGGCAGGATAGAATTGGTCATCAGGTAGAGCAGCAGCGTGACGGTGGCGACCGAGCCCACCGTGGTCAGCAGCACCATGGCCGAGGCGCGCTCGACCCACACACCATATTGCTGGGCGATGACGAAGACGTTGGTGGCGCTCGGCAGCGCCGCCAGCAGCATGGCCGAGTAGACCCAGACCGGCGGAAAATCGCCGATATACGAGACCAGCACATAGGCGATGACCGGATGCACGATCAGCTTGATCGGCACGATGAACGCGGTCTCCGCGGGGATGCGCCGGAGCGGGCGCAACGCCAGCGTGACGCCCATGGCGAACAGCGCACAAGGAGCGGCCGCGCCGGCCAGATAGTCGAGCAGCGTCTGCGCGGCCGCCGGCGGGCGGAAGCCGGCAATGGCGGCGGTGATCCCGACAATCGTCGCCAGGATGAACGGGTGCAGCAGGATGCGCCCTGCGACATCGAGCGCCAGCTTCCACGCCGGCGGACGGTCCGGCGAATCGTCGGCCAGCGCCATCATCAGCGGCGCGATGACGAAGTGCAGCGTGTTGTCGAAGCAGAACACCAGCGCGACCGGCACGACGGCCGCTTCGCCGAACGCCAGAAGCGCCAGCCCCGGCCCCATATAGCCGATGTTGCCGTAGGCGCCGGCGAGCCCCATCACCGTGCTCTCGTCCACCCGGCCGCGCGTGCGGAAAATCCCGATGACGAACATCAGCGCGAAGACGGCGAATGTGGACAGCGTGGTGCCGACGATGAATCGCCACTGGGTCAGTTCCTCGACCGGTGTTTTGGCCAGTAGATTGAAGAACAGCGCCGGTAGCGCGACATAGATGATGAACGTGTTCATCCAGCCCAGCGCTTCGAGCGGCTGGCGCGTCACGCGGGCGGTCACGAACCCCAGGGCAATCAGCCCGAAGAACGGCAGGACCAGGCCGAAGACGCTTGCCATGAACTCCCCACGAAGGCCGCACGACAGCACACCCGCCGCTGCCCATGGCGTACCGGCTTGGCGCCGGACCGGTCAAGGCCTTGAAACGACCCGATTATCGCATCAAATTAGGGCCATGAGATATTCTGATGCAAAAATGGTCAGCGCGCGGTTCGGGATCGGCGACATCGTCCGGCACCGCATGTTCCCGTTTCGCGGGGTGATCTTCGACATCGACCCCGAATTCGACAATACCGAGGAATGGTACGAGGCAATCCCGGCGGAGATCCGGCCGCGCCGCGACCAGCCCTTCTATCACCTGCTCGCCGAGAACGAGGACACCGAATATGTGGCCTATGTCTCCGAGCAGAACCTGTTGCCGGACGAGACGGGCGAGCCGGTGCGGCACCCCCAGGTCGGCGACATGTTCGACTGGAGCGCCGACCACGGGCGCTATGTCGTGCGCGACGTGATGGCCCACTAAGCGAACGCGCCGCCCTCAGTTCGGCTGCGCTTCCTGCGCGGTCTGGCGCATGGCCATGAACAGCGTTTCGGGATCGTGCGCGCCGGTCACCGCGACGCGCCTGCCGAAGATGAAGCATGGCACGCCCGTGACGCCGATCTGCGCGGCGCGGGCGGCTTCGGCTTGCGTTTCGGCCGCATCCCGGTCGCTTTCGAGCCATTGGCGCACTTCGGCGCCATCCATGCCCGCTTCGCCGGCGGCCTCCACCAGAACTCCATGATCGCCGACATTTTCGCCATGCAGGAAGAAGCGGGCGAACAATTGCTCGACGACAGCCGCTTGCATGGTCGGGCTGGCATCGCCGGCCCAACGGACGACACGGTGCGCGTCGAGCGTGTTGGGCGAAATGGCAATGGCGTCGAAGTTGAAATCGATCCCCTCGCCCGCGCCGGCCGCCTCGATCCGGCTGTAGATTTCCTGCGCCCGCTCCGGCCCGCCGAACTTGTTTTCAAGATAGGTCTTGCGGTCCATGCCGCCGGGCGGAATGGTCGCGTCAAGCTGATAGGGCCGCCAATGGACCGTCAGTTCGAACTCGCCCTCGGCCATCTCGGCTGCGCGCTCCAGCCGGCGCTTGCCGATGTAACACCACGGACACATCACGTCGGAGATCACATCGACGCTCATCGGTTTGGGCATATCGGCCATCATGGTCCTTTCGCGGTCTGTCGGCTCATTCGGTCCTGGTCGACCACCAAACGGGCAACTGGTAGCCATAGAGCGGCGGTTCGGGCGGATGTTCGATATGGCTCCAATGGGCGACCCAGTCCTCGCCCAGATGATAGAGCGGCACCACATAGTGGCCTGAGATGAGCACGCGATCGAGCGCCCGCACGGCAGCGGCGAAGTCCTCGCGTTCGCGCGCATCGACCATGGCCGCGATCATCGCGTCTATCGCCGGATCGGCGGCGCCCGCATAGTTGAAGGTGCCTTCCGGATCGCGCGATTCCGAGCCCCAGCGCCACACCTGCTCGCCGCCCGGCGACAGCGACGCCGACAGGCTGCCGGCCACCATGTCGTAATCCCAGGTCTGGCGGCGCTGCTGGAACTGGGCGTCATCGACGCCGCGCACGGCGATATCGACGCCGATCAGCCCGGCGGTCGTCTGGTAGGACAGCGCCATGCGCTCGATCTCGTTCTGCGAGGCGCCCGGCACGGTCCCCAGAAGGATCTCGAAGGACAGCGGTTCGCCGTCCCTGACCATCCGGCCGTCCTCGATCGCATAGCCCGCCTGTCCTAGCTTCTGGACGACCTGTCGCAGAACGTTGCGGTCGCGGCCCGAACCGTCGGTCACCACCGGCGCATAGCTGCCGTCCATCACCGAGGGTTGGACGGCGTCCGGGAACGGGGCGAGCAGCGCCTGTTCACGCTCATCGGCCGGCCGGCCCAGTGCCGACAGTTCGTCCGAGTTCTGCCAGAACGAGCCGGTGCGCGTGTAGCGCCCTGAAAAAAGGTTGGCATTGACCCATTCGAAATCGAACAACATGGCCAGCGCCTCGCGCACCCGGGCCTCGGCGAACACCTCGCGGCGCGTGTTGAAGAAGAAGCCCAGCATGCGCTGGGGTCGGCCGGTGCCGAACGTCTGCTTGACGATCCGCCCGTCGGTCACAGCCGGGAAATCATAGGCCGTTTCCCACTTGATCGGATCGCTTTCGGGATAGATGTCGAAAACGCCCTTCTTGAACGCCTCGAACCGCGCCGTCGTGTCGCGAAAATACTCGACCGTGATCTGCTCGTAATTGTCGAAGCCCCGCTTGGCGGGGATGTTCCGGCCCCAATAGTCGGGGTTGCGGCGATAGGCGATGCGGGCGCCCGGCTCGACGCTTTCGACCAGATACGGCCCGCTGCCGACGGGCGGGTCCAGCGTCGCCCCCTCGAAATTATCGACATCGGTGGCGTGGGCCGGCAGGACCGGCGTCAAGGCCAGCAACAGCGGAAACTCTCGGTCGGCCTCGTCGTTGAGATGGAACTTGACCGAGCGCTCGCCCGTCTTTTCGATGCGCTCGATGCGCGCCATGCGCCGGTTGAAGGGCGGACGGCCTTTCTCGGTCAATATGTCGTAGGTGAAGATCACGTCTTCCGGTGTCACCGGCACACCGTCCGACCAGCGCGCGTCCGCGTTCAGCGTGAACTCGACCCATGTCCGTTCATCGTCGGTCTCGATCGTTTCGGCGAGCAGGCCGTACATGGTGAAAGGCTCGTCGCGCGAGCGCACCATGAGCGACTCAAACACCAGATTGCCGAATTCGGGGTCCCAGATGCCGCGCGCGGTGGTCCGCATCGATTTGAGAACGAACGGGTTGAGGCTGTCGAACGTGCCGACGACGCCATAGGTGACCGAGCCGTCCTGCGGCGCGTCGGGATTGGCATAGGGGAAATGGGTGTAGCCGGCCGGCAATGCCGGTTCGCCATGCATGGCGATCCCGTGCATCGGTTCGGCCCTGGCAGCGGTCGCAGCAAAGGCGAGCGCGGCGGCGATCATGATCAGGCGTATCACGGGACGTTTCTCTCCCTTGGGCGATTCCGACCGATGTTAGCATGCGGATCGAACGTTGATACAGCGGGCACGAAGGGCGCAGCGGGGGTGGAAACCGGCGCCAAGACTGTGTATCAGGCGCCACGCGACGGGCGTCACGGTGCGGCCTCATTTCAGGGTCAGGGCTGCGGCCAGCCTTCTCGAAGACATCAAGCGACAAAGGACAATCATCACGATGGGATCGAAATCCGCATCTCTGGCAGCGGCGTTCGGGGCGCTCGCGCTGACCGCGATGGCCGGCCAGGCCCAGGCGCAGAACGCGCCGCCCCAGAACCAGTGGTTCAAGGTCTGCACCAAGCAGGCCGACAACGACATCTGCAACGTGCAGAATGTGCGCACGGCGCAGACCGGTCAGCTTCTGACGGCAGTCAACCTCATCCAGATCACCGGCAAACAGAACCGCGCGCTGTTCCAGATCGCCGTTCCGACCGGCCGCGTCATTCCCGCCGGCATCGGCATGCAGATCGACGACGGCGAAACCCGCCGCATCCCATATTCGATCTGCCTGCCCGACCGCTGCATCGCCGAAACGCCGCTGACCGAGGAATTGGTCGCCTCGCTGAAGGCCGGCGGCGGCATGACGCTGACCACCGTGAACTTCCAGAACCAGCCCAACCCGATCGAGGTGACGCTGCAGGGCTTCACGGCGGCTTTCGATGGCGACCCGATCCAGCAGTCCGAGGTCGAGGAACGCCAGCAGCAGCTGCAGGCCGAGATCGAGCGGCGGCGCGAGGAATTCCAGGAGCGGCTGAAGGCCGAGCAGGAACGCGCCAAGGAAGAAGGCGCGACGGAAGGCACAACCGAGTAAGCCGCGTCCGCATCCGAACGACGATCGAGCCGCCGGTGCCATGCGCCGGCGGTTTTTCGTTGGTCAGGCGGCGGCCTTGTGCGCTTTGGCCAGGTTGGCGAGCTTGGTCATCAGCACCGCAGCGCCCGCGAGCCTTTTTTCCGGCGTCGGCCAGTTGCGCGAGAACACGACGGACTGGTCCGGCCTGATCTTCGCCAGCGCGCCCTGCTCGGCAATCCACTGGACGAGCCCCGCCGGATCGGCGAATTGCTGGCCGCGGAACTGGACGACCGCTCCCTTGGGGCCGGCATCGAGCTTTTCGACATTTGCCTGCCTGCACAGCGCCTTGATGTAGACGATCTTCAGCAGGTGCTCGACTTCCTCGGGCAGCGGGCCGAACCGGTCGATCAGTTCGGCGCCGAAGCCGTCGATCTCCTCGACGCCCTCGAATCCACCGAGCCTGCGATAGAGCGACAGGCGCAGCGACAGGTCCGGCACATAGCTTTCCGGGATCATCACCGGTGTTCCGACCGTGATCTGCGGCGACCATTCGCCATGGTCCGCATCGTCCTCGCCCTTGAGTTCGGCCACCGCTTCCTCGAGCATTTGCTGATAAAGCTCGAAGCCCACTTCCCTGATGTGGCCCGACTGTTCCTCGCCCAGAAGATTGCCGGCGCCGCGGATGTCGAGATCGTGGCTGGCAAGTTGGAATCCGGCGCCAAGCGTATCGAGCGATTGCAGCACTTTCAGGCGCCGTTCGGCGGTCTTGGTCAGCGGCTTGTTGGCCGGCAGCGTGAAAAGCGCATAGGCGCGCAGCTTCGACCGTCCGACGCGGCCGCGCAACTGGTAGAGCTGGGCCAGGCCGAACATGTCCGCCCGGTGCACGACGAGGGTGTTGGCGGACGGGATGTCCAGCCCGCTTTCGACGATCGTCGTCGACAGCAGCACATCGTACGAGCCGTCGTAGAAGGCATTCATGATGTCTTCGAGTTCGCCAGGCGCCATCTGGCCGTGCGCGACGGCGACCTTTAGTTCGGGCACGTTCTCGTCGAGATAGGCCTTGACGTCACCAAGATCGGAGATGCGCGGCACGACGTAAAAGCTCTGGCCGCCGCGATAGCGCTCACGCAGCAGCGTCTCGCGGATCACCAGCGGGTCGAACGGGGCGATGAAGGTGCGCACCGCGAGGCGATCCACCGGCGCGGTGGTGATCAGCGACAGTTCGCGCACGCCCGTCAGCGCCAGTTGCAGCGTGCGCGGGATCGGCGTTGCCGACAGCGTCAGCACGTGCACGTCCGATTTGAGCTCCTTGAGCCGTTCCTTGTGCTTGACGCCGAAATGCTGCTCCTCGTCGACGATCAGAAGGCCGAGCTGCTTGAAGCGGATGCCCTGACCCAAAAGCGCGTGCGTGCCGATGACGATATCGACGCTGCCATCGGCGATGCCTTTCTTGGCGTCGGCCAGCGCCTTGGGGCCGGCCAGCCGCGAGGCGTGGGCGAGGTTGACGGGAAGCCCGGCAAAGCGATCGGAGAAAGATTTGAAATGCTGTCGCGCCAGAAGCGTCGTCGGCACGACCACGGCGACCTGAAGACCGTTCATGGCGGCAAGGAACGCGGCGCGCAGCGCCACCTCGGTCTTGCCGAAGCCGACATCGCCGCAGATCAGCCGGTCCATCGGCCGGCCTTTTGCCAGATCGTCCTCGATCGAATCGATCGCCGTGAGCTGATCCTCGGTCTCGTCATAAGGGAAACGGGCGGCGAACTCGTCGTAGATGCCCTCGGGCGCGCGCAGTTCGGGCGCCGAGCGCATCTGCCGGGCGGCGGCGATGGCGATCAGATCGCCCGCCATGTCGAGCAACCGCTTTTTGAGCCTGGCCTTGCGCGCCTGCCATGCGCCGCCGCCGAGCCGGTCGAGCTGCGCTTCGGCGCTGTCGGAGCCGTAGCGCGACAAAAGCTCGATGTTTTCGACCGGCAGGAACAGCCGGTCGTCGCCGTGATAGCGGATTTCCAGACAATCATGCGGCGCGCCGGCGGCCTCGATCGTCTTCAGGCCGGCAAAGCGCCCGATGCCGTGATCGACATGGACGACCAGATCGTCCGGGTTGAGGGCGGCGACCTCGGAGATGAAGTCGGCACCGCGTTTTTTCGAGCGCCGCCGCACCAGCCGGTCGCCCAGAATGTCCTGCTCGCCGATGACGAGCGTCTTCGACCATTCGAAACCGTGTTCGATGTTCAGGATCGCCGTGGCGACGACGTTCTGCGGCGCGCGCGCCAGTGCCGCGGCGTCCGGCGCGATGCCGGAAAAGCCCTCGAGGCCGTGTTCCTCGAGGATCTGGACGAGCCGCGTGAGCGAACCCTCCGACCAGCCGGCGAGCACGACCCTTTGGCCGTCGCCACGCGCATCGGCAATGAACCGCGCCGCGATCTCAAAGACGTTGACGTCCTTTTGCGCGCGTTCGGCGGAAAAGTTGCGCCCGGCGCGGCCATCGAGTGCGATGATCGCGGTGCCGGCGCTTTCGGGCCGGTCGAACGGGGACAGATGCACCGCCGTCCGCGCCGCCAGCATCGCGTCGAACCCGGCCTTGTCGAGATACAGGAGCTCCGGCGCGACGGGCTTGTAGGGCGCAGCTTCCCCCATCGCCTTGCCTTCGAGCTGGTCGGTGCGCGCCTTGTAATATTCGTCGATCTGGTCGGCCCGCTCGGCGACGGCGTTCATGGCCAGCGGCTCGATTACCACCGGCGCGTCCGGCAGAGCATCGAACAGCGTCTCAAGCCGTTCGGCGAAGAAGGGTAGCCAGTGCTCCATGCCGGCAAACCGCGTCTGCGCGACGATCGAGGCGTAAAGCGCGTCGTCCCTCGCCGGCGCTCCGAAGGTTTCGATGTAGCGCGTGCGAAACCGCGTTACCGAGGCCGCATCGAGCACGACTTCGCTCATCGGCTGCAGGCTGAACGCCTTGCGCTGGTCCGTGGTGCGCTGGGTCGCGGGGTCGAATCCGCGCACCGTCTCCAGCGTGTCGCCGAAGAAATCGAGCCGCACCGGCCCTTCCGAGCCCGGCGCGAACACGTCAAGAATGCCGCCGCGCACGGCATACTCGCCGACTTCGCGCACCGTCGGCACGCGCAAGAAGCCGTTGCCGGTGAGCGTGCCGACCAGTTGCTCCATCGCAATCACTTGACCGGGGCGCACATCGATGGCCTGCGCGGCGATGGTTTCGGGCGGCAGCACACGCTGGAGGACCGCGTTGGCGCTGGTCAGCACGATCGCCCGGCGCGGATTGGCGGCGAGCGCGGCAATGCGTGTCAGCGCCGCAAGGCGCTGCGCGGTGACCTCGGCGCTCGGCGAGACGCGGTCATAGGGCAGACAGTCCCAGGCCGGAAGCTGGATGATGTCGAGCCCTGGCGCTGCAAACGACAGCACCTGCGCGATATCGGCCATGCGGCCCGCATCGCGCGCGATATGGATCAAGGGCGCGTCACTCTGGCCGGCAAGCCCGGCCAGCACAAAGCCTTCCATGCCGTCGGCGACACCGCTCAGGGCGACCTGACCCGCATCGGACGGCACGTGCGGGATGTCGAAGAGCGGAACGGCCATTGTCAGGTGAGCTCGATCTTGTGGTGCGCGCAGATCGCGCGGAACAGCGGCGTGTCGTGCTCGGCGGGCACCGGCCCCTCCCCGGTGAACCATTTGAAGAGGTCGCGGTCGAGGTTCTCCATCAGCGCCTCGAAAGCAGCCAGTTCGTCCGCGTCCATCTGCGCGACATGGACATCGGCATAGCCGCCCAGCAGAAGGTCCATCTCCTTCATGCCGCGATGCCAGGCACGAAAGCGCGCCCGGCGGCGGCGTGCATCGAGTGTCTGCGGGTCGGTCATGGCGCGCGAAGGTCCGGTTGGAATGGTGTCGGGCGCATATAGCGAGCGGCAGCCATCATGTCAGCCTTGATCTTGCCCGGCGCGGCAAACATAAACCGCTGATGCGCCCCTCCGTTCTCGATCCGCTGTTTGCGCCGGTGACCACGCTTGAAGGCGTCGGTGCAAAGGTCGGCGGCCTGATCGCGCTGGCGCTGGGCCGCGGCGGCGATCGGGGCGAACCGCATGTCGGCGCGCTGTTGTTCCATCTGCCCCATTCGGTGATCGACCGCAGCGCCCGGCCGACCATCATGGCGGCGGTCCCCGGCACGATCGTCACGCTGACGCTGCATGTCGACCGGCACCAGGCGCCGCCGCGCGGCAACCGGCGGGTGCCGTACCGCGTTTTCTGCCACGACGAATCGGGCGAGATCGCACTGACCTTCTTCCGCGCCCATGGCCAATGGCTGGAGCGCACCCTTCCCGTCGGCGAAACGGTGCTCGTGTCCGGCAAGGTGGAATGGTTCAATGGCCGCGCCTCGATGGTGCATCCCGACCATATAGTGACCGAAGACGAGGCCGACAGCCTGCCGCTGATCGAACCGGTCTATCCGATGACCGCGGGGCTGTCGGGCAAGGTGCTGCGCCGCGCGATCCTGCAGGCGCTCGACCGGATGCCGGACCTGCCCGAATGGCTCGACGCGGCGCTTCTTGCGCGCGAGCGCTGGCCCGCCATGGCCGGGGCACTCGCGGCTATCCATCATCCGCAATCGGCCGCCGATATCGGCCTTGAGACCGTCAATCGCCGGCGGCTCGCCTATGATGAGTTGCTGGCAGGGCAATTGGCGCTCGCGCTTGTGCGCGCAAGGGCCAAACGCACCGCCGGCCGCTCGCTGTCGGGCGACGGCAGTCTGGTTGCCGCCGTCACATTGGCTTTCGGCCATCCGCTGACGGGCGCGCAGCAGCGTTCCTTCGATGAGATTGCTGCCGACATGGCCGCGCCCGACCGCATGCTGCGGCTTCTTCAGGGCGATGTGGGCTCCGGCAAGACGATCGTCGCGCTGATGGCGCTGGCGCGCGCGGTCGAAGCCGGCATGCAGGGCGCGCTGATGGCGCCGACCGAAGTGCTCGCCCGCCAGCACATGGCGACCATCGGCCCGCTGGCGGAAAAGGCCGGGCTGCGCGTCGCCATCCTGACCGGGCGCGACAAGGGCGCCCGCCGCGCCGAGACCCTGACTGCGCTGGAAGCCGGCGACATCGACATTCTGGTCGGCACCCATGCCCTCTTCCAGGAAGGCGTCACCTTCGCCGATCTTGGTCTGGCCGTGATCGACGAGCAGCACCGGTTCGGCGTGCACCAGAGGTTGCTGCTGGCGCAAAAGGGCGGCGGCGCCGACATGCTGGTGATGACCGCCACACCGATCCCGCGCACGCTGGTGCTGACCGCCTACGGCGACATGGATGTCTCAAAGCTCGACGAAAAGCCCGCCGGCCGCAAGCCGGTCGCCACCGTCGCCATGCCGATCGCGCGCCTGGACGAGCTTCTGAACCGCATCCGCACGGCAGTCGACGAGGGGCGCAAGATCTACTGGATCTGCCCGCTGGTCGAGGACAGCGAGGAGGTGCCCGTCATGTCGGCCGAGGCACGCCATGGCGAACTGGCGGGCCTTTTCGGCGACAGCGTGGGTCTGGTGCATGGCCGCATGGCCGGGCCGGAAAAGGACGCCGCGATGGCCGCCTTCAAGGCCGGCGAGACACGTCTTTTGGTCGCGACGACCGTCATAGAAGTCGGCGTCGACGTGCCGGACGCGACGATCATGGTGATCGAACATGCCGAACGGTTCGGCCTGTCGCAGCTGCACCAGTTGCGCGGACGGGTCGGGCGCGGCGCGGACGCTTCGTCCTGCATCCTGCTCTATGGCGAACCTTTGGGCGAAACCGCCCGCGCCCGGCTCGACGTCATGCGGCGCACGGAAGACGGGTTCGTGATCGCCGAGGAGGATCTGCGGCTGCGCGGCGAAGGCGAACTGCTTGGCACCCGCCAGTCCGGCACGCCGGGATTCACGCTGGCGCGGCTCGAAGCCCATGGCGACCTTCTGCCGGTGGCGCGCGACGATGCACGGCTGGTGCTCCAAACCGATCCGGAGCTCATGTCGGAACGCGGCAAGGCGCTGCGAATCCTTCTTTACCTGTTCGAGCGCGACGCGGCGGTTCGGCTTTTGGGGGCAGGTTAGCCCGCCGACTTGGCCGCCTTTGCCTTGGCCAACTTCGCGCGCAGGCGCGCGGCGAGCCCGTCCTTGTTCACCTGCCTGGCGCGGCCGATGGCCAAGGCATCTGCAGGCACGTCGTCGGTGACCACGCTGCCCGAGCCGACATAGGCGCCCTCGCCCACCGTCACGGGCGCCACGAGCGCCGAATTCGAGCCGATGAACGCGCGCGCACCGATCTCGGTATGGTGCTTGCCGAACCCGTCATAGTTGCAGGTGATCGTGCCCGCGCCGATATTGGCGCCCGCGCCGATCGCCGCATCGCCGATATAGGTCAGATGGTTGACCTTCGCCCCTTCTGCCACGGTCGCATTCTTGATCTCGCAGAAATTGCCGACCTTGGCCTTCTCCGACAGCATCGTGCCCGGACGAAGCCGCGCGAACGGGCCAATCTCCGCATTCGGGCCGATGGAAGCGCCCTCGATATGGCTGAACGCCCTTATGCGCGCGCCGGCATCGACGCGTACGCCGGGGCCGAACCAGATATTGGGTTCGAGCGCGGCGCCGGGCGCGATCTGCGTGTCGTGGCTGAGATGGACGGTGTCGGGGGCGGCCATGGCAACGCCCTCCAGCATCAGCGCGCGGCGCCGGCGCGCCTGCCAGATCGCTTCCACTTCGGCCAGTTCGGCGAGCGTGTTGACGCCGATCACATCCTCGACCGGCGCTTCGATGGCGCGCACGTCGAGCCCCTGCCCGCGGGCGATCTCCACCGCATCGGTCAGATAGAACTCGCCCTTGGCATTATCGTTGCCGATGGCCTTGAGAAGGTCCGCCACATGGTCACCGGCGAACGCCATCAGCCCGCCATTGCAGAAGCCGATCTGCCGTTCGGCCTCGCTTGCGTCCTTGTGCTCGCGGATCGCCACCAGTTGCCCGTCGCGCACGATCAGCCGGCCATAGCCGTGCGGATCGTCGGGCCGGAAGCCGACGACCACCAGATCGGCCCCGTCCGCCAGTCCGGCGCGCGCCGCTGTGAGCGTTTCGGTCGTGATCAGCGGCGTGTCGCCGAACAGGACCAGCACATCGTCATGGCCCGCTTCGATGGCCGGCATCGCGGCCATGACCGCATCGGCCGTGCCAAGCTGCCGTTCCTGCGTGAAGAACTGCGCGTCGCCCTCGATGGCGCCCAGCTCGGTGCGCACCGCATCGGCGCCATGGCCGACGACGACGGCCAGATCGCCGCTGCCCGCCGCGCGTGCGCGCTGCGTCACGTGGCCGACCATCGGCAGGCCGGCGACCTTGTGCAGAACCTTGGGCAGGTCGGACTTCATGCGCGTGCCCGCGCCGGCGGCGAGGACGATGGTCAGGCAGGTGCGCGGCATGGATGGCTCCCCGGTTTGCGGCCGTTGTCGCGCCCGTCTATCCGCAAAGGCGCGCCATTTCCAGACGGCGCTTGCCGGCGGCGGGCTTCACGGTTACTCGGGGCCATGTCACAGCAAACCGCATCGCCGCCCCAGGCCCTTCCCTATGCGGTGATGCTGGCAACGCCGCTTTTCTTTTCGACCAACATCATTTTCGGGCGTTACGTCGCGGGCGATACGGCACCCTTCGTGCTGGCTTTTCTGCGCTGGGCCTCGGTCGCCGCGATCCTGCTGCCGTTTGCGCTGGTCCGCCAAGGCGCCGCGGTGCGCGCCGTTCTGGCCGACCATTGGCGCCTGCTGCTGACGCTGGGGTTTCTTGGCATGGGCCTTTCGGGCGGTGTCGTCTATCTCGGCCTGAGCCTGACGACGGCCACCAACGCCACGCTGATCTATTCGACCGCGCCGATCCTGATCATCCTGCTCGAGCGGCTGTTTCGCGGCCGCGCCATCGGCCTGCGCGAGACGGCCGGCATCGCGCTGGGCTTTGCCGGCGTTGCGATCATCGTCCTGCGCGGCGATCTGACGACGCTGGCCCGGCTGACCTTCAATCCCGGCGACCTGCTGATCGCCATGGCTTCGCTCTCCTGGGCCGGTTATTCGATCCTCTATCGCGCCGAGGGTCTCCGGCGGCTCGACAATATGAGCCTGTTCGCGCTGGTTGCCGGCTTCGGCGCGCTGGTCAATCTGCCGCTTGCGGCCATGGATCTGGCATCGGCCGACGGGCTGCCGGCGACGCGCGAGGCCTGGTACGCCACGGGCGGGATCGTGCTCATCTCGTCGCTGCTGGCGTTTTCGGGCTTCCAGTATGGCGTGCGTGCGCTCGGCGCCTCGGTCGCCGGCATGTTCATGTATCTGATGACGCCCTATGGCGTGCTGATGGCGATCGTCTTTCTGGGCGAGCGGCTCGAACCGTTCCATCTGGCGGGCATCGTGCTGGTGATGACCGGGATCGGCATTGCGACGCTGCCGGCGAAACTGTTCCGGCGCCGCCGCTAACGGCGGCTACAAGGCCGCGATGTCGCCGGCCTCCCACATCGCCTCGGTCTCGGCGGAAAAGTCGGCGAAGCGCCGCTGTTCGATCGCTCTACGCATCTCGGCCATAAGCCATTGATAGTAATAGGTGTTGTGCCAGCTCAGCAGCATCATGCCGAGCATTTCGCCCGAGCGGATCAGATGATGCAGATAGGCGCGCGAATAGGTCCGCGAGGCCGGACAGTCCATCTCATCGTCGAGCGGCCGGTGATCCTCGGCGTGGCGGGCATTCTTCAGGTTGACGCGCCCGCGCCGGGTGAAGGCCAGACCGTGCCGGCCCGAACGGGTCGGCATCACGCAGTCGAACATGTCGACCCCGCGCGCCACCGACCGCAACAGATCCTGCGGCGTGCCGACGCCCATCAGATAGCGCGGCTTGTGCGCCGGCAGGATGGGGCAGACCACATCGAGCATGGCCAGCATGACCTCCTGCGGTTCGCCGACCGCCAGTCCGCCGATGGAATAACCCTTCAAATCCATCGCCTTGAGCGCTTCGGTGGACTGGACGCGCAGTTTTTCGTCATCGCCACCCTGCACGATGCCGAACATCGCCTTGCCCGGCTGTTCGCCGAACGCAACCTGGCAGCGCTCGGCCCAGCGTAGCGACAGTTCCATCGCCGCCTTCATCGTCTCGGCATCGGTCGGCAGCGCGACGCATTCGTCGAGCTGCATCTGGATGTCCGAACCGAGCAGCCCCTGGATTTCGATCGAGCGTTCCGGGCTCATCTCGTGGATCGCGCCATCGACATGGCTCTTGAAGGTGACGCCCTTCTCGCTCATCTGCCGCAGCGCCGACAGGCTCATCACCTGAAAGCCGCCCGAATCGGTCAGGATCGGCCCGTCCCAGCCGATGAACCCGTGCAGGCCGCCCAGACGGTCGATCCGCTCGGCGCCGGGCCGCAGCATCAGGTGATAGGTGTTGCCCAAGATGATGTCGGCGCCGGCGCCCTTGACCTGATCGAGATAGAGCCCCTTCACCGTCCCGGCGGTGCCGACCGGCATGAAGGCCGGTGTCGCGATGTCGCCGCGGCCGGTCGTCACGGTGCCGCGCCGCGCGCCGCCGTCGGTCGCGTGAAGGGTGAAGCCGAATTCAGCCATCGCCATCGTTCCGGAAAAGAAGGCTCGAATCGCCATAGGAATAGAACCGATAGCCCGTTTCGATGGCATGGGCATAGGCGGCCCGCATCGGCTCCATGCCGGCAAAGGCCGAGACCAGCATCATCAGCGTCGAGCGCGGCAGGTGGAAATTGGTCATCAGCACGTCGACGGCCCGGAACCGGTAGCCCGGCGTGATGAAAATGTCGGTCGCCCCGGCAAAAGGACGGACGTTGCCGTCTTCGTCCGCCGCGCTTTCAAGAAGGCGCAGCGATGTCGTGCCGACCGAGACGATCCGCCCGCCACGCGCCCGCGTTTGGTTGATCAGGGCCGCCGTCTCGTCGGACACGTGGCCGATCTCGGCATGCATCTTGTGGTCGTCCGTGTCCTTGGCCTTGACGGGCAGGAAGGTGCCGGCGCCCACATGGAGCGTGACGAACGCCCGGTTGACGCCGGCCTTGTCGAGTTTCGCAAACAGCCGGTCGGTGAAATGCAAACCCGCCGTGGGCGCGGCCACCGCGCCGTCCTCGCGGGCATAGACGGTCTGATAATCGGTGCGGTCGCGTTCGTCGTCGGCGCGTTTGGACGCGATATAGGGCGGCAGCGGGATATGGCCGGCCAGGGCGATCGCCGCGTCAAGGTCGGGCCCGGCAAGATCGAAGGTGAGCGTCACCTCGCCGCCCTCGGCCTTTTCGGCGACCGTCGCGTCGAGCACGCCGGCGAGGCAGGCATCTCCCGTTTCGCCGAACCGGATGCGGTCGCCCACACGCAGCTTCTTGGCGCCGCGCACGAACGCCTTCCACCGGTCGGGGCCCTCGCGCATGTGCAGCGTCGCGCCTACGGACGCGATCTGGCCGTCACGCTCGCGGGTCCCTTCGAGCTGGGCCGGGATGACGCGCGTGTCGTTGAACACCATCAGGTCGCCCGCCGACAGGAAGGACGGCAGGTCCATGACGCCCGCGTCGGTCAGGCCGGTATCGCGCACCACAAGCATGCGCGCCGCATCGCGCGGCTCGGCCGGGCGCAGCGCGATCCGCTCCTCGGGCAGGTCAAAATCGAACTCGTCGACGCGCACGATCGATCCCCAAAATGAAAACAGGACGCCGCGGCGCGGCGCCCTGCAAGACGCATGACGGCCGCTATCAGAGGTCTGCCGCGACCTTCATCGAGACGATCGAATCAGGATCCTGCACCGGCTCGCCGCGCTTGATCTGGTCGACATTGTCCATGCCTTCGATCACCTCGCCCCAGACCGTGTACTGATTGTCGAGGAACGAGGCGTCCTCGAAACAGATGAAGAATTGCGAGTTCGCCGAATTGGGGTTTTGGGCGCGGGCCATCGAGCAGGTGCCGCGGCCATGGTTGGCGCCGGAGAATTCGGCCTTGAGATCGGGCTTGGACGAGCCGCCCATGCCGGCGCGGCCGGGATCGAAATGGGCGCCGCCCTTCTTGCCGAAACGCACATCGCCGGTCTGCGCCATGAAGCCGTCAATGACGCGGTGGAAGACCACGCCGTCATAGTCGCCCGCGCGCGCCAGTTCCTTGATGCGCGCGACATGGCCGGGGGCCAGATCGGGCTTCATCTCGATCACGACTTCGCCCTTGGTGGTTTCCATGACGAGCGTGTTCTCGGGGTCCTTGTAAGCCAATGGGATATCCTCTCCTTGAAATCGTGTGACTACTGATCGGCCATCTCGACCTTGATCATGCGGTCGGGGTCGGCGACGGCGCCGTTCTGCGCCTGCGAGCCGCGCGTGATGTTGTCGACATATTCCATGCCGCTGACGACGCTGCCGACGACCGTGTACTGGCCGTCGAGAAAACGGCCCTCGTCGAACATGATGAAGAACTGGGAATTGGCCGAGTTCGGGCTCTGCGAGCGCGCCATGCCGACGACGCCGCGCATGAAGGGCTCGCCCGAGAACTCGGCCGGAAGGTCCGGCAGGTCGGAGCCGCCGGTGCCGGCGCGGCGCAGGCTGAACCCGTCTTCCATGTCGCCGAACTGGACGTCGCCGGTCTGCGCCATGAAGCCGTCGATGACGCGGTGAAAGGCGACATTGTCGTAGGCGCCCTGGCGCACCAGCGTCTTGATCTGTTCGACATGCTTCGGCGCCAGATCGGGCCTGAGCGCGACGCGCACCTCGCCGTCCTTGAGCGTGATGACCATCGTGTCCGATGGATCGGCCTCGGCCATCGATATCGAAACCGTCGCGCCGGTCAGGCCGAGCGCGGCGGTGGCGGCCAGCACAATTCGTCGTGTCAAACGCATGAAGGAGCCTCTTTTCGTGTCAGCTTTCGATCAGCCGGCAAACCGCGCCTTGAGCGCCTTTTCCACCGGGCCGGGAACGAAGGGCGACACATCGCCGCCCATGGCCGCGATCTGGCGCACCAATGTGGCCGCGATGGGACGGGTTTCGGCCGCCGCGGGCACGAACACGGTCTCGATGTCCGGCGCCATGGCCGTGTTCATGCCGGCCATCTGCATCTCATAGGCATAATCGGTGGAATCGCGCAGGCCGCGCAGCATGGCGACCGCGCCCGCCGCGCGCGCCGCATCGACCACCAGCCCGTCGAACGCGGTTACCGACACCCGGTCGCCGGCAAGGCCCGCCTCGTCCAGCGCGGCGCGGATCAGGCTTTCGCGCTCATCGAAAGCGAACAGGCCTTTCTTGCCGGCATGGGTGCCGATGGCGACCGTCACGCGGTCGAACAGCGCGAGACCGGCCCGCAGCACGGACAGGTGCCCGTTGGTCAACGGGTCGAAGGAGCCCGCATAGATGGCCGAACGTTTGCTCATCGGGTGCGTGTAGGAAAAAAGCGGCGCGCCTGCAAAGCCTTTTCGGCGGGCAGCAAGCCTTCATGATCGGCGACGACGGCGCGCGTCAGCCGGTTTCGCAGGTCACCGCATAGGCGCCCTGTCCGGCGATCCGCAAAATTCCGGCTTCCGCGCCGGCCTTGTCCTCGAACGCGCGCTCGAGACGCAGCGTGATCAGGATCTCCTCGACATTGGGATCGGTGAAATCCGCCCAAAGGCGCTCGGAACTCGTATAGCCCTGCCCGAACAGGATCGTTTCGGCATCCTCGCCCTCCGGCGGATTGGTCGCATAGACCGTGCCGTCCGCTTCGATAACCGCATTGACCACAGCCAGCACCGGCACACGTCCAAGCGTCAGCAGAACGGACGTTCCGGGATCGTCGACACCGGTGCAGGCGACGCTTGCCGTCGCCGACGCCGCGCCGGTCAGCCCCAGCGTGGCAAGCGCGGTTGCGCATAACAATCGCCCCGGACCGGCCATCATCCACTCCCTCGAACCGTGAAAACGCATCGCCGTGTGCAACCTATCACATCGCCCGCGCGTTTTCACCGGCACAAACACAGTCATTGTGCCTGTTGGGAGAACCGTCATGATCACGATCTACGCCATCGCCACCGCCGTCACCGTCCTGACCGGCGCCACCGCCCTGTCGTTCGGCCTGATGGTGCGCCCGCGCGACTGACATCGCCGCTGCGCCGCCGGCGTTCGACACGATTGCACGCAGCATTGCAGGCGTTAACCGGATTTTATCCCTTGCGGAACACAAATGGAACAGTTAACGTCTGTTCGACATTTGTTTTCGTTTGTTTCCGGATTCGCCATGCTGACACGCAAACAACTCGACCTCCTGATGTTCATCAATGAACGGCTCAAGGAGACCGGCGTCCCGCCATCCTTCGACGAAATGAAGGAGGCGCTGGATTTGGCGTCGAAGTCCGGCATCCACCGGCTGATCACCGCGCTCGAGGAGCGCGGCTTCATCCGCCGCCTGCCCAACCGGGCGCGGGCGCTCGAGGTGATCAAGCTGCCCGAGGCGATGCAGCCGATCAACCAGGTGCGCCAGCGCTTTTCGCCGAGCGTGGTCGAGGGCGGCCTTGGCCGGCCCGCCGCCCCGTCCGTTCCCGCCGCTCCGCCGCGCGAGGCGCCCGATGGCGCCAATGACGATTTCAGCGTTCCGGTGATGGGCAAGATCGCCGCCGGCGTTCCGATTTCCGCGATCGAGAACCAGACACGGTCGCTGGTCGTGCCGCCCGACATGATGGGCAAGGGCGAACACTACGCGCTCGATGTCGAGGGCGATTCGATGATCCATGCCGGCATTCTCGATGGCGACACGGTGGTGATCAAACGCACCGACACGGCCAATCCCGGCGAGATCGTCGTCGCTCTGGTCGATGACGAGGAAGCCACCCTCAAACGTTTCCGCCGCAAGGGCGCCTCGATTGCGCTGGAAGCGGCCAACCCAGCCTATGAGACCCGCATTTTCGGGCCCGACCGGGTGCGGATACAGGGGCGGCTGGTCGGTCTCGTCCGGCGCTACTGAGGGTCAGGCGCTAAAGCGGATCAGGAACCGGTCCGATCTGGCGGGTGGTTGGGCGATGTGGCTATTGTCGGCACGAAGCGTGCCGGGCCAGCGCGTTTAATTCCTTTCGGCGAGGTTGCGGGCCGCCCGGCTCCATCGACGGTGATCGTGCCAGGGCCGCAAGGATGCGCCGATCGCATGACGTGCCGTCAGTTTCGGTTCGCCTGAAGCATCGGTTCGGACTGCGATTTCCGCGCTGCCTTGCAGGGCAAGCGTCTGCGCCGTCAGCACCAGCGTGCCGTCGTTGCAGTGCGCAGTTGATGGCGCATAGGCCAGCACGATCAGATCGAATCGCCGGCACAGTTCACCCCCGCTCAACGGTCCGTCCGCCGGTTCCGTGAGGATCGCGATATCGACCGAAGCGCCGGATGCGTCGCGCACATTTGCCATGCAGACCGTCCCGTTGCAGCGCATCGCGCTTTCCCGTCCAGTGCCGTCAGGAGCCTCGGTGAACGGATCATCGACGGAGACGGGCCTGGTCACCGTCCGTGCCGCATAGGCCATCTGCCATTGTTCGAGGATGAACCCGTTCGGCCGCGCACGGTTGACGCGCAGCGTGCCATCGTCGCCGATCACCGCCATCTGCCTGCCGTCTTCGGAGATGACAGCGATCGGCAGTTCGCCCTGCCGGGCAAGCACGATCGCGACGCATGCGGGCAGGATCGCCGCCCAGCGCAGCCAAGTGCGGAACAGGCACAGCCAGGCCAGCGCCACCGTCGCCGCCAGCATGGTGCCCGCGGACATGGCGCCGACCATCCCGTCGGGAGACCGTTCGGCGACCCATTGCGCGATGGACAGGATCCAGCCGGCGCTCGCTGCCATCGCCGCGTAGATCGGCCCGTCGATGCCGAACGGGATGGCGAGCGTTGCCAATATCGCCAGCGGCATGGTCAGGAACGAGACGATCGGCATCGCGGCCAGATTGGTCACCAGGCCGAGGACAGCCACGCGCTGGAAATGATAGGCCGCATAAAGCCCGCTCGCGGCGCCTGCGACGATCGAAGTGGCCGCAAGGGCTGCCACGAACCGCCAAGCGTTGGCCGCGGCCGCCGCGGTCCCGCTTTGGATTGGCGTATCGCCGCGCTGCCGTGCCCGTGCAATCCGGGCGCGGTTCCAGCCGTCATAAAGCGCTATCAGCGCCAGCGTCGCGGCAAACGACATGTGAAAGCTCGGCCCGACGACGCTGGCCGGCGCGACGGCGATGACGATGATCGCGGCGATGGCGAGGTTGCGCTTGCTGATCGCCGTCCTGTCGAGCATCAGCGCGCCGAGCATCACCGCCAGCATGACGAATGAGCGTTGCGTGGCAACGCCCGCGCCGGCCAGAAACAGATAGACGAAGATCGCCGCAAAGGCCGCGCTCGCCGCATATTTCTTCACCGCATGGGCCGAAGCCACCGGGCCCGACAGGGCAAGAATCGCGCGGAGCGTCATCATCACCGTGCCGGCGACCAGCGCCATGTGCAGCCCGGAAATCGTCAATATGTGCGCAAGCCCCGAGACGCGCAGCGCCTCGTTGACAGGCTCCGGAATGCCCGACTTGTCGCCATTGACGAGCGCGGCGGACACGGAGCCTGCCTCGCCCGGCGCGGCGGACCGGATGCGGTCGCCGAGCCACAAGCGCGCATTTTGCAGACGGCCGGCGAGGCGAGCCCGCACGCCGTCAGGAGCTTCGACGGCCACCCGGTCCGGCGCGCCATAGAAGAAGCCGTTGGCCCCATGGCCGGCGAAATAGCCGTGAAAGGCGAAATCATAACCGCCCGGCCGCGCCGGTCCCGAAAGCGGAAAAAGCCGCGCCACGCCCGTCAGCCCGTCGCCGACGCGTACATTGCCTGCAGGGCTGCGGGTGGTGACGCGCAGACGATCCGGCACATGGCGCAATGCGGGGCGTGCCGTCTCCAGCACATCGAGCGTATAGCGCACCGATCCGTTGGCGCGGGTTTCGATGCGCACGATCCGGCCGGTCAGATGAGTGGTGACGGCGGAGCCGAGCATCTGCGTGCCGCGCGCCATGGTGTGCCACTGCGCGGTCGCCATGCCGACCAGCACGATGAGCGCGGGCAGACAAATCCGCGCCGCCATCCGCGACCGCCGGCCAGCCAGCCACCACAGCAGCGCCGCAAGACCCAGCGCCAGCGGCAGATTGTGGGGTGCCGGTTCCGCCGGAAGCGCGAAATAGGCGGCCGCGCCGGCCAGCAGCAAGACCGGCACGAAGAGGAACGGCGTGCCGAACTCGGTCTCCTCGGCCAGTGCCGCCGGAAACCTCTCCTTCAGCGCCTTCAGGGCAAGGTGCGTCGGGTTGGCTCGACGTATCGTCGGCGGTTGATCCGGATCGCGCTCGACCGGGAACGGCGGCGCTGCGGTTTGGCTTTCGGCTGCCGGCGGTGCGCGCAGTTCGTCCGGCGCCAAGGGCGCGAAGTCAAAGGCGCGGCGCTCGTCCCTTTCGGACGTTTCGCCCCGTCGGTGCCGTGCGCCTGCCTCACCCGAACCCGTCACGCGCTCACCCTTGCGGAGGTGCCTTGACCGCCGTCGGCGCCGAGTGTGCGGCGGCGGCGGCGCGCTTGCAAGTTGGCGATTGTGTGGTACGAGAACGCACGCCCCGCGCGGCGCACCCAGGGCCGCCGCAATCGCGCGGCCAAAAGCCACCATGACCGGAGCTTTCCATGACGAGCGGCGTTGTCACGCGCTTTGCCCCCTCGCCCACCGGCTTCCTGCATATTGGCGGGGCGCGCACGGCGCTGTTCAACTGGCTTTACGCGCAGCACACCGGCGGCACGATGCTGTTGCGGATCGAGGATACCGACCGAGCCCGCTCGACGCCCGAGGCTGTCGATGCGATCATCGACGGGCTGACCTGGCTCGGACTTGACTGGCAGGGCGAACCTGTCTCCCAGTTCGCGCGCGCCGGCCGGCACGCGGAGATCGCCGACCAGCTTCTCGCCGAAGGCCACGCCTATCGCTGCTATGCCAGCCCGGAAGAATTGACGCAGATGCGCGAGACCGCCCGCGCCGAAGGCCGCCCGCCGCGTTATGACGGCCGCTGGCGCGACCGCGATCCCTCCGAGGCGCCCGCAGGCGTCGATCCGGTCATCCGCATCAAGGCGCCGCGCGACGGCGAAACCATCGTGCGCGACCAGGTGCAGGGCGATGTGCGCTTTCCCAACGCCGATCTCGACGATTTCGTCATTTTGCGCTCGGACGGCACGCCGACCTACATGCTCGCCGTCGTTGTGGACGATCACGACATGGGCGTCACCCACGTCATTCGCGGCGACGACCATCTGACCAACGCGGCCCGCCAGCAGATCATCTACGGTCACATGGGCTGGGACGTGCCGGTCATGGCGCACATTCCGCTGATCCACGGTCCCGACGGCGCCAAACTCTCCAAGCGCCACGGCGCGCTGGGCGCCGAAGCCTATCGCGCCATGGGCTATCTGCCCGAGGCGCTGCGCAACTATCTGGCGCGCCTGGGCTGGAGCCATGGCGACGACGAGATCATGTCGACCGAACAGATGATCGAATGGTTCGACATCGCCGACGTCAACAAGGGCGCGGCGCGGTTCGACATTGCCAAGCTCGAGGCGCTCAACGGCCACCATATCCGCCATGCGGACGACGCCCACCTGCTCGAACAGATCGGTGTGCTGCTGCCGCATATCGAGGGCGGGGCCGACCTGATCGCCAAGCTCGCCGACGAGGGCCGGCGCGCGCAGCTTCTTGCCGCCATGCCGGGACTGAAGGAGCGCGCCAGGACGCTGGTGCAGCTCATCGACAGCGCCGCCTATCTTTTCGATGCCCGGCCGCTTTCGTTCGACGACAAGGCGGCCGGCATTCTCGACGCCGATGCGCGCGCGCTTCTCACCGGTGCCCATGCGGCGCTGTCGGCCGTCGACGACTGGCAGGCCGATACGCTCGATGCGGCGGTGCGCACCTTTGCCGAAAGCCGCGAACTGAAGCTTGGCAAGGTCGCCCAGCCGTTGCGCGCGGCGCTCACGGGCCGCGCCACCTCGCCGGGCGTGTTCGACGTGCTCGCCGTTCTGGGGCGCGAGGAATCACTGGCGCGGATCGCCGACGTGATGGCGTGACGCACCGACGCGAATGTGACTTGTGCAATGCACAAATAGGGCTTTGGGCTAGCTTGGCACTCCGGGGCAAATGGGCTAGCTAGGCCGCAACGATCCGCCCGAACCGGTTTTGATGCAACGCAAAATCGGGCCCGGGTTTCTAGACGAGAAGCGATTGAAGGAGAGGCCATGACCGACAAGAGTGCAACCCTGAACGTTGAAGGCACCGACCACTCCTTTGAAGTCCGCTCGGGCTCTGTGGGGCCCGATGTCGTCGATATCTCAAGGCTCTACGCCGAGACCGGCAAGTTCACCTACGATCCGGGCTTCACCTCGACCGCATCGTGCGAATCCAAGATCACCTTCATCGACGGCGACGAGGGCGTGCTGCTGCATCGCGGCTATCCGATCGACCAGCTCGCCGAGCATGGCGACTTTCTGGAAACCTGTTACCTGCTGCTCTACGGCGATCTGCCGACGAAGGTGCAGAAGGAAGACTTCGACTTCCGCGTGACGCACCACACCATGGTCCATGAGCAGATGAACCGGTTCTTCACCGGATTCCGCCGCGATGCGCATCCGATGGCCATCATGTGCGGCGTGGTCGGCGCCCTGTCGGCCTTCTATCATGACTCCACCGACATTTCCGACGAGCATCAGCGCATGGTCGCAAGCCTGCGCATGATCGCCAAGATGCCGACGATCGCGGCCATGGCCTACAAGTACTCGATCGGCCAGCCCTTCGTTTATCCCAAGAACGATCTGGACTATGCGTCCAACTTCCTGCGCATGTGCTTCGCCGTCCCGTGCGAGGAGTATCAGGTCAACCCGGTGCTGGCCCGCGCGATGGACCGCATCTTCATCCTGCACGCCGACCATGAGCAGAACGCATCGACCTCGACCGTGCGGCTCGCCGGCTCGTCCGGCGCCAACCCGTTCGCCTGCATCGCTGCGGGCATTGCCTGCCTCTGGGGTCCGGCCCATGGCGGCGCCAATGAGGCGGCGCTGAACATGCTGGCCGAGATCGGCAGCGCCGACCGCATTCCGGAATTCGTCGCCCGCGCCAAGGACAAGGACGATCCGTTCCGCCTGATGGGCTTCGGCCACCGCGTCTACAAGAATTACGATCCGCGCGCCAAGATCATGCAGAAGACCACGCACGAGGTTCTGGGCGAACTGGGCATCAAGGACGACCCGATGCTCGAGGTTGCCATGGAGCTTGAACAAATGGCGCTGACCGACGAATATTTCATCGAAAAGAAGCTTTATCCGAACATCGATTTCTATTCGGGCATCACGCTCAAGGCGCTCGGCTTCCCCACCAATATGTTCACCGTCCTTTTCGCGCTCGCGCGCACTGTCGGCTGGATCGCCCAGTGGAAGGAGATGATCGAGGATCCGGGCCAGAAGATCGGCCGGCCGCGTCAGCTCTACACGGGCGAAGTGCAGCGCGATTACGTGCCGCTGTCCAAGCGCTGAGCGTCTATGGTACCGGAAACAAGGCCCGCGGCGTCATGCGACGCGGGCTTTTTTCATGCGCGGCTGTGGCCTTCGAGAATATCGGCCACGATCGCCGCGGCCTTGCTGCTCGGCGGCTCGTTTACCTGCATCCGGTCGCGCACGGTGTGATAGCCCGCCATGACCGTGGCCCGGCGTGAGCCGGCCGGGTCGGCCAGTTCCTCGGCCAGCCGCGCCAGCATTCCGGGCCGGATCATCTCGTCATAGTATTCGTTGATCACGACCCTGTCGGCGATGAGGTTGGGCAGCGCCGCCGACCAGGTTGTCAACATCCGCTCGGCGACGCGGCGGATCAGCGGATCGGCGCGATAGCAGGAAACGGCCGGCACGCCCGCCAGCGCCAGTTCCAGCAGCACTGTGCCGGAGGCGGCCAGCGCCACATCGGCCGTCTCATACGCCGCCATCTGGGCATCGCGCCCGGTGGTCACACGCACGCTTTCCGGCCATCCCAGAACATGGTCGCGCACCTGGCGTTCCAGATGCGGCAAGGTCGGCAGGCTGATCGACAGGGCGGTGCCGCGCTCGCCCATGATCGCGACCGTCTGGCGGAAATCGTCGAGCAGCGCACGCACCTCGGACCGGCGCGATCCGGGCAGCAGCAGCAGATTGACCGGTGCGCCTTCCTCGCGCACGATCCGCGCTGAGTTGGCGTCCCAGCAGCGCTGCAGCGCTTGGTCCGCCATCAGCCGGTGCCCGACATAATGGGTTTCCGGTCCGCCCAGTTCGGCCATCACCGCCGGCTCGAACGGCAGGATGGACAGGACATGGTCCACATGGGCGCGCATCGCCGGCGCCCTGCCCGGCCGCCAGGCCCAGACCGTGGGCGCGACATATTTGACGACTGGCAGGTCCGGCAGGCGCTTCTTGACCCGCTTGGCCACCTGCAGCGAAAAATCCGGGCTGTCGACGACAATCAGGCAGTCGGGCCGAGCGGCGATCAGCGCGTTTGCGGTCTGCCCGATACGGCGGGCGAGACGCGGAAGGGCGCGGACCACACTGGTCAGCCCCATCAGCGCGATCTCGTCCGGGTCGAAAAGCGATGTGAGCCCATGGGTTTGGAGTGGCGGGCCGCCGACACCGACCAGGCGCACGGGCGTACCCAGCCGCGCGTTTAGCGCGGCGATCAGGTCGGCCGCGAGAAGCTGGCCGGACGGTTCGCCGGCCACGATGCCGATCAGCGGGCCGTTGCGCTTGTCATGGCTCACCGCGTGTGCTCCCCGGTCCATGTCCGTTCGACGGCGTGCGGATCGAGACCGACCAGAAAGAGACCGGCGGCGTCGGCATCCGCTATCGTTGTCTGGCGGTCCATCACCAGCGTGTTTTCGCCATGCACCGCAATGCCGGCAAGGCCGGCGGACGCGGCGCCGGCGACCGTGTTGCGTCCGATTGTCGGCATGTCGACACGGATGTCCTGGCCGGGCTTGCGCAGTTTGACGAGCACACCGCCCTTGCGCCGGCCCAGCCGGCCGATGGCGCGCAGGTCCGCAACCCGTTGCAGCATCGCATCGGTGCCCTCGGCGCCTTCGAGCGCGACCACCCGGGTTCCAAGCACGACGACCGCCTGCCCGGCATCGAGCGCGCCAAGCGCATTGGCGGCGACGATTCCGGCCTCGATGGCGGCTTGCTGGCTCTTGGGCACGGAAACCTTTCCAAGCCGGGCGGCGGGCGCCAGCAGATCGGGCTCGATCTCGTGCGCGCCGACCACCGTCAGTCCGCCATCCTCCATCATCGCCACAACCGCGCGCAGCAGCGCATCGTCGCCCTTGCCGAGCGCGCGCACGATCCGTGCGATCAGGCGCAGCGTCGTCCAGTCGGGGCGGAACAGGCCGATGTCGGGCCGGCCCTTCACCGTGCCGACCAAAGTGACCTTTTCGACCCCACGATCGAGCATGTAGCGCTTGAATCGGCTCAGTTCGGCGGTGTTGACGGCGATATGCTCGTATTCGGCCAGCGCCGGATCCGCGTCGCCTTCGAGCATGACGACAACGAACGGAACGTTTTTGTCCGACAGCGATCGGGCCAGATGCAGCGGAACCTGCCCGCCCCCGGCGATGATGGCAAGGGGCGCACCGGACCCATCCTGCGGAGCCCGGACCATGTCTTATCCCGCGTGGTTTTCCGCGCGGCGCGCATCGGCGCCGCTCAGCGGCGTCGTCAGATGCCGCTTGGCGCCGTCGAGCACGAAGCGCGCCATCTGCTGCACCGGTTCGATGCCGGCATAGGCATCGACCAGCCCCTCGGCGTTTTCCCTGACCGAGCGGCCATTGTCCGCAAACAGGTCGCGATAGGCATGGCGGATGGCCGTGATGTCGGCCCGGTCCATGCCCGAGCGTTTGAGCCCGACAAGATTGAGGCCGCTCAGATAGGCCCGGCTGCCCATCGCAAGACCGTAGGGAATGACGTCGTGGGCGACGCCCGTCAGCCCGCCGATGAAGGCGTTGTTGCCGATGGTGCAGAACTGGTGGATGGCGCCGCCGCCGCCGACGATCACATGATCGCCGATCGTCACATGGCCGCCGATCATCACATTGTTGGCGAACGTCACGCGCTGCCCGATGACGCAGTCATGGGCGACGTGAGAATAGGCCAGGAACATGCAATCGTCGCCGACGACGGTCTCGCCGCGCGCATTGCCGGTGCCGCGGTGCATGGTCACACCTTCGCGGATCGTGACGTTCCTGCCGATGACCAGCTTGGTCGGTTCGCCCTTATAGGCGGTGTTTTGCGGCGCACCGCCCAGCACCGCCTGGGGATGCACGGTGCATCCGGCGCCCAGTACGGTCGGGCCGGTGACCGATACATGGCTCATCAGAGCGACATCGTCGCCGAGCGTGACCTCCGAGCCGACGTGGCAGAACGGGCCGATGCGCACGTTTGCGCCCAGGGTCGCCCCGGTCTCGACCAGTGCGGTGGGGTGAACGAATGTCGATTGCGCGTCCATCTCAGAGCCCGCCTCCGCGCTTGGCATCGTTCGGCGAGAGCATGGCCGTCAGTTCGGCTTCGGCAACCGTGTCGCCGGCGACCTTTGCGATGCACTCATAACGGCAGATCGAGCCGCGCCGCTTGATCAGCCGGACATGGTATTCCAGCACATCGCCCGGCACGACGGGTTTTCGGAACTTGGCCTTGTCGATCGACATGAAGTAGACGAGCGCCGGCTTGTCCATGCCCAGGCTCTTGATGCCGATCGCGCCGGCGGTCTGGGCCAGGCCCTCGATGATCAGGACGCCCGGCATGATCGGATTGCCGGGGAAGTGGCCCATGAAATGGGGCTCGTTGTAGGTGACGTTCTTGATGCCGACCGCCGAATCCAGTCCGTCAATGTTGACGATACGGTCGACCAGCAGCATCGGATAGCGATGCGGCAGCGCCTTTAGAATGTCGGCGAGATCGGCGGTGTCGAGCGCCTCGTCCACGGAGGTGTGTGTCATGCCAAGAAGCGGAAGCCCTTGCGTTAATCGGATTGAGCCGACCTCTTACGGTCATTGGCAAGCCGGCGCAATGCCAGCACTTCGCGCAGTGCGTCTCTGGCCGGCTTGGCGGGAGAACCGCCCCAGCGCTCGCCCGACGGAATGTTGTCCATCACGCCGGCGCCGCCCGCAATCTGAACCCGGTCGCCGATGACGATCTGGTCGGCGACGCCGACACCGCCGCCCAGCATGCACTGGTCGCCGATGGTCACGCTGCCCGAAATGCCGCAATGGCCGGCGATCACCGTGTGCATGCCGATCCGCACATTGTGGGCGATCTGCACCAGATTGTCGATTTTCGTGCCCTGCCCGATCACCGTGTCGCCCAGCGTGCCCCGGTCGATCGCCGTGTTTGCGCCGATCTCGACATCGTCCTGTATGACGACACGGCCGAGCTGCGGCATCTTGCGCAGGCCGTCGGCGCGCGGCACATAGCCGAACCCGTCCTGGCCGATCGCCGCGCCAGGCAGTATCTGCACCCGGTCGCCAAGCAAGGCGTATTGCAGGCTCGCGCCCGCACCGATGCGGCCGTTGCGGCCGATGCGGCACCCGCGCGCAATGACCGCATTGGCGCCGACGATGGTGCCCGCACCGATCTCCACATCGTCACCGATGACGGCACCCGGCGCCAGGATCACGCCGTCCTCGAGGCGCGCTGTGGACGAAACGGTCGCGCCCGATGAGGGGTGGAGCGCCGTGGCCGGATCGGCGATGGCCACCGCGTCGCCAATGCTGTCCGCAAAAAGCGCCAGCGCAATATCCTGAAAGGCGTGCCGCGGCGCATTGGCCGCAAGATGGACGGGGCCCTCGGGCAAAAGTCCGGCCAGATCGGCGGGTCCGATCACGGCGCTGCACAGGCCGAGCGTATCGAGCGCGACGTTGCGGGCGCTCTCGATGAAGACCAGGCTTCCTTTCACGGGCGCCGAGGCGGGCGCAAGCGTGGTGACGACGGCGTCACTGGCGGCGCCGTCGGGCACTGCAAGACCGCCAAGCGCTGCCACCGCTTTCAGCGGAAGCGGCAGGTCGGAAGGGTGAAAATGCGGATCAATTGCCAAAACCGGCACCAATCAGGACGCCCGGCGCTTGGACCTGTCCTCGTGCCGGGCGATCACATCGTCAGAAGGCGGACGACACCGAGAAGCTGAAGCGCTGCTCCTTGTCGTGCGCCTGTTTGGCCAGCGGCCAGGCATAGTCGAAGCGCAGCGGCGCAAACGGCGATTGCCAGATCACGCTGAGACCGGCCGACGCACGCCATTCCATGTTGGTGTTCATGGCGCCGGCTACGTCGGAGCCGAACAGGGTTGCCGCATCGGCAAACAGGGCGCCCTTGAAGCCAAGATCGCGCGGGAATGCCGGCAGCGGGAACTGAACTTCAGCGGTGGCGTTGAAATAGGTCTTTCCGCCGATGAAGTTGCCCGCCGCATCGGTCGGGCCGATACCGTTATAGGAGAAGCCGCGAATGCGCCGCTGACCCAATTGGAACTGGTCGAACCCCTCGACCGTCCGACCAATGCCCGTAACGTTGCCAGCGCCGGCACTCAAAAGGCCGACGACTTCGGCATCTTCGGACACGGTCACATAATAGGATGCATCAACCGTCGAGCGGACGAAGCGGGCGTCGCCGCCAAGACCGGCCACTTCCTGGATCGCCCTGACAAAGAGACCGCTGCGCGGATCGTTGCGGTCGTCGATCGTGTTGTAGATCAGGCCGTAGGAGACCGACGACTTGATCCGGTCACGACCGCTGGCGATCCGCGTCTGAACATAGCCGGGCGCGCTACAGTTGGCGTCCGGATCCCCTGGCAAATCGGTACAATCGGCACCGTCCGCATTGAAGGCGGTCTGCGAGTAGGAATAGCCGGCAGTGGCCGTCAGATCGTCTGTCAGGGGCAGGCCAAAGCTCACCGAACCGCCTGTGGCCACCTCTTCATAGTCTCCGAAGTCGCGCCGGTTCTGGAACACGTTGCCGGTTGCAGCCACGCGATAGCCCAGAAAATAGGGCTCGGTGAAAGAGATGTTGTAGGTGCGCGAGTTCTGGCTGCCGCCGATGCCGATGCGAATGGCCTGGCCGCGGCCAAGGAAGTTGCGTTCGGTGATCGAACCTTCCAGATTGACGCCCTCGTCCTGGCCGCCGGTGGTGTATCCGACACCTGCGCCGAACTCGCCGGTCGGCTTTTCCTCGACCTGTACGACGACAATGACGCGGTCGGGCGACGAGCCGGGACGTGTGCTTATCGACACGGTCGAGAAGAAGTCCAAAGCCTCCAGCCGGCGCTGCGCCCTGCGAATCAGGATCTGGTTGAAGGCATCGCCTTCGGCCAGGTCGAACTCGCGGCGGATGACATAGTCGCGCGTGCGCGTGTTGCCGGCGATCTCGATGCGCTCGATGAAGGCGCGCTGACCCTGATCGACGATGTAGGTGACATCGATCGTACGATTGTCGAAATTGCGGTTGCCGACCGGCGTGACCTCGGCGAACGGGAAGCCCGCGCCAGCCAATCGCTCGGACATGTCGATCAGCGTATCCTCGACATCGACGGCGCTGTAGACGCGACCCGAACGGGTCTGGATCGTGCTCGTCAGCGATTGCGGATCGACGCCGGTGACGGTGCTGTCGATCTCGATGTTGCCGAACGTGTAGCGGTCGCCCTCATCCACCTCGATGTTGATGACGATGTTGCCGGATGACGGATCGACATCGGCGGACGAGGAGATGACCCGGAAATCGGCATAGCCGCGGTTGAAGTAAAAGCGCCGCAGGCGCTCTTCGTCGGCAGCCAGACGCTGATCGTCATAGACATCGTTGCGCGTCAGGAAAGACAGCGGGTTGGACTGCTTGGTCGTGATGACGGCCTGCAGGCGCCGGTCTCCGAAAGCGTTGTTGCCGGTGAAGTTGATGCGCGAGATCTTCGTGCGGTCGCCCTCGACAACCTGAAAGATGACGTTGACGCGGTTCTCACCCAGATCGACGACGCTGGCATCGACCGTGATGTCGCTCCGTCCGGTGCGGCTGTACGCTTCCACGATCGCTTCGACATCGGCGTCCAGCGTGTCCTGATCGAATCGCGCGCGGGGGGCGAGTTGCACCACGCCGCGCAGACGGTCATCGTCGAGACGCCGATTGCCCTGGAAAAGAACCTGGTTGACGGTGGCGAATTCCTCCACCGTTACGACGAGCGTCGAGCCCGAGCGCACGACCGAGACGTTCGAGAACAGTCCCGAACGGAACAGCGCCCGCACCGCGTCGTTGACATCGGAATCAGTGAAGTTCCTGCCGGGCTGATATCCGACGAAATCGGCAATCGTCTGCTCGGCGACACGCTGGTTTCCGCGAACCGAAATCGCGTTCACCACAGCTGCCTGCGCGCTTGCCATCGTCAGCGTCTGCACGGCGATCGCACCGCCGACGGCCGGCGTCAAAGCCAGCGCGGCAGCCGACACGGCGCTCAAAAATCTAGGAGCCGCTTTCATGCGGTATTGTCCCCAATCTGCTTGGGTCCGAGCCAGACCAGATAGTTCACTCAAAGCGTCGAAATCCGTATTGCAGGCTTTTGTCCCACACGCAAGCAGTAGGGTTAAAAAGCGTTTAGCTTGTGCCGTTTAGTGACGTTTTCGCAACGCACGACCGCCTCACATGGTAAACGAAATGCCCTCATCGCGCGGGTCAAGCATGCGGCATGGCGATACGCGTAACGTTCTAGCCATTTCCGAAAAGAATCGTGATGTCGTTCCAGGTCGCAAACACCATCAGGCCCAGAACGAGCGCGAATCCGATCCGATAGCCATATTCCTGAGCCACCTCCGACAGCGGCTTTCCGCGCACCGCCTCATAGGCATAGAACATCAGGTGCCCGCCATCGAGCACCGGCACAGGCAAAAGGTTCAACAGCCCGATCGAGACCGACAGAATCGCCGTCAGGTTCAAAAGGGCGATGAAGCCGAGTGTCGCCACCTGCCCCGACACCTGCGCCACGCGAATCGGGCCGCCGATCTGGTCGGCGCTCTCGCGCCCGGTGATGACGCCGGCCAGATATCCGCCGGTACGCGAGATCACATAACCGGTCTCCTGAACGCCCAGCCAGACGGCCTGCAGCGGCGGATAGGTTTCGGTGCGATACCGTCCCGCCTCGGGGTTGTTGACGACGCCGATCACACCCTGCTCGATCCTGTTGCCGAACCGGTCCTCGATCTCAAGCCGTTCGGGTGTGATGGTCAGGTCGATGGACTGGCCGTCGCGATCGACGACCATGGCGATCGGGCTGCCGGCGCGGGGCGCCACATAACGCTGCACGTCGGAGAAACTCGCAACGGGCTGGCCGTCGAGACTGACGAAGCGGTCGCCGGCTTCAAGGCCCGCGGCTTCGGCCGCGCTGCCGGCACGAACCTCGGCCACCACAGGATCGGCGACGACGCGTCCGAACACGGCCAGGACGAATGCGAAGATGACGATTGCAAGGATGAAGTTGGCGGCCGGACCGGCAAACACGGTCGCCGCGCGGCGCCAGACGCTCTTGGTGTGGAAGGCCCGGGCCCGTTCCGCTTCGGTCAGCGCGTCATCCATCGTCGCCGACGCCGAGGCCGCGTTCATGTCTCCGACGAACTTCACATAACCGCCGAGCGGGATCGCTGACAGCCGCCAGCGTGTTCCGTGGCGATCGTCAAAGCCGAAAAGTTCGGGGCCGAAGCCGACCGAGAACACCTTGGCGCCGATTCCGCACCAGCGGCCGACGAGATAGTGGCCCAGTTCGTGAAAGAAGATGACGACCGTCAGAACGAACAGGAACGGCACGGCAATGCCGATGATGAAGCCGTCCGTCGCGACGAGTCCGGTCAGGAAGTCAAACATCGGGTCTCCGCTGTCGGTCAGAAAAAGGCAAGGGCGGGCTGGTCGATGCCGGCGCGCAGCGCACTGGCAAACCATAGGCCAATCGCGGCGAAAACAAGACCATCGACTCGATCCATGACGCCGCCATGGCCGGGGATCACGCGGCCTGAGTCCTTGACGCCGGCGCGCCGCTTGATCCACGATTCAAACAGGTCGCCGGCCTGCGACAGGGTCGACAGGACCAGCGCCAGTCCGATTGCCGCCCAAAAGCTGCTGACGCCGAACAGCGCATCGACCAAGAGCGCTGCGGCAACGGCCGAGGCGAGCCCGCCGAGCGCGCCGGAGATCGTCTTGTTGGGTGAGACGCGCGGCGCCAGCTTCGGCCCGCCTACCCGGCGTCCGACGAAATAGGCGCCGATATCGGTGGCCCAGACCACGGCGACCAGGAAGATGATGGCCGCCAAGCCCGGCTCGAAGCCCCAATCGCCCCGCAAAAGGCCCAGACTGGTCAGAAGCAGCGCCGCATAGACGAACCCGCCAATCGCTCGTCTGTCCTTGAGGCCGACGGCCGCAACGGCGAACAAGGCCAAAACGGCGAGCAGAAGCAGTGTCTTGGCAGCCGGCGGCGCAAACAGGATGACGACCGCCAGTGCGATCAAGCCCAGAATGCCAACCGGTTGCAGCCGGTCGTCGCTGCCGGGCATCTTCATGTCGGTCCATTCGACCCAGAAGATGGCGGCGATCAGCGTGATGAACATCACGAAAGGCGTTCCGCCGGCAATCGTGACGGCGATGAAGATCGCTCCCAGCACCACGCCGGACCAGACCCGGGCGGCGAGGTTGCTCATAGGGCGACGTCGCGCGCCGGCGTCACCGCGCCATAACGGCGTTCCCGGCCGCGATATTCCTCGAGCGCCTGCACAAGCTGGTCTTCGTCGAAATCGGGCCACATGCAGTCGAGGAACACCAGTTCGGCATAGGCCGCCTGCCAGAGCAGGAAATTGGACAGCCGCATTTCGCCGCTGGTGCGGATGATCAGATCCGGATCGGGCAGTCCGGCCGTGTCGAGCGCGCCGCTGACATCGGCGCTTGTCAGGCGCCGCTCGCAGTCGGGCGTCAGGCGCGCCGTGTCGACCAGCTTTTGCGCCGCGCGCAGCAATTCGTCGCGCGCACCATAGTTGAAGGCGATGTTGAGGTTGAGCCGGACATTGCCGCGCGTGCGCGATTCGGCACGTTCGATCAGGTCGAGAATGTCGGGCTTGAGCCCTTCACGGCTGCCGATGATGCGGATGCACACCCCGTTTGCCGCCAGCTCCGCCAGGTCGCGGTGGATGTAAAGCCGCAGCAGACCCAGAAGATCGCGCACCTCTTCGGGCGGTCGAGACCAGTTCTCCGACGAAAACGCGTAGAGCGTCAGGTGCCGGATACCGTACCTGGGCGCGGCGCGCACCGTGCGGCGCACCGCTTCCACGCCTGCCCTGTGGCCGAAAGTACGCGGCATGGAGCGCGCGGTGGCCCAGCGGCCGTTGCCGTCCATGATGATGGCGACATGTTCGGGACCGAGGATCGTGTCAGCGGGCGCTTTGGACAGCACGTACATCTCCTTTGGGGACGCCGGGCGCCCGATTCGTTGCGCCTGCGGCCGCGGCGGTTACACCTGAAGGATTTCGGCTTCTTTCTCGGCCAGCAACTCGTCGATACGCGTGATGTATGTGTCGGTCTGCTTCTGCACGGCGTCCGATTCCGACCGTCCCTCGTCCTGACCGATCTCGCCGTCTTTTTCGAGCTTTTTCAAGGTGTCCATGCCGTCGCGGCGCACGTGGCGCACAGCTATCCGGGCGTTTTCCGCATATTGGTGGGCAACCTTGACCAGTTCGCGCCGCCGCTCCTCGTTCAGTTCGGGCAGCGGGACGCGCACGGTGGTGCCGTCGGTCATCGGGTTGAGGCCGAGGCTCGACTCGCGGATCGCCTTTTCGACGGCCCCGACCATGGACTTGTCCCAAACATTGACCGCCAGCATGCGCGGCTCGGGCACGGTGACGTTGGCGACCTGGTTGATCGGCATCGCGCTGCCATAGGCTTCCACAGTGATGGGGTCGAGCAGCGAGGCCGAAGCGCGGCCGGTGCGCAGACCGCCAAGATCGCTTTTGAACGATGTGATCGCGCCTTCCATGCGGCGGGTCAGATCGGCAAGATCATACTCACTCATGACACTGCTTCCTCCGGAACGGGCAGATGAACTATTGCTCGCGGACAACGGTCGAACGGCCGCGTCCCTTGACGATGGCGGCCAGGCCGCCCTTTTCGTGAATCGAAAACACGACGATGGGAATCCGGTTCTCGCGGGTCAGCGCAACCGCCGCTATGTCCATGACATTCAAGCCCTTTTCAATGACCTGCGCATGCGTCAGACATTCATAGCGCTCGGCCGCCGGATCGAGCTTGGGATCGGCCGAATAGATGCCGTCCACCTGGGTGCCCTTCAACAGCGCGTCCGCGCCGATTTCGGCGGCCCTGAGCGCCGCGGCCGAATCGGTCGTGAAATAGGGATTTCCCGTGCCCCCCGCAAAGACAACCACCCTGCCCTGTTCGATGTTCCACATCGCCTTGCGTTGCGAGAAGCTTTCGCACAATTGCGGCATCGCAATGGCTGACAACACCACGGCATCCAGTCCGCTCTTGACCAGCGAAGTGCGCAGCGCCAGCGAATTGATGACGGTTGCCAGCATGCCCATATGGTCGCCGGTCACCCGGTCGCCGCCGCGCGAGGCCACCGCGACCCCGCGGAAGATGTTGCCGCCGCCGATCACGATGGCGACCTGCACGCCCATGTCGACCGCCTGCTTGACGTCGCTGGCGATCCGGTCGGCAACTTCGACATCGATGCCAAAGCCCTGATTGCCCATCAGCGCCTCGCCGGACACTTTCAGCAGGACACGCTTGTAGGCAAGGTCTTCGGACATGGGCAGATTTTCGGGATCAGCAGCAGGATTCGGTTGGGCCCCGATACAACACGGGCACCGCCTTGTCACGCGGTGCCCGTCTCGTGTGGACCGATTTCGATCCGAAGGCTCAAGGGCCGGTCAGCCCTTGGCGGCGGCGGCGACTTCGGCGGCGAAGTCGCTCTCTTCTTTCTCGACGCCCTCACCCAGCGCGAACCGTTCGAAAGCGGTCACTTTCGCCTCAGCGCCAATTTCCTTTTCGGCTTCCTTGAGCGCCTGCTCGACCGTCAGGTCGGGATTGATCACGAAGCTCTGCTTGAGAAGGCAGACTTCCTCGTAGAACTTGCGCAAGCGGCCCTCCACCATCTTCTCGATGATGTTTTCGGGCTTGCCGGATGCCTTGGCCTGCTCGGAAAAGATCGCCTTCTCGCGCTCGATGGCGGCCGGGTCCAGATCGGCCACATCGATGGCCAGCGGATTGGTCGCCGCCACATGCATGGCGATCTGCCGGCCGATCGCCGACGCCGCAGCGGCATCGCCGCCGGTTTCGATGGCGACCAGCACGCCCAGCTTGCCCAGATCGGTCTTGACCGCATTGTGGACATAGGTCGCGACCGTGCCGCTGCCGACGCTCAGCTTGGCCGAACGGCGCAGGTTCATGTTCTCGCCGATGGTCGCGACGGCGTCCTTGATGGTTTCCTCAACGCTCTTGTCGCTGCCCGGATAGGCGGCCGCGGCGACCGCCTCGACCGAACCGTCCGTGCCCAGCGCGACCTGCGCGACATCGCCGACGAGCGTCTGGAACGCGTCGTTGCGGGCGACGAAATCGGTTTCGGAGTTGACCTCGACCACGATGGCGTCTGTACCCGATGCGGCGACCCCGATCAGCCCTTCGGCAGCGGTGCGGCCGGATTTCTTCTCGGCCTTGGCGATGCCCTTGGTGCGCAGCCAGTCGACCGCCGCATCCAGGTCACCATCGGTTTCGGTGAGCGCCTTCTTGCAGTCCATCATGCCCGCGCCCGTCAGGTCGCGCAGCTGTTTCACCAATGCGGCTGTAATGGTCATTGTCGTGCCTTTCGTCGTGCCGGCCCGGAGCTCTCCGGGACGCGGCGTGTCATCCAATTGTCGTTGTGGAACCGGCCCTGCCCGGTCCGTGTGACGCGCCGATGAAGGGACGCCCCCGCGGGCGTCCGATCGCGCTGCGTCAGGCCTGGGCCGGCTGTTCTTCGGCCGGTGCGGCTTCCTCGGCAGCCGGTGCAGGCTCTTCGGCGACCGCCGCCGGCTCTTCAGCCGGAGCCTCCTCGATGGCCGGCTCGGCCGGTGCTTCGGCCTGCGCGCCGACATCGACGCCCGAAGCGCCCTGCTGGCGTTCGATGCCGTCGATCGCCGCCCGTGCGATCAGGTCGCAATAGAGCGAGATGGCGCGCGCCGCATCGTCATTGCCCGGGATCGGATGGTCGACCACGTCCGGATCGCAGTTAGAATCGATGATCGCGACGACCGGAATGCCGAGACGATGCGCTTCCTGAATGGCGATGGCTTCCTTGTTGGTGTCGATCACGAACATCAGGTCGGGAATGCCGCCCATGTCCTTGATGCCGCCCAGCGCGCGGTCGAGCTTTTCGCGCTCGCGCTCGAGGTTCAGCCGTTCCTTCTTGGTGAAGCCCTCGGCCTCGCCGCCCAAAAGCTCCTCGAGCTTGCGCAGGCGCGCGATCGAATTGGAGATCGTCTTCCAGTTGGTCAGCATCCCGCCGAGCCAGCGGGCGTTGACGTAGTACTGCGCCGACCGCTTGGCCGCGTCGGCGACGATTTCAGAAGCCTGGCGCTTGGTGCCCACGAACAGCACGCGGCCGCCGCCGGCCACCGTGTCGGACACTTTCTTGAGCGCCTGCTCGAGCAGCGGCACCGTCTGCGACAGGTCGATGATGTGGACATTGTTGCGGTCGCCAAAAATGTACCGCGCCATCTTCGGGTTCCAGCGGTGTGTCTGGTGGCCGAAGTGAACGCCAGCTTCAAGCAGCTGGCGCATGGAATAGTCTGGCATTGCCATGCGTATGGTCCTTTCCGGTTCTGCCTCCACGGCGCGTCAGCGGTTGCCCGCCACCGGTGGCCCCGCCGGATGTCTCCCGGTCGTCAGCCTGCACCGTGTGTGGAATGATCGGGCGCTTAGCCCAAAGCCCGCCTCTTGGCAAGAGACCTGTCAGATGGGGTTCTCAGGAGCAGTCTTCAACCTCGAACAGTTCCAGTTCCTCCATCGTGCCCGACAGCATGAAGTCGCCATAGTCCATCTCCAGCGACCTTGTGATGCCATTGTCGTGCATCTTGAAGGCGATCCGGTATTCGGGCAGCCCCTCGCCCTCGGTCACCTCGTCGAAATAGGCAACCGAGATGTTGCGGAACGGCGCATCGGCGACCGCGCCGATCGCATCGGGATCGTCCTCGTCCTCGGTCTTTTCGGGACCGATGATCACCGTTGTGGTCAGCACCCGGTCGGCATCGTCCGACCCGTCGAAGATCTTTTTTTCGTAGAAGCGCTCGCCGGCGGCGGCCCGCTCGATCAGATCGATCATGTGCGCGGTGGGAAACGCGGCCGGGTCGAGCCGGATCTCGGTTTCCTCCGGTTCGCTGAGCGTGACGATCGTCGCATCGTCCTCGACGGCCGCCACGCCTTCGATCGTGCGGTCGGGCCGCTGGTCGACGAAGGTGCGGGTCAGGAAGCGGAAGGACGAGCCGTCGGCTTCCTCGAAGGTCGTCGTCTGCTGGTCGGTAACGCGGCCGCCGGCGCGCGCGGCGATTTGCGTGACGAAGCGGAAATTGGTCGTATAGCCCTCGCAGGCCGATCCCCGGAACTCGTAGACGATACGGCCGCGCATGCCGGTGATGCCGCTGCGGTCCAACGCCTCTTCCAGTTCGACCGCGTAGACAGCCCGGTGCGGCGCCAGTTGGACGCCGGCGGCCTCGGCGGGCGCGGGCATCGTTGCAACGGCGACCAGAAGGCCGGCTGAAACGGCAAGGGATTTTCGGCGGATTGGCATCGTGAATCGCTTTCCTTTTTGGCGCCACTATAGGAAACGTCTTGTCAGAAGCGAGGCAAAATCCGCCCCGCGCCAAAGGGGGACCGACACGCATGACCGATCAGATCGAAACCAGGCTCGCCGAAATGGGCATCACAGTGCCGGACGTTGCCGCGCCGGCGGCGAACTATCTGCCCTATGTGCGCAGCGGCAATCTGGTGTTCACCTCCGGGCAGTTGCCGTTCATGGACGGCGCACTGCGCGCGACGGGTCTGGTCGGCGCCGATGTCAGCCTTGAAGACGGCCAGGACGCGGCCAAATGGTGCGCGGTCAACATTCTGGCGGTGGCGAAAAGCGCGCTCGGCAGCCTCGAGGCCATCGAAAAGATCGTCAAGATCTCCGTGTTCGTGGCGTCCGCGCCCGGATTCACCGAGCAGCATCTGGTCGCCAACGGCGCATCGGACCTTCTGGCCGAAGCGCTGGGCGACAGGGGAAGGCACGCGCGCGCGGCGGTCGGCATGGCCAGCCTGCCGCTCAACGCCGCCGTCGAGATCGAGGCGATCATCGAGGGCCGATGACCGACATCGCCTCTCTGACCGCGCGGCCCATCGCCCATCGCGGCCTGCACGACGACAACCGGACGCGGTGGGAGAACACCGCGTCCGCGTTCCGGGCAGCGATCGCCGACGGGTTCGGCATCGAACTGGACGTGCAACTGTCGGCCGATAGCGTTGCGATGGTCTTCCACGATGCGGAGCTGGATCGTCTGACCGGCGAGAAAGGCCCCGTTGCGGACCGCTGTGCGGATGAACTGCGCGATCTCGCCGTCGGGGGCACCGAAGACCGGATCATGACGCTCGTCGAAACGCTTGATCTGGTCGATGGGACCGTGCCTGTCATCATCGAGATGAAGGACAATGGCGCCCGCAACGGCGATCTGGCGCGCGCCGTCGCGCGCGATGTTGCGGGCTATCGCGGGCCAGTCGCCGTCATGTCGTTCGAGCACGCGCTTCTGGACACGTTTCGCGCCATGGAAACGGGCGTGCCGCTGGGCCTGACCGCGTCGGGCATCAGCAATGCGGCGCTGGCCGAACACAGGCCACAGCTCGAAGCGGGGATCGATTTCGTCTCTTATCAGGTCGCCGCCCTGCCCAATGCCTTCGTCGCCGAGGTGCGCGCGCGCGGCCTGCCGGTCATCACCTGGACGGTCCGGACGCCCGAACAGGTTGCGCTGACCCGTGCCCATGCCGACCAGATGACGTTTGAAGGGTTCGATCCCGACGCGGCATGAAAATCGCCGCCGCGCCTTGCGGCGCGTTTGCGATGCAATACATCTCGGTTGATGACCGATCCCACCGCCGCCACAGCCGCGCCCGAGGGCCAGCCCGCCCATGTCGTGCGGGTTCACGAGCGCATCGCCGACGTCCCCCGCGCGGTCTGGGACGGATTTGACGGCACCAGCCGTGCCCACGGTACGGCCTACAACCCGTTCATGCGGCACGATTTCCTGAGCGCGCTTGAAGAAGCCGGCTGCGCGGTCGCGGACACCGGCTGGCACGGCCAGCACCTGGTGCTTGAAGATGGCGCGGGAAACGCGCTGGCAGCGGCCCCTGCCTATCTGAAGGCGCACAGCCAGGGCGAATATGTCTTCGACCATGCCTGGGCCGACGCCTGGGAGCGTGCCGGCGGCCGCTATTATCCCAAGCTGCAACTTTCGGTGCCGTTCACACCGGCCACCGGCCCTCGCCTTCTGATCGGCCCCGACGTCAACGCCGAGGCCGCCCGCGCGGCGCTGGCCAACGCGATCGCGCAACTGACCGAACGGCTGGGTCTCTCCTCGGCGCATGTGACGTTTGCGCAAAAGCCCGATCTCGACGCGCTGCTCGAGGCCGGCTTCCTGCACCGCACGGACCAGCAGTTCCATTTCATCAACAAGGGCTACGGCTCCTATGCGGAGTTCCTGGAAACCCTGTCCTCACGCAAGCGAAAGGCGCTGAAAAAGGAGCGCGCGACCGCCCTTGAGAACGGCATCACCATCGACTGGCTGACCGGTTCGGACATCACAGAAGCGGCACTCGACGATTTCTACGTCTTCTACACCGACACGGGCGAACGCAAATGGGGCCGGCCCTATCTCAACCGGCGCTTCTTCTCGCTTGTCGCCGAGCGCATGGCCGACGACATCCTGCTTGTGATGGCCAGTCGAAACGGCCGCAACATTGCAGGCGCGATCAACTTCATCGGCGGCGACACGATCTTCGGCCGGCATTGGGGCTGTGTCGAGCATCACCGCTTCCTGCATTTCGAGGTCTGCTACCACCAGGCGATCGATTTCGCGATCGAACGCAAGCTGGCCGTGGTCGAAGCGGGCGCGCAGGGCGAACACAAGCTGGCGCGCGGCTATCTGCCGGTGACGACCCATTCGGCCCATTTCATCCCGCATGAGGGTTTCCGCAAGGCCATCGAGGACTACCTGCACCACGAGCGCGCCGATGTGGCGCGGTTCGGCAAGATCCTCGCCGACGCGGGACCGTTCAGGAAGGCCGATTGAATCGCCGCGCAACTGCGCCTAGACCGGATCGGCAACGATGCCCGGAACGGCGGACGAGGACATGACAGCATACGACACCGACAACATCTTCGCCAGAATCCTGCGTGGCGAAATCCCGTCCCACACGGTGCATGAGGACGAAGACACGCTGGTGATCATGGATGTGATGCCGCAGGCCGACGGCCACGCGCTGGTCATCCCCAAATCCGCGTCACGCAACCTGCTCGATGCCGAGCCGATGGCGCTTGGCGCGGCGATTGCGGTTGTCCAGCGCGTGGCGCTAGCCTCAAAGGCGGCGTTCGCTGCCGATGGTATTTCGGTGATGCAGTTCAACGAAGCGGCGGGCGGCCAGTCGGTGTTCCACCTGCATTTCCACGTCATTCCGCGCCATGACGGCACGCCGCTGCGCGCCCATTCGGGCCAGATGGAAGACCAGGACGTGCTGACGGCCAACGCCGAGAAGTTGCGCGCGGCGCTCGCCGCGCTCTGAACAGGATTACTTGCGCGCCCGGCGTGCCGTTTCGACGGCGAGGCGCCCCCAGGGCTCCATCGCATCGGCGCTTTCCAGTGCCTCGTCGGGAACCTGCCAATAGGGCATCGCCGATTGCCGGCCTGTCTTGGGGTTTTCATAAACCCAGCGTTGCATGCCTTCGGCCTCATAGGCTGGCGAGGCTTGGTCGTCGCCCTTCACATAGAGCTTGTCGAAGGCAACGAGCGCAAAGATGCCGTGCGCGCAGTAGACGCCCTGCCCGCCGAACATGCGCTTGATGGTGATCGGCCCGAACGGGGCAAACAGGTCCCTGAGATAGTCTTCATCCATCGGCGTCCCTCGACGGTCCTTACTGCTCGAGACGGAAATGCTCGTGACACGCCGGGAAGGTCGCGCCCGTCCGGCGGAAGGCGGCGACCAGCGCCGCGGCGGCACAAGTCAGGCCGATGAAGAATCTGACGGCACGCTCCCGGTTGGGTTGCATTTGGTCCGCGCTGCGTTTCGAGCCGGTGGAGGGTCGAGCGCCTGTGTCGGGCTACAGTTCGCCCCGCGCCTCGGCCAGTTCCTTCAGATCGGCGGGCTTGAGTTCGACCGATTCGCCGCACCCGCACGCCGAAGACTGGTTGGGATTGTTGAAGACGAAGCCGGTACGCAGCTTGGTCACCTCGAAATCCATCTGCGTGCCCAGCAGATAGAGCATCGCCGCCGGATCGACCCATACATGGGCGCCCGCATGGCTGATATGGTCGTCCTTGGGATCGGGTTCGGTGACCAGATCGACCGTATATTCCATGCCCGCGCAGCCGCCCTTCTTGATGCCGACCCGCACGCCCTGCGCACCCTGTTCGGCGCGTCCGGCGACGATCTCGCGCACGCGATCCGCAGCCTGGTCGGTCATGGTCATGATGGCAAAGGCCATGGGTTCAACTCCTGTCGTTGCCTGAGATTTATGCACGCCCGGCAGCGCGCGCAAGCGGCCGTCAGTAGAGCCCCACCGCGATCTGCGCTTCCTCGCTCATCCGGTCCGGCGTCCAGGGCGGATCGAAGGTCATCTCCACCTCGACATCCATGACGCCCTCGACGGTGCGTACTGCGTTTTCGACCCAGCCCGGCATCTCGCCGGCCACCGGGCAGCCCGGCGCCGTCAGGGTCATTTCCACCTTGACCGTCCGGTCGTCCTCGATGTCGACGCGGTAGATCAGGCCGAGTTCGTAGATGTCGGCCGGAATCTCCGGATCGTAGACCGTCTTCAGCGCGGCGACGATATCGTCGGTCATGCGCGCCAGTTCGTCGCGCGGCAGCGCCGACGGGGTCGGCGTGGCCGCCGTTGCCGGCGCTTCGGTTTGTGCGGTTTGTGGTGTCTGGTCTTCCATCATGGGATCATCCTAGCACGACGGTGCTCATGCAAAAAACTCGCGCGCCTTTTCCAGCGCTTCGACCAGCGCGTCGACTTCGGCGCGCGTGTTGTACATGCCGAACGACGCCCGGCAGGTGGACGTGGCGCCGAAGCGCTTGAGCAGCGGCTGGGCACAATGGGTGCCGGCACGCACGGCAACACCCGACCGGTCGATGACCATGGAAATATCGTGCGCGTGCAGCCCCTCGATCTCGAACGCGATGATTGCCGCCTTGTCGGGCGCGTTGCCGATGATGCGCAGCGCGTTGATGCGCGAAAGCTGCTCGTGCGCGTAGGCGCGCAGATCGGCCTCATGCGCCGCGATGGCGGGACGGCCGATCCGGTCCATGTAATCGAGCGCGACGCCGAGCCCGATCGCCTGGGCGATGGGCGGCGTGCCCGCCTCGAACCGGTGCGGCGGATCGGCGTAGGTTACAGCATCCTCGCTCACATCGAGGATCATCTCGCCGCCGCCCTGGAACGGTTTCATGGCCGCAAGGCGTTCCGCCTTTCCGTAGAGCACGCCGATTCCGGACGGCCCGTAGGTCTTGTGGCCGGTGAAGACGTACCAGTCGCACCCGAGATCCTGAACGTCGACCGGAAGATGCACGGCACCCTGGCTGCCGTCGACCAGAACGGGAATGCCGCGCGCATGGGCGATCTCGCAGACCTTCTTGATCGGCACGACCGTCCCCAGGACGTTGGAGACATGGGTCAGCGCGACCAGTTTGGTCCGGTCGGTCAACCGCGCCTCGAATTCGGCAATGTCGAACCGGCCCTCATCATCGACGGGCGCCCAGACGAGCCTGGCGCCGTTGCGCTCGCGCAGGAAATGCCAAGGCACGATGTTGGCATGGTGCTCCATGATCGAAATGACGATCTCGTCGCCCTCGCCGATCGCGTCCGCGCCGAACCCGTGGCTGACCGTATTGATCGCCTCTGTCGCCGACTTGGTGAAGACGATCTCGTCGACCGAGTCCGCATTCAGAAAGCGCCGGACGGTTTCGCGCGCTGCCTCATAGGCATCGGTCGTCGCGTTGGACAGGTAATGCAGCCCGCGATGCACGTTTGCATATTCGTGTTCATAGGTGCGCGCCACCGCGTCGATCACCGCACGCGGCTTTTGCGCCGATGCGCCATTGTCCAGATAGACCAGCGGCTTGCCATAGACTTCCCGGGAAAGGATCGGAAAGTCGGCCCTGATCGCGTCGACATTGTAAGCAGCGTTCGAGACCGGATCGGCGCTCATTACCCGTTCGCCTCCAGCCAGTCGGCAATGCGGATTTCAAGCGCCTCGATCAGCGCATCGTCGTCCAGTTCCTCGACGATCTCGTCGACAAAAGCCTCGATCAGCAGGCCCCGCGCCGTCTTGGCCGAAATGCCGCGCGCCATCAGGTAGAACAGATGATCCTCGTCGATCTCGGCGACCGTGGCACCATGGGCGCAGACGACGTCGTCGGCAAAGATCTCCAGTTCCGGCTTGGTGGCAAAACCGCTTTCATCGGAGAGCAGCAGCGTGTTGCAGGCCATCTGCGCGTCGGTCTTCTGCGCGGCCCGTGCGACGCGGATCTGACCCTGAAACACGCCCTGCGCCTTGCCGGTGACGACGTTGCGCACCGTCTCGGTCGATGTGGTGTTGGCGACGAGATGGTCCAGTTCCAGCGTCACGTCGCAATGAGTCTTTTCGCCGATCATGTTGATCGCGCGGAAGGCCAGTTCGGCGCCCTCGCCGGTCGCTGCGGCATGAACCTCCTGGCGCACCAGCCGGCCGCCATAGTTGGCGATGAACAGGGTGGCTTTTGCGTCCTTTTCGAGCGTCAGCCTGAAAGTGCCGAGATGGGACGCAGCCGCTCCCTGTTCCTGCACGATGATCCAGCGGACTTCGGCGCCTTCGCGCACCGTCAGTTCGGTGGCATTCGACGCGAGCACGTCTTCGTCCGACCCCATGTGCCGGTCGATGAAGGCGGCTTTGGCGCCGGCGCCGACGGTGACGAGGTTGCGCGTGTGCACCTGCCCGCCATCATGGATCGACTGGAGCTCGATCGGACGTTCGATGTCAGCGCCCTCGGCGACGGTGAGGCGCACGCCGTCGGTCACAAACGCGGTGTTGATCGCGCCGATCGCATCGTCGGCTTCGGTCGGCGCTTCCAGGATCACACCGCCCACATCGGCGCGCAGCGCGTCGGCCACCGCCTCGATCTGACAGCCCTCGATTTCGGTCCGCTCGATCAGCTGACCGTTGATCAGGACGAACCGGTGGGCATTGTCGACAAGCGGATCGGCGGGCCCGGCAGCCACATCGCTGCGCCATTCGGGCATCGCGTTCACAAGCCGGCGCAGGTCCGTATAGTGCCAGGCTTCCACCTTGCGCGTCGGCAGCCGGTGCGCCTTGATCGCCTGCACCGCCTGATCGCGCGCCATCACGGTATCGGCATTGCCGGGCAGATGGCTGCTGCGGTGGCCGAATTGCGCAACCAGCGCCGTTTCGGCCGCCGTCAGCGGCGCCTCGGCGGGCTTTTTCAGCGTTGCAACCATGTCAGGCCGCCTCGGCGATGATGTCGGTATAGCCCTTGGCTTCGAGCTCGAGCGCCAGCGACTTGTCGCCGGTCTTGACGATGCGGCCCTTGGACAGGACATGCACCGTATCGGGCACGATGTATTCGAGCAGGCGCTGATAGTGGGTGATCACGATCACGGCGCGGTCCGGCGAACGCAGCGCGTTGACGCCATCGGCAACGATCTTCAGCGCATCGATGTCGAGGCCGGAATCGGTCTCGTCGAGCACGCACAGTTTCGGCTCGAGCAGCTTCATCTGCAGGATCTCGGCCCGTTTTTTCTCGCCGCCCGAAAAGCCGACATTCAGGGGACGCTTGAGCATCTCCATCTCGACACCGAGCGTGCCGGCCGCCTCGCGCACCTTCTTGATGAAGTCCGGCGTCGTCAGCTCGTCCTCGCCGCGCGCCTTGCGCTGCTCGTTGAGCGCCACCTTGAGGAACTGCATGGTGGCGACACCGGGAATTTCCACCGGGTACTGGAAGGCCAGGAACAGGCCCGCGCTGGCGCGCTCGGCCGGGTCCATCTCGAGAATGGATTCGCCGTTGTAGAGAATGTCGCCCTCGGTCACCTCATAGTCGTCCCGGCCAGCCAGCACGTAGGACAGCGTCGACTTGCCCGAGCCGTTCGGCCCCATGATCGCGGCCACTTCTCCGGCTTTCACGGTCAGGTTGAGACCGTTGATGATCTCGGTGCCATCCTCGGCGATCCGCGCGTGCAGGTTCTTGATTTCCAGCATTTTCTTCGTTCCCAACTCGGTCTTTTCAGTCTTGTTTCTTCTTCACGAACAGCCCGCGCATGGCGTAGCTGATGGCGGCGACACCGCCCAGAAGCCCGGCGCTCAGATAGCGGTCGCCGAACGGGTTCCACAAATAGCCGGCCACCGTCACGAACAGGATGGTGGCAGCGCCCGCCAGGCGGATCGTGCCGGTCAGATCACGGTTGTCGTCATTTTTTCGCATCACAACCCCAGGGCTGCGCGGACCGGCGGCAACAGGCTGGCTGCCACGATGCCGACGACGGCACCGACAAGAATGCGCCGGTTGCGGTTGCCAAGCGAAGGTGCGAGCGCGGCGAGCGCACCGCAGATCGCCGCGTACCAGACGATGGTTGTCGGATCGAACATGGCTGTTCTCCGGCCTGTGCCGAAAACCGGCTGCTGCTACCCAACGCTGCCTTCCAGCGAAATGCCGATCAGCTTCTGCGCCTCGACGGCGAACTCCATCGGCAGCTCCTGGATGACCTCCTTGACGAAGCCGTTGACGATCAGCGCGATCGCCTCCTCTTCGGGAATGCCGCGCTGCATGCAGTAGAACAGATGGTCCTCGGAAATCTTCGAGGTGGTCGCTTCGTGCTCGAGCTGCGCCGAGGAATTGTTGGCCTCGATATAGGGCACGGTGTGTGCGCCGCAGCGGTCGCCGATCAGCAGCGAATCGCACTGGGTGAAATTGCGCGCGTCGGTCGCCTTGCGATGCACGGACACCTTGCCGCGATAGGTGTTTTCCGACGTACCCGCCGAAATGCCCTTGGAGATGATCCGGCTCGACGTGTTCTTGCCCAGATGGATCATCTTGGTGCCCGAATCGATCTGCTGCGCACCGTTCGACACCGCGATCGAATAGAATTCGCCGCGTGAATTGTCGCCGCGCAGGATGCAGGACGGGTACTTCCATGTGATTGCCGAACCGGTCTCGACCTGGGTCCAGGAAATCTTGGAATTGTCGCCCCGGCAGTCGCCGCGCTTGGTGACGAAATTGTAGATGCCGCCCTTGCCCTCGGCATCGCCCGGATACCAGTTCTGGACGGTCGAGTATTTGATCTCCGCATCCTCGTGCGCGATCAGTTCGACCACGGCGGCGTGAAGCTGGTTCTCGTCGCGCTGCGGCGCCGTGCAACCCTCGAGATAGGACACGTAGGCGCCCTTTTCGGCGATGATCAGCGTGCGCTCGAACTGGCCGGTGTCCTTCTCGTTGATGCGGAAATAGGTCGACAGTTCCATCGGGCAGTGCACGCCCTCGGGCACATAGACGAACGAACCGTCCGTGAAGACCGCCGAATTGAGCGCGGCGTAATAATTGTCGGAGACCGGCACCACCGAGGCGAGATATTTCTTCACCAGTTCGGGATGCTCGCGCATCGCTTCGGAGATCGACATGAAGATCACGCCGGCCTTGGCGAGCTCGGCCTTGAAGGTGGTGACGACGGACACCGAATCGAACACCGCGTCGACGGCAACCCTGCGCTCCTGCACGCCGGCCAGGATTTCCTGTTCGGCAAGCGGAATGCCGAGCTTTTCATAGGTGCGGCGGATTTCCGGATCGACATCGTCAATGGTCTTCGGGCCGGTCTGCCCCTTGGGCGCGGCGTAGTAGTAGATGTCGTTGAAATCGATCTTGGGATAGTTCACCCGTGCCCAGTCGGGTTCCTCCATCGTCAGCCAGCGCCGATAGGCGTCAAGCCGCCACTCCAGCATCCATTCGGGCTCTTCCTTCTTGGCCGAGATGAAGCGGATGATGTCCTCGTTCAGGCCCTTTGGGGCCTTGTCCATCTCCAGGATGGTCTCAAAGCCGTATTTGTACTGATCGACATCGATCTTTGCGACCTGATCGATCGTCTCCTGAACCGCGGGCATGGCGATCTCTCCTTCCAACCGAACTGCATGCAGCGCTACCGCGCGCACGATGGCCGTCTGACGCGGCCTTCATCATGGTCAATCTAGTCCATACATCAGTTTTGAAAAGTTCTAAAGAGCGAAAATCTGACTTTTTGCCATAGGTTTTCCATCATGTGGTATTTCTTGCCGCCAAGGCAAGCCGTCAGGCGGCCCGCATCCGCCCGACCAGCGGCTTCAGCGCGCCGATCAGCGCCGACAATTCGTCCCACCGGGTCTCAGGGCCAAACGACACGCGGATCGCGCCATCGTCGCCCTCGACACCCATGGCTTCGAGCACATGGCTCTTGCCCACCTTGCCCGATGAGCAGGCCGAGCCGGACGACACGGCGAACCCGGCCAGGTCGAGGCCAATGGCCAGTGTCTCCGCCTTGATGCCCGGGACGGTGAAGAAAACGGTGTTGGCGACGCGCGGCGCAGCGACGCCGTGCACGACGACATCAGCGGCCGCACGCCGCAGTTCGGTCTCGAAGCGATCGCGCAACCGTGCCAGTTCGGAAAAGCCGTTCAACCCCGCAACGGCGGCGTCGGCGGCCGCGCCAAAACCCGCGATCAGCGCCGGCGATTCGGTACCGCTCCTGTGGCCGCGCTCCTGCCCGCCGCCGGCGATCAGCGGCAGCGGCGTCATCAGATCGGACGCTCCGGCAATGGCGCCCATGCCTTTCGGTCCGCCGATCTTGTGCGACGACAGCATCAGGAAATCGGCCAAACCCGTTGAAAGATCGACCGGAATGCGCCCCAGCGCCTGCACCGCATCGAGGACGAGGATGCCGCCGGCGCCGCGCACGACGGCGCTGATCTCCTCGACGGGCTGGATCACGCCCGTCTCATTGTTGACCCAATGAACCGCGACGAGCGGCAGACCCGCGGCCTTGTCGTGCGCGGCGAGCCGTCCTTTGAGCGTCTCAAGATCGAGCAGTCCATCTGGACCGACGCCGATTTGCGTGACCGCTTCGGGCAGGAAACGCCCGCCCGCCAGAAGGCAGGGGTGATCGGCGGCGCAGACATAAAGATGGCCCATCGTCAGCGACGACCGGCCCATCGACCAGTGCGGCGTCAGCAATGTCGCGGCCGCCTCGGTCGCGCCGGAGGTAAAGACGATGTGGTCCGGCGCGGTGCCGACCAGCCCGGCCACCTGCCGCCGGGCTTTCTGGACCATGGCGCGCAGGGCCCGACCGTTCCTGTGGACGGACGACGGATTGCCCTCGATCTCCATCGCCGCAAGCACTGCCTCGCGCGCGGCCTCCAAAAGGGGCGCCGAGGCGTTATGGTCCAGATAGTGCGTCACCGGCCGCTCTTTTCCCGCCAGGTGCGGGATTTCCTTGATATTTCGGGGTCGATGGTCATATGACGGCCTCCGCGCTTGCATTCAACCTTTTCAGACCTTGAAACCGGGCCGCAAACACGCATCTCAATGCCGGCAACGCCGCATGCGATGGGCCGCCGACGGTTTTGCCAAGGAGACCCGATGCCAGAAGTGATTTTCAACGGACCTGCGGGACGCCTCGAAGGCCGCTACCAGCCGGCCGCCGACAAGACGGCGCCGATCGCGATGATCCTGCATCCGCATCCGCAGTTCGGCGGAACGATGAACAACCCGATCATCTACAATCTGTTCTACATGTTCCAGAAGCGCGGCTTCACCACGCTGCGCTTCAATTTCCGCTCGATCGGCCGCAGCCAGGGTGAGTTCGACCATGGCGTGGGCGAACTGTCGGACGCCGCGGGCGCGCTCGACTGGGTCCAGTCGCTGCATCCCGAATCGAAATCGTGCTGGATCGCCGGCTATTCCTTCGGCGCCTGGATCGGCATGCAGCTTCTGATGCGCCGGCCCGAGATCGAGGGCTTCATGTCGATCGCGCCGCAGCCCAACACTTACGACTTCTCTTTCCTGGCGCCATGCCCCTCGTCCGGACTGATCATCCACGGCGATAGCGACAAGGTCGCGCCGCCCGACGCGGTGCAGGGGCTTGTCGACAAGCTGCACACCCAAAAGGGCATTCTGATCACCCAGAAGACCCTGCCCGGCGCCAACCATTTCTTCTCGGGGATGGAAGAAACGCTGCTGGGCGAATGCGCCGACTATCTCGATGCCCGCCTGCGCGGCGAACTGGTGCCGGACAATGTCCGGAAGCTTGCCGGGCGGTAGAGCCCTCATGGGTCGTTACCTCGCAGACCTGTCGAGCGCCGCACCGGCTTGATCTTGACCAAGCAAACCGCCATGACGGCGTGAAACCGGAACAGACCGGTTTTGCACGGCAATGGTCCGCACCTGCGGGCAAGGCCGGCCACCTCATCTGCACGGAACACCGCACCCATGCCCGCCTACAAGTCCGACTTTCTGAACGTCCTGAACGAACGCGGTTTCATCCACCAGATCTCCGATCCCGAAGGACTGGACGCAAAGTGTATGGAAGGGCCGATCACCGCCTATGTCGGCTATGACGCGACGGCGACCAGCCTGCATATCGGCAATCTGATCTCCGTGACGATGCTCTACTGGCTGCAGCAGACCGGCCACCGGCCGATCACGCTGATGGGCGGCGGCACGTCCATGGTCGGCGACCCCTCGTTCCGCGACGACCAGCGCCAATTGCTGACGCCCGAAAAGATCGAGGACAACATCGCCGGCATCAAGACCGTCTTCGGCCGCATTCTCGATTATGGCGAGGGCGAAACCGGCGCGCTGATGGTCAACAATGCCGAATGGCTGATGGAACTGAACTATGTCGACTTCCTGCGCGAGGTGGGCCGGCACTTCTCCGTCAACCGGATGCTGACCTTCGATTCGGTCAAGCTTCGGCTCGACCGCGAGCAATCGCTGTCGTTCCTCGAATTCAATTACATGATCATGCAGGGATACGACTTCACCGAACTGAACCGGCGCTATGACTGCATTTTGCAAATGGGCGGCTCGGACCAGTGGGGCAACATCGTCAACGGGCTCGACCTGTCCCACAAGATGGGCGGCCCGCAGCTCTACGCGCTGACGACGCCGCTTTTGACCACATCGTCGGGCCAGAAGATGGGCAAGACCGCGCAGGGGGCCGTCTGGCTGAACGACGACCTCTTCAGCGCCTATGATTTCTGGCAGTACTTCCGGAACACCGAGGACGCCGACGTCGAGAGGTTCCTGAAGATCTTCACGCGCCTGCCGCTCGACGAGATCGCCAAACTCGCCGCGTTGAAAGACACCGAGATCAACGAGGCCAAAAAGGTTCTGGCGACCGAGGCGACGGCAGTGGTGCATGGGCGCGATGCTGCCGAACAGGCCGCCGAGACCGCGCGCAAGACGTTCGAGGAAGGGGCGCTGTCGGAGAACCTGCCGACGATCGAGGTTCCAGCCGCCGAACTGTCAGCCGGCATGGGGCTGTTGAACCTGCTTGTCGCGGCGGGTCTTGCCACATCGAACGGTGAAGCGCGCCGGCATGTGAAGGGCGGCGCGGTGCGGGTCAACGATTCGGCGGTGAGCGACGAGCGCCTGACGGTCGATGAAGGCGCGGTCGCCGACGGCGTCGTCAAGCTGTCCGTCGGCAAGAAGAAGCACGTGCTCGTCCGGCCGGTGTGACGGCGCCACTCGTCGACCTCCCCTCAAGGGGGAGGTGGACAGATGTCACCTGAACTCGAAGATCGACCGGAACAGGCCGGGCGCGATCACGGACAAGGGGTTGACCGTGATCTGCGGCCGTTCGAACGAGCCTTCGAGCTTGAAGGTCACGCCGATCAGCCCGCGTTCGCGCCCATTGCCCAGGAAAAGCCCCAGGATCGGTATTTCCGAGAACAGCGAATTGACGCCGTAGGCGGGCATGAATGTGCCGGTCATCCGCATCTCGCCGTCCCGGTCATAGACCTGGCCCTGAAGCGCGAAGCCGACCATCGGGCCACGCACGATGCCCTGGCCGATCGAAAGGCCGCCCGGCGCAAAGACCGCGTTGGCCTGTGCCACGTCGAAGACGACCTCGCGCGTGTCGATGTCGCGGCGCACCGCTTCGCTCAGGCTGGCGGTTCCGTCGCCGCGCGTCGAGACGAGCTGCGACAGTTTCGGCTCGTCGAACACGCTGAAACCGGTCATCTGCACGGGACCGGACAATTGGCCGCCCGGCGCGCCGGCCAGGCTGGCATTGAGGACGCCGCCGCGAATCTGTCCGTACAGATCGAGAAAACGCAGGAACCCGCCGGCGTCCAGCGCCTCGATGCGCACGCGCCGCCCGGCGCCCTGCCCGCGAATCGCCACCGAGAACGGCATGCCGGTGTCGCTGGTGCCGGTAATCGACAGGTTTTCCACCCCGCCGTCACGGATCGACAGTTCAGTGCGCACGTCGCGCATCTCCACACCGCGAAAACCGCGCACGGTGCCGAGCGACGCCGAGACCGTCACCGGCGTGCCGCCGCCCTCGCCGCTTTGCTGCATCTGCCTGCGGACGTGGCGGATCAGCGCCCGCGCATCGACGGCCTGCCCTTCGACATCGACCGCGTACCCCGCGCCCTCGCGGCGAACATCGACGGAGACGCTGTCGCCCTCATTGAGCCGCAGTGAGCCGAAGCGGGCCTGGCTCAACCCCTGGCCATCGACCGCGATCCGCCCCTCGGCGCCGAACGGACCGCCGGTCAGGCTGAACGCGTCGAGCACCGCCGTCTCGCCGTCCAGAAGCAGATGGAAGTTCGCTCGGGCGCCGACGCCGGCGCCCTTCGACCAGCCGATCCAGGGCAACAGGAGTTCGGCCGATGTCAGATCGGCCGACACGTGGAACGCCGCGCCCGTGCCCTCCATTTCCAGCGGGGTCGGTCCACGCAGCAGCACGTCCAGCCCAGGCGCGAAAGTCTCGCGGCTGGCATCGTCGAGCCGCAGCGTGATCGACCTTGCCGCCTCGACATCCGATGCGAACGGGATCGTCATGGCGATCTCGGCGGGCAGACCGTCGATCGCCCCGGTCAGATCCAGCTCGGCGCGCGCGGGCGTG